TGAATGGAGGGCTTTGTCCAGCAGCAAGCCCCATTGAACCAGCAGCTGGGTGGTGAATAGACTGTATGTGTGGTATGCACTAATCCTCACACAATGCTGCGGAAGTAGCAGTCCTCCGTAGCGAAGGGGTTGAAGGACTTCAAGGCTTATCATGCAGCATCATCGGATAAGAAATGACTTAAACATCCCTGAATTTTTCGCAGCTGCTTCTCATCATAGCCATCTTTCCCTCACTTTTTTGCCCCAGATATAGCCAAGAGTTCCGCCCTGATTCGCGTCTCCAGTACGTCCTGGGGGGACAGGCCATCGATGAATATGGCCAGCCGTTAGAGGTCTATGGGGGACCAGCCGTTGATGAGTATGGCCGACCATTGCAAGAGGGGTATGGGTACCAGACCCATGGGTCACAAGATTACGGCTACAGGGGAAGCTATGATTATAGATAGGTATTTGGGGATTAGGTTAATAAGGTCATCTGTAGGTCATAAGATGGAAGCTAAAGATTAACAGAAAAAGTGAGTTTTGCGGTACTTTTACATACGTGTATTCCAGAATAACAGCATTGGCTGGTCATTGTTTTAATTCAGACCAGTATTCGGTAACTTTACACAACTATAAAACTCTTGGCTTAGGCCAAAAAAGTTTCTGGTTGCTAGTCAGCGTGCGTGTCGCTGTAGACCTGCACGTCGGTAAAATAAACAAAATTTTTTATTTGGTATAAAAGGATGCCCAAAAGCTGGCAAACTTGCTAGATGGACTGCAATCTTGCTACTTTGTAATTGTAACGTGTTTTTGATGGGTACAGTTGAGTACGTGTAATATGTACAGTAAAGGAGTCCCTCTGGTTCCCCATACATTCAGTCGGGCACTTTTTATAGATGACGTCATTTCTGTTGTCTACATTTACATCTGGGAACCAGACAATCGAGGTGGTCTTATGTCCTGTATACATGTACAAGCTGAAAATGCTTGTAAACAGTAAAAAGTGTGGGGGGGCAGTCTATTTTAGGGTTGGTAGCAAACAGTTTCACATGCGCATGCAGTCACGATGGACATTGCGCACTATATGTACATCATTTCCAGAAATTCAAGGTGAGGGTAAAAAAAAGCTGTGTCGTCGCACCACTTTTAGAGCCAGTTCCTGACCAGAAACCAAAGACTTTGGGGGGGGGGCTTAAAGTGGCATACTTGATGTCTCCCAATATCCAGTTTCAGACAGCTGTGCAACATGCAAATTTTTCAACCCACAGGAAAGTTGTGATGAGTAAAAAATGCCATTCATCCAAAAAGGCAATATGAGGGGAAGCAGTTTTTCCAGCATTCACCCGGTTGCTATCGGGAGAATTGAAAGCAATGCTATATGTGGACCTCTCACGACAAATGAGCATAAAGTCACATCCCACTCTTTCCTATTTGGAGGGTTTAAAGTCGTATTAAAGTGGAGGTCAGTTTTTTAATATTTCAGAACAGTAACCCGTCTCCAATGTAAACTGTTTGTTTTTGTTAAACTTCTGACGCTTTTCATTTGAATCTGCTTGAAACAAGCCTCCATGGTGCAATTTTTCTCATTTAAAAACAAAAGAAATCTTCCCTTCCTTTTCATCAAGTTCGCATTCGAATATTCAAATTCGAAAAATAATATTCGAATATTCAACAGTCGACCGACTATTCTGTTATTCGGATATTCGGCACAGCCGTGCTTACAAACATGTTTTGTGTCTCTCTCATTTTTGATGGTGATCGGAAACAATGTCAGAGATTAAAGCTGTAGACCATAGCTCAATTGCATTCATAACCATTTGTGACCTGAAATAGTTTAGAACTTCTCTTGTAAATCCAGCACTTGAAAACATTTTTCCTGTAGGAAGCTTATTGCTTGAATTTGGGAGGGTATTCAGATAAGTGTGGTTGTGAGTTATGATCTCAGCTGGTCATTTCATATTCAATGTGCGATGTTATTTTAGATTAAAAATAAGAAGTGGTCATGTAGATGTTTGATCATCATTTCCAAGACATAAATTTGATTGAACTGATTGCTGGACTTTCCTTCTTAAGATATCAAATAATGTTCCTTTTGATAACTCTAGTAGTTCCAATTTCATAGAGTTAAAGCTTCGCTAGTAACTTGTCATACTCGATAAATGTTCCTGGTTCACTGTCAGTTCAATCAAATATTTACAAGTCAACTTTGTATCAGGTGTCTTGGCTTGAGACAATCATTTGTGTGCCGGCTTTTGTCATGTACAGGTGATGATTGGCTAACAATAATTTTACTGATTGGATTTAATCCTTTATAATCAGGGGTTGCTTTCCAATTTTGCCGACGTTGTTAGTCTTCATGAGCGATTTCCCTTTAGATATGGCACAAAAACGATGCCAAATATCAGTGTTTTCTTGAATGAATTGCAGTTCGAAAATGCTTTGACAGCAATTATCAAGAAAGAAAGTATCAAGCTTTGTGTTTTAGCTTCCCGAGGCATTTTTGTGTTCATCAACTTGGTACTTTTCATGATGATGTTTTGTATATTTTGTGCTATAAGACTGTATGCATGATTGTACATGTCATTTTGTCAAGCTGAAGTTGTAAATTATTTATTGTAAAATACTTCCATGTTCAATGCATGACGTGTGCTGTGTGGAATACATGTAAATGCATTTGTTGTACATAAAAAGTAAACCTTTTCCGTTTTCTCGTTCAAAAAGATGTCGAAGACCTATTTGAAACCATGTGACCCCACTGGAATTGAGCGAAAGACTTATATTTTATCTTTCCCTTTTAAAATTTGACCTCAGCTCTTTTTTTGGGCCACTTATTGCCATTTTTCACCGCTGTACAAATTAGGAGCGGCTTCTCGGCTTAATCATGCCTGTTCGTTGTCTCACTTTAAAGCCCATATTATTTAGGGTAACACTGCCAAAAGAACACAAACATGCGAAATGCAAAGCTACCGTCAAATTCTAAACTAAGCCGCGCAGATACGAAGACCTTCAAACAGACTCTTCCGGTCGACCGGTCGGAAGTAATTAATCGAAAGATCCGAACCCGTGCTCCCCCGTGCCAAGATATGATATTGCCGAAAGCCCCCACAGAGGACGGAAGGGGGTGAGGGCTGTCTTGGATCCTCAGTGTTTGGTAAAGGAGCGGAATGGACTAAACAACAAAATAATTCCAAAAAAAAGGGATTTGAATGGATTCACAGTTTCCCCGAGATCTTAAACTCTATTGTAACCCCCGTCCCACACCTGAATATAATAACTGACGTTGGATAAGTGGTGGGGTAAACACCTGTCAGTCTTTAATTTGACTGGATATGAAATAAAAACTATTCACCTTTGACCCTGTCTTGCATCTACGACGCTCTAGATAAAACATGTCAAGTAATTGTAAATGGTGACTCATTCCAAAACTTACTAAATCTGTACGCTAACGGCCTGCCTTAGTTTCCCCTAGATTTCTGCTGTTCTTAATTTGCCTCCAGGATATACTCGATATCCGTGGAAAGACCTTTCGTACGCTGAACACAGCTGAGATTTAATCCGCTGTGTCACGAGCGACCCGTCATGAGTGAAGAACTATGGCCCAACGATTTGCTAATAAGCCTGTAATCATCATAGATTTTCGGCAATCTTTTCTGATACTCTGCGATATCCTACTCCCTTTTCACCCCTATAGTTTTATGTTTAGCCTTTTAACACAAAACTGACTCATCTTTCTGTTCCCTGCACATTTTTGTGTACCCAAAGACGCGGTCTTTAAATACACAGCGTAATTTTCAAGACTAAAAAGATTTTAATGTACAAAGCATATATAGAAAGTATATTTTCAATTATTTTAGTTTCTAATTTTGAGAATTATGTGGATAATATGCTCACTGCAGTTTATATCATTATTTGTTATCTACAAAAGTTAAAGGTTGCAAGAACTGTTGAACGGTTGACCCGCCATTTTTCGCCATATTAAGTAAATAAATGGTTATATGTTGATCCATATTAACGTTATACAATTTGCTGGTATCAAAGCACAAGTTCTTATTCATCCATGATGCGAGGTAAGTCTGTATCAAGCTGAGAGCTCTGAAAGCATCTCGTTAGGTCGCTCATACTTAAAATTAACTACATCCCTCCAGATTAACTGCGTTGTCTCAGGTCAATAGATTTACATAGAATTGGGAGCAGTGTGGTCACCATTCGGTTAATAAGCTCAATGACAGGCGTACTTATTCCAGAAACTGCGACTTTGTACCTCAAGAATCCCCTATTTCCTTTTCAGTTTCCGTTAATGAACAGGTTTACATGGTACTGTGCGAGAATTAGAAGTCCACTAAACAGCATTTTAAAGTAATTCAGTTGAATAAAACTTAAGACTGAGCTAGATTTTGATCAAAATGCAAATTATCGTGGAATATGAATGACTGATGTTATTTTAAAAGAGTCATAATAGTTTGCACCAATTTTCCCAGAGAACGTCGCGAGTGCAACGTTGATAAGGGTTCCTTGATCATGCTTTTGACAGAAGAAAAAAATTGAGTGGCAAAAGGCATTTTTTGCTCGATCAGTCTTTGTTGATACGGACCACCATGCCTAATTCCAGCAGAGGCCGATCTCTCTTAACATTCCTTGTACATTGGGGCACCTCACTGACAAGGTCTAGAAGTGCTCGGACCAACATCAAGAGATTCTTGGTGAGGAACACACTTGCCGTCATGCCCTTCTGCAGCCAGAGGTGGAAGCGGATGGCAAAGAATGGGATATCCACAAGAAGCAAGAAGAGCACGGACTTCAGGAGAAATGCACCCTCCCAGTGGCTGTCTTGCTCCTCCGAGTCTCTGCGGTCCTTGTTACCTTTCTTCTTATTCTTAGGCTTCGGTTGACTGGGGTAGCGGGGCTGTTTGGACGCCAGGAAGCGGAGAGCGAAGAGCGGGATCGTCGGGATGATGAAGCAGATGCAACCGAAGGCAACGATGGCAGCACGGACGTGATACGGTAGGATATGTTCCTGATCCCCTGTCACGATCATGTCGAGGAGATCAGCGCTGTCCAGCATGGCTAGGCTGGCCATGGTGCCAAGCTTCTGCACCTGAAGTTTGTACTCTTGTTTCTCCACCCCTTCGTGGTGGCTGTAAGCCAGCAGGAGGAACAAAATGGACGACAGGGAGACGGCTATCTTCAAGACAATGGGGCTGAAGATTCCCTCGTGGATTCCTGTTACGTCGATGTTATGTATGATGCGGATGACCTTAGCCACAAAGACGCAGGCATAGACGAGCCAGCAGGAGTAGGCGAACGGGAACTCGTAGAATAGGTCCTGCTTGGTTTTAGGGAGAGGGTAGATGGGTTGCCCAGCCTGACGGCGGGAAGCCATGAAAGCCGATAACCAGAAGACAAACACGATAACATCGATGATGATCCATTCGTAACCTCGCTTGAATCCTGTTCCCTGTCCATAATGGATGAGGACGTGATCTAGGAAAGCCGACTGGCCTGCTAGCACCGCGAGACATATTAACTTAACTCCAATATCGGCCACAAGACCTCTCACAGTTTCACCTGTACTCATGTTGAATTGATTGCTGTCACTGAGTCCACAGTAACCTGAACTCACTCGAAATTCTGAGTTTTCACTGACATGTCACTGAAACTTTCAACAAAATGTCTCGATAAAACAGTGACGAAATGTAGGTAGTTCGTTTCAAAATCTTAGCTTACGAGTATTTGGGGGAATGTTCAGGTTATTTTTAGTTCCAGACTTATTTAAAGTTCTCCGGATAATCACATGAGCAATTCTTTCTATACTGCGCTAGTATGACGCATAATTCCTCGGTGAAGACGGCACTTGGCATCGGTGGTATTGCTGCGCACAGCCCTTGCAATCATTTTTCGTCCTCAAATTACGGCAGTAGAGTGGCTACTGTATATACATACCGGTATAAATTCGACGTCCAGTTAGATCATACAGATGGATCATAGTTGGATTTCCACGTCTCCCAGAGGTTACGTAATTAAAAATTAAGTGGCTTTTTCTCTGACAGCGGTTTTTTCGTCGACGCTACAGACAGTAAAGCTCACCATTGTAGAAAGCGTTTGTAGCCAGTATCAGTTCTTCTAATATTTGAAGATTTGCATCGCTGAAGATCTTGTAGGACTTGTAAAATCATCATATTTATGCGTCAGTTTCGCAGCACCAAGACGACACTCCCAATGTAGAGCACCAAAATGTTGCTCGGTAAATGGAAATTTCCCTCCGTAGAGTTCGCAATATTGACGTAGTCTTCTCATGACATTTCACTCGTCTGAGAAGTCACAGTTCTCATTTTTTTCTCAGGGTTGTCAGACTGCATGCGACTTCACTAACCGAACACACTTCACTAAGAAAGAGTTAGTCCCTAAATCCAGGGCAAAACCTTGGGGAGTAAAAAGGCTGCTTAAGAATGGCTGTTAAACTGGTAACTTCCTGATCATGCACGGCGGATGATGACGTGTCCGGGTAGTTATAATGGGATTTCGTGACCTTGCTCTATCACCCTATTACTGTCGTGAGTCAGGTGTGGTTTAACGAAGTTAAGTCAACTTGATTATAATTTATTACTATCACTGAGGCTCTGACATATCTAGGGATGGATCTTACTGAACATAACTATTGTGCAGTAATTTTCAGTTTTAAGAATTCAGACGCAGGTGAGTCGTTTCTTATGTCGAGAGTTCTTTTCCACACAAACTTGGTGAAATTGCAAGACTGCTTAGGGAGTAGGCCGAAGCGAATCCCGACTACATAGACACTGAATAAGAAAAGTGTTATGCTATAGGCCTACACTGGACCAACATTGTGTTTCGCCTAGATACGATCAAGTGATAAATGTGCAAGTCACGTGAACAATTTGGTTTATTGCTGCAAGAGAGCTTTTACATAGAAAACATGTATAGCTTCCCTGAGAATCTTTCAATTTGTCATTTATTTTAATTAAATAACCGATAACTCCTGTTTTTCTTTAAAATAAGTCGTATCCTGAATTTCAATAATTCAGTTCTTGCAACCTTTTGCAAAGTCCAGTTGCTTAAAAATGCAAGTCCTTACTGATACCAGATTAATAATGTCCACAAAAAAGGGTGGGCTTATGAATTTTACAATCAATGCCCTTTAAACTTCTATCCAATCACAGGGAAGAAGGCCGCTGCCCACGGGGCCGGCGGGAAACCTGAGGTTATACGAGAGGGGGCGCTGTATTTGCTCAGTGAATTGCAGTTTGATAATGATGAGTTCTTCGGTTATTTTGAGAAGGTAAATTTCATCATTTTGGCATATTGTAATTTGACGGGCATGATTGTATGATGTTGATGAAACTTATAGCGCATGTAGCTGCGCTTTGGTGAAGTTAACGGATACAACGTGACGATGTGAAACGTATGCTGCCCAAATTCCGGACGCATGATGGATAGGAGTCGCGCGTTTCAGTGCATGCACGGACTTAGACCTACACCGGTACACGAATATTTACTGCACTAAGTTTCGAACGGCCAACAAGATAATTCATATTGTGCATTGTAAAATGCAGATTTTCCAAGAATACCTGTGGCACGTCATTGACATTAAGTTTAACCCAAGGGGAAAACTTGTTATAACTTTTTTTCCTCTCAATCATATTTTGAATGTAGGCCATATTGGTTAAGTTTTAATCTAGGCCTACACGCTCAGTTAACGATCAACTGACTGAACTTATGTTAAATTTTTAAATTTTAGCATGCTTGCATATTTTTGTTTGCTTTGAAGGTCTTTTGGTGTTCTTGGGAGGTTTTCGCTTCCAATTTTAAATGCCACAACTTCAATTCATCCTGTCGCAGTCCGTTGGCTTTCTGAGAATGACGGTGGGATGCCAAGGATTAAAAGAGGTAATATTGGTCTCGTCCAGGTTATCACAAAGTCTATACTTTGTAGATATGCAAATTATAATGTTCATCTTCATAATCTTTTAGGATTGTAATATTCATGTCACATTCTTTTGGGGGTAATGCAGTACAGACTAGACTAGACTGATGAGTACACGAGTGTTAACGAGTCCCTGTGTATCGTGGGCTAACTTGTTTTTGATGTTTTCTCTTTATTTTTCTTTCAGTCAGAAAGCAGCTGGAAGAATTGGTTGGAGCTCAGAAGGTGTGGAGGTAAATTCAAGTCAAAGAGATTTGTGCAGTTAGTTTGAGACTGATGACAGTCACTGATCTTTGATGTCAGTCTTTGCCAAACTTTACAGGGATAGTGCATTAACGAGGGCGCTATTGTTCACTTTTACGGTAGAAATTCATCAAACTGGTTTTAACTCTGCCTTCTGAAAAAAAAAAATCAAATCTGCACAAGAGTGTCTGTGGTCTGGTCTTCATCTTTAACCATGCCCCAAAGACCTGGTTTGATGAAAACAGTTTTTGAATAGGTCAATGATATTGTAATTGTGCAGCAGTTTGGAGAATGTTTTGATAATAAGCTGCATTATAAAACAGCAGTTTACATTTTTAGGGGGATAAAAATACTTATAGTTTATAGATAGTTATAGCTTGGAAAAACCCAGTTGCTGAGCTCCTGTTCCTAAATCATATTTATTTGTGCTCTATTCATGCGCCGTCGTTTCACACGTGTCTGTTTTGTCTTGTTCGTCATTTTGTCTGTCCCATGTTAGATTGTATGGTTGTCATATGTCTATGGGCTGGGGTACAAAAGTGTAGCTGCTTAACCTTAAACCTAAATGTGGTCATCTAATTTATCAGATGTAATCCTATTTTATGTAATGTTACTCAATTTAATGGCCAGATATATTCAGCACTTAATTAATGTGAACGTGTTTGGTTACATTATAAAGAATGACAGCATTGAAATAAATGTTTCATCATCATCTAAATGTTTCATCGTCATAGACGTTTTTTTTGTGATATGGTTATCTTTCAACTAGTGAGCAACAGCAGGATCGGTCTGATCTCTACAGCCAACTTGCCGAGAAGCAAGAGGACCTTGAGGAGCGATGCATGGCAGACAGCTATCAGGAGGCAGTTATCCCGCTAGGGGAAGACCCCAGATGCCAAGAGAAATATCTAAACTTCTACAAGACGGTGCGCATCGGCAAGATCATGGAAGACTTGGACACGTTTGCAGGTGAGAAAATGTTTTAGAAAGTGTTGATTCTCGGCCTGGTTATCTTAAATGGAGCTAGTGGAAGAGTGGTTAAGCATGGGAATCTTCTAAGCACAGAGAAACTGTGTAATTTGGTTTTTTTTCTTTGGACAGTGTGGATATCCTACCAACATAACAGGGAATCTGGGGCCAAGGCCACACCTTTGGTGATTGTCACAGCATTGGTCGACAGAATAGGTCAGTTTAAAGAAGGACATTTACAATGCCACAGAACTCAAATCAGATGAGACTTCATGAAAATGCTTGCAGGTGCAGTAGTTGAGATAACTGGTTTTGCTGTGTGATGCCATTGTTGATGCTTTGTTAATTGTCTCCAGATCTCCACGAAGTTGAAATCAAATATAATCGAGATATCAAGATGTGCGGCAGTGTGACATGGGCTGGGAAAACGTCAATGGAAGTCACTATGCATTTACATCAAGTAAGATAAAGACAAACACACATAAGATGACAGAGTAAGCCATGGTCATTATCAAGTCCTTGAATGAATTAACTCTTGCCTTGTACCCAAATATGTTTTACCAAAGCTATTTTTGCTCTGTTTTCTTAAGCTGTTGGCGTCGATAAAGAGATGCATTTCTTTATAAAATCACATTTTCAAAAGGTTGAATTACAATGTGAATTTGTTTTATGTTTACTCCTGAACAGAAACAAGACGGCGTTAATTGGAAGAAGTTAATTGGTGCCAGATTTGTAATGGTGGCACGAGATCCAGACAACAAGGGGTAAAGATTATTTCCAAAACTTCAATTTAATGAGGGCCAAAGAATTGTTTAAAAATGTATTCCATGGAATGAAGAAAAATCGTGTCGAATCGAAGAAAACTGTTCTTTCACATATTCCCTACTTGGGTTTTACACACAAATTACTTCTCCCCCAGGGCAGCATTTGTGCACCCACTGCGAGCTCAGACCACAGAGGAAGAGTCCATTATAGCCAGAGGTAAGAAAAACAAACAGCTGCGGTTGGAGAGATCGGAGCAGTCCTTACTCAGGAGCGCCCCCACTGCCGAAGAGAGAGAGATCATCCACAAGCTCTTTGTGGATACGCTCGACCAAAGGTAAGGAGGATCAGATTCTTGGGGACAAATTTTGTCATCTAGCATAATATCTGCTTGGAATCAGTGTTCTGGTATTAGTCACAACAGTTGATGCTGAAATGCGAACTAGGACTTAATCCAAGAATTGAAGACTCGCCGTCAACTGTGACTTTAGCTGTTTTGGACCAGTTAAGAGCAACCTACAAAACGTTACACTCAGTGTAGCTCAGACTGTCGGCAGAATCCAAGCCGTGATACGGATCAGTTTCATCTTGTTTTTTGTACTTGATCCTTGTAGGAGTGCCTCCTTCAGCACCAGAACTAGGCCTGCCAATGCAGTATGGATGGAAGACAGTAAACTCAAAAACCTTCTCATCTGTTTCCCCGAGGTAACCTTTGAAGATGCTCTTTGAATTAATTGTTTACTGTTATCATTTCCATCCTGACTTCTGTCTAAACAGTGCTTCATGCATTTCACCCATGTTTCCGTCTTCATTGTAGTCTCTGTTTGGACTTACATTACTCCTGTCTGTCCTCCTCAGCAACGTAATTTGTACAACAAAATCTTTGGTGGTTTTTTGATGCGGCAAGCACTGGAGCTGGCCTATGCTAATGCTGCTGTATATTCGTGAGTAAACCTTTCACCAATTTTCCACCCTTTCATAAATACCTTTTTAATCCGAGAATCATAAGAAGTCGGCATATGATGGATTTTCAACAATTTTGTCTTAAAACTTTACTCTCATTTTTCCAAACACCCCTGTCCATTTTATTCCTTTTGAAAGTTGTTCAATAGAATCTTCTTCAGTGAACTTGGTGTGCGCATGGCTTGTTGCATGCACACAGACTCCTGACCAATCAGACCGGATTAAACTGTCTCGTATCCGTGTGCCAGCGCATGATTTACGCAGCGGGCATTATCACTTCTCAGCGGGCACTATCAAATGTTAATACACGGTCACATGATGCGTTTTGACCAATAGGAATAGAAAAACTGTCCCAGTTATTTACGAATGGGTAATAACGCAATATAAAAAGTGAACTTGAATTAAAAAGTTCCAGAAATTCTAATCTGAAGAAATTTAAGATTAAATATTGAGTTAATGGAAAGCAGACGAGTCTTAGGTACCCTTAATTTATCCCTCTCAGTCGAAGGAGACCAATCTTCAAATCAGTGGACAGCATTCAGTTTCGCAAACCAGTGGAAGTGGGCGACCTGCTATATCTATCCTCCCAGATTGCCTACACGGAGAGGAACTACATGCAACTGAGGGTCCATGCTGAGGTCGTTGACCCTAAGACGGGAGAACGGGACACAACCAACGTGTTCCACTTCACGGTCAAATCCAATGGGCCGGTCCCGCCCGTTCAGCCCAAGACATACGGAGGTGAGCATTGCATGGTTGGTCATATTGCATCGTTGTTGGGGCGTATTTTTCGGTTGTAATGTCAAGTCAGTCACAGTGGAACTTAACTCCACCCAAATTTCCACAAATTGCTCAAACAGTTATTTATCCTTGTCTTTGGCTTCCCAAGTTTTTTAGTAAGCAACAACAGAGTTTGCACAGTAGCTCATAAATGGAAATGAAAGTCATGCATGTAAAAAAAAAGTCGTCTGTCGAGGGACTTTCAGGTTGTACCATGCACAGTGCATGTTGAAGCATTATTTCTGTTATTTGTTTGAGGGGAGCAGTTTTTTTCCTCATTCTGGAACCCCAACAAGAGGACATCAGTTTCAGGTTTCATTGGCTTGATGGTCAGGGGTAATAACGAAGCCTCTGGGAATTGTTAATGGGGGCTCCAGCACTCTTATTGCTTTCTGTTTCTTTTTGAATATCTCTTTCTGGAATTCCATCCAAAGGTTAGGCTGTAGGTATGTCTTTTGTAACTGTATACTTACTATCTTGAAGTGTTACAAGTGATTTTTCGGTGATTTTGAGGTTGAGGTGTATTGTGTCAGTTTGTGACTGGTTTTTACCACTTGTATTTTTGAAATATTTTATTGACTAAGTTTTGAGTTTTTTGTTGTTGCAATATACCAGTGGAAACTAGATTTCTATGTTTTCTACATCGACTAATAACTAATGAACGAATGAATTGTTGACATGGGGGATGCATTTTTTATGTGTTCATTTGTTTCACTGTCTTCGGCAGAGTCGATGCTGTTTCTGAACGGAAGAAGACACTTTCTGGAATTTCTCAGGGAAAATCCTGAAGAGTCCGTGAAAAGTTGAAACGATGCAAGCTCGCAGCTTTCAAATAAACTCCTAAGTCTTAATTATTAGTAATTAAACGACAAGTGCATTTTCGACCGTGTATTCAATTATGCCCAGATTGTTATAGACTTAGGGTGCTGAGCTGATAGCATTAAATTAAACTTGTTGGAGTTTAAAGTCAAATATGTATAAAGTACTAGATGGGGAAATGTTGGGTTATTTATGCAAAAAGGTTTGTACATTTGTTTATAGATCCATGTTCTTATTGTTATTGTTTTTAATATTCAGGCTTCATTTTACAGTTTTAACAGTTCGCTTTAGAAAGATCAACTCTCAACCATGTATTTTAAGTGAAACAAAATGGTATTCATGAAACATTTTCTTTGGAAGACTGACATATGTTGTAACGTCGGACGAATTCAAATTGAGCTTCTTTTTCTATCCATGGACTTTTCTATCAGCTGACTGAAAGTAAAAGAAACTTCAAAAATCTCAAGTTAATTGTTTAGACATGACTGATCTCACAAACTATTCCAGCTTCTTTTTGATTGCTGAAATGAATTATTTGATTTATTGATGAGATGAATAACAAAGTTGATGTTCAGTTTTGTATAGGACATTTGACAAAAACATTCTTGACAAAACACAGTAAGTTACAGACTTCTGTTTTGTTACTGGAGTAACTAGTGCAAAAAGCAGAAATAAATTGAGCAGAAAATGATTAAAAATTTTCAGATAGCTGTGCTGCATGCTTATAATCCATGTTGTATGGAGTTTTATCCTGATAATTTAAGCTACACAGTACCCAACAGGTTTACCTTTTTTGTCGTTGTTTTTGGTCATTTTTTAATGTTTTCGGGAAGGGGCTTTCAAGTATCACTCCCTGCCGGAAGCAGAAGGGATTTCTCAGAATACACTTTGGGATATGAAAGATTGAGAGATTTGGCGCGCCATATATTGAGATTGCAAACAATTAGTCTGGCCCCCTTCCATTATTCAGCATAAATTTCACTAAAGCGTTGACGGGATGAGACGAACTCGGCAACTAATATTCAATACTGACCATGCGGCATTTTTTACCGGTGCGCGCTGCTTTAGGGGACGAAGTTATCTCATGAGATGCGCTTCACAGAAATTCGGTCTTTTTTGTTTTTGTGAACAACTTACGGGTCACTATGGCCCAGCATACCCAAGGTAAAGATGCCATGACCAAAGCCACCTTTTACGAGGAGGCCAAGAATTATTGGGAGGAAATCCCACCGACCGTGAACGGAATGCTCGGTGGATACGGAAACATCTCCAGCACGGACGTGAGAGGGTCGATCGATTTTCTCAAGCCAATGCTAATGGTAAGTCATGCATAGAGACTCCAGAATTAAAGAAATTGGAACTCGAAAGTCCAAGTTACCTTCAGGCGGTTCCCCACCCTGACGAACTACTGTCTCTGTTAATTTATTTCAAACTTCAAACATGTCAATTCACGGAGGTAGGCCGGGACCTAGCTTCAGGGCCATGGTTACCTTCAAAACTGGCAATGGCATGACTGACATGACTGAAGATTTGTAACTTAAAGTTAAAGTCAGTTTACTCATGACCCTCCATGGTTTACTCTGCTTTCTGCAAAGTGGATTTATCAAGTTTAATAAGTGTATTTTTAAGGGTGACTTATTTCAGTTTATTATATGTACGTATCTTTGTTTTCAGTGTGAATGGAACGAGAGAGTTGGATCAGAGAAGGCTCTTGATTGTGGCGCTGGTATCGGTCGTGTATCCAAACACCTCTTACTACCTCTATTCCAATCAGTTGATCTGGTTGAACAGGAGCAGAAATTTCTGGATGAGGCACCGGCCTTCCTTGGGGAAGCATCGGCCAACGTTGGCAAGTACATCTGCTGTGGGCTGCAGGACTTTGTACCTCAGCCCAAGCACTACGATGTCATCTGGTGCCAGTGGGTTTTGGGCCATTTGACCGACGAACACCTCATCAGTTTCTTCAAGAGATGTAAGGAAGGCCTGAAAGAGGGCGCCGTCATATGCGTGAAGGAGAATATTTCCAGGGAAGGGGTTGTATTTGACGAGCAGGACAGCAGCGTGACCCGCTCCTCCAAGGAACTCACTAAGATCTTCCGCAAAGCAGGACTCAAGATCATGAAGGAAGAGACGCAGAGGAACTTTCCACTGGAGATATATATGGTCAAGATGTTTGCGCTTAAATATAGATGAATGCATCTGGTTAAGAACACAAGGGCTAAAACTTCACCACCCAAAAAAATAAACTCCAATTCTTCTTGTCCCTGAATTGTAGTTCCATTGTAGTGAAAAATAGTTCCTTTCTAGAGTGAAATAAACATTTTTTTTTCAAAGAGAAAGAAATGTCATTACTTGTCTTGGTTAATGCCATATTTTCCAGATACAAGGCTTAAGTTTGAGAAAAAATTAATATGGCAGACACTTCTTTTTAAGGAAATGGAACCAACACAGAGCTTTCACAACTTAAGTTTCACATTCAAATTCTGTGAACATATCGTTTCTGAACTTGTTGAGAAATGCAGTTAAATATTTTATCCTATTTAGCTGTATTATTTCTGATTGATGTGAATTGCTGTGTACTCAAACCTCATTAAAAAGGTGTCCAAAGTCTTAATTTTTAATCTTTATAGAAGTGAACATGTATATCAGATGAATCAGTGTATTGTGTTAGAAATCATTTCACCAGAGGAACGTCATGCTGTAAGTTGAATGTGATTTTTATTTGCGAGATTTTTTGTTCAAAATGGACCCAAAGTCACGTGCTAATAAATTTGGCATGAACATAATAAAATGTGAGGTTAAATTTGAATATAAAACAGCAACTTTGCTTCTTTAGCATCAATAATTGAGATTTCCTCTAATGAATGGCCAAACCTCCTTCCCTAGCTTTTATTTAGAGATGATTTTTCTGTCTTATAATGTTAACTTTCTATTTGTGAATGTTATAGGATATTTTCATGCCCAAAGCAGTCGACAAACAACGGCTTGCTAATTGGTCACTTGTGAACGTAGGAGGGCAGCATTGATGAAAAACTACGTATGGTTGGGAAATATTTGTTGTAAGAGGGCGACAAACTTCCTATTTCCAAGTCGACGACGTGAGAGGGCGACATATAAACAACTTTGATATTGGACAATATTAAACTAAAGAGGGCGTTCAACTGCTTGGCTAAAATTAAACAACAGAGGGCGGCAAATAATGATTAGCCCCCTCTCGTGGCTGATTCTAGGGAAAAAACAAGATGGCAGCGCCCATAGACGGCATTGAATGTGAGTCGGACAGTCTGCAGATTCGTCTTGAATTTAGGTATAACATCCAAAAAGTTTCTTTGGTTCGTCCATATGTTTAAAAAGGGATAATCAAGTATTTTAAAATGAATTTTTATATTCAAACTCTCTTTTTTTGTGTCACTGATTTGTTTGTCCGGTCAAGCAGTCAAGTGTCATGTCTGTCATCATGCATTGTCAGCCGCAAGGCCTAGGCTATATGAAGAAATTTAGAACAGTAAAAATACTCAAGTCAGTGAATAGTCCTGTCGTAATATAGCCAGGAACTTGAGCAAGTGAAGTCATCATATGGTTAATAAAGTAACTACAACCATTAAACAAAATGGCTTGTTAGGCTAGGTTCAGTAACAGCTGTATTTGCTTTGTTGTTTACTAAATTCAGTGGTGGAGCAGAACTTCTTGTTGATAAAATAAAGCAGCATGACATCATCCTAGATACTTCAAATGGTTCAAAGTGTAAGTATCTCACAACTGGTAAGAGGAAACAACAAATTAGTTCTGCATTTTATTTGCCAAACCATATTCTAATTTCTCCATGATATCTGCTGTCTTACTCAGTTTATTGGAATCGCCTCTTGAGATGCATTCCTGGAATTGTTTTATTATTTTTAATTTTCCAGTAAATGTGATAGATCTATTTGGATTTTATTTGTGTAGTACTTTCTGAGTCATTGGATTAGATGTTTTATATGCCTACAGGGGCAATGTTAGGTGTCAATCACTGGTCACAAAATGCAATAATAAACTTAGATGACAAAAGATGCACTTCAAATGAATAAAGAAGTCGGCTTTCAAATTAACTGTCCTGGCTGTTCACTGTTGTTTTGATGTTACTGTATTGGACTATTTTTTCACAACAGATTCCATATGCAGTTGTGTACGGTAATTAAAATATAATGATTACAGGCTGATTAGTAATAATTTAGGCAATGTAGAACTGCTTGCTTACTGCAGGGTAATTCTATAAATGCAGGGTCCAAAAGGGTGACTTTTTTGTGTCTGTTACTCCTTACCTGTCTAATTTGACATGGAAATATCACTCAAATTGATCTCAAACTATTTCCATTTGTTTGGCAGGTAATTTGCATTAATTTATCACTCTTGAAAATTAGAGAATTTGTTCTGAAATTCCAAAATTACATATTAGATGTGACAGGGGCATGAAAATTAATTGGACCCCTAATCGATAGAATGACCCTGCAATGACCTGATATGCCTGATGTAATGTACACAAATTAAAAAAATTACAGTACCTGACATTTAGATCCTAGCAGAAACTTCTCAAAGGCAAACACTGCTCAAATGTAACTTAACTTGGCTTGTTATTTTGGCTTTGTGTCTGTTTTTGCAGGGAATATAAGAAGATTGATATCGTGGATCAAAGACAATTTGCTGAAAGAGAGACCGGAACTCTTTGTCCAGAATAACACAGTGTATGTTCCATTTACCAACCCCATGCGCATGCAAATTTCTGCATACACGCCATGCAACAACTTGCAGAAACAAATACATGTAAAAAAGGACTTACATTTGTAGCTGTGCACACATCAGATGTATGGGTCAGTCTTGAGTAGGAAGACCAGGGATTTCTCCTAGTGATGTCAGTGTGTTCTTTGTACAATCCTGCTCTAGGCCTGAAGTAAATTGTGTTGGACAGACCGTTCCTATTTGCACATGCATGCACTTTATGTTCATGCATTGACTCCGTTAGGCCTGTTTTTCTTATGCTCATCAGGAATGCATTGTCAGTTGAGATGCATTATGTGAATAGCAATAAGACTTGAAAGGATTGGGCCGGTCATTGTGCGCTCAAATTCCTGAAATAGTAAGGTTTGGGGGTTTTTATACGTAATGAGTGCAAGAGTTTTTGTGTTTGTACATCATTTGAATGCTTACTTGTTGATGTGAACTTTGTCTTTGGAATCCCACATATTTCAGTGGTAGTTGAAATAGTTTTTCAAGCCTTCAAACCTGGGTACATGTACATCTAAATATTCAATGCCATGTTCTCTCTACAGGAGACCGGGCATATTGGTTCTGGTGAATGATGCGGATTGGGAGTTAGTGGTGAGTCGTTTCATTTCATCCTGGTTTGACAATGTTTCAGGACAATGAATATGCATCAAATTAGAATCATTCCACACAATGCTCCATGAAGGACACTTTTTCGTGTTTGGCTGAGGAATTTGCCTCCAAAGAAAGAAGAAATTGGTTACAACACTTGGGACACTTTGGACAGCACCCTTCTGTGGTTTAAGTTTGTAACCTGGCTCTTTGGTCATGTTTGATGAAGTTCAACTTACAAATGTATCTCAGTGAAGCTATGTCTCTTGCTGTGTTCAGGGAGAATTGGACTACACCCTTCAACCCAACGATCGGATAGTGTTCATTTCAACACTTCATGGAGGGTAACAGAACAACTGCACCAAATCGTGACATCATTTCTATATCTAAGGCAGAGGGCCAGTTGCAGTATGGCGAATATTGCCATGGTAACAACTTGTGGTCTGAAATATTGGATTGCGAGCTTCAAGAGAAAAGCATTTACATGAGTAAGTCAAGCAATTTGGAGGTAAATTGAAATTGAAATTAAACTATCCCTTTCTGTCGTCTCTTCCAAAAAAAAAGTTTGACAAGAACAGATCGAGCAAAAGCAACCTCCAAAAACAAATACAGAAGTAAAAATACCTGCAAATAGGCACAAACCAGACAAGTCTCAAGACCCAAAGTAAAGCTACTTGTTTATAGTTACCATGTTCACATGCACTTTATATTTGATTATATAGTTGTTTTACATTTCGTCAAAGAAAACAAATTACAAATTTCAGCCACAGATTTTCCACTAATTCACTTTTTTTTCATTATACACATGATAAAGGAGTGTTGATGTAGCCTATGTAATATACAAAGACTTGATAATTACAATATTTGGTTACATTAAGAATTTGTACACAATGTAAAGAGAGAACGCTCTTCCTAGTTTGATAACAATGAGAAGATCTTACAATGCTTTCTGAATCTACATTTTCTGTTGCAGGCATACATGCATGTCATTGTCTTGAGTAAAACCAATTGGTTTCAGAGAAATGGACAATTCTATTTTATAAATGTAACAAGACTCTTTGAATAGGGTTTGAAAAGGTACATGTAGTTATATATTTAGGTAAGGTAACCACTTTTTCATAAACTTGGGTTCAGTTTGTTTGAGCAAATGATGTCATCATGCGGTAGTTTAAACAAATCCCAATTCTGACTTTTGAAGATCCAAAGGTGGTTATAAATGAGCTTCTTTTGTAAAATAAACCACAGGGGAAACCCAAGTATTGAATGTGATGTTTCATCTTTGAATCCCAAACCCCAGAAGTGTATTAACTATAAGTATTTCCACTTGACTGATATTCTCTTGAGCATGTCAGGGCACTGTGTGTGCCAATTCTCGGAGAGTAACATGGAACATAGTTTCTGAATACTATCCACCATAAAGATGTGTGGATCAGACTGCCACTGGCAGCTTTATAAGGTGGCACTGGTGATGTTTGTAGCATTGTGTAATTCTATGGAAAGTGTCCACCATGCTCCAAACTCATGCAGTGATCCCAACTGGAAATAAATGAAGCTACCGACATGCACCTGCTCCATGAAAATGAAAAGAACACAAACTTCCTCGGTTGTAAATAAATACTGATTCTGTCCGAAAATCCTAAGATCAACTGGGGTAAGGTGCAGACTTGTAGAGTCTTCAAAATAAGCTAAAACATGCCATAGAAAATGAACTATAGGTAATCTCTTATGGGAGGCCAAAACCAATTGGCGATGGGCACCAATAAATTAAACATTAAAAGAAACTCTTTTTTTAAACTAATCCGTCAAATATTACAATTATCAGTTACTCTGTAATAGAATAGTTTGCAATATATGGTTCTGTCAATTCAATGTACAACATACAGCAATATATGAATTAAGTCTAAAACCTTCATGAATATGTATTTTGATAGTTCTACTTCTCCACCAACTGATGGTTCAAGAGATCTAAACTGGACAAGCACAGAAATTTCTTAAAAACTAAACTTTATGTTTAACTATGCACGTTAAGAACTGTGCCTCATCAATGCAGTATTTAACATAAAAAATGGAATGTTAAATTCGATTTATCTTCCATCAAAGTCAACACTGAATATGAAAAATTTCAAATTCTTGTCAAAACTCAATCCGAAACCTTTTTCCTTTACAGTGGAGTTTTGCAGCAGTTTTTCTCTTTCAGAATGCATAATGCAATTACCATAGACTAAGACTACCGCCTACATGCTCAGTACCTTCACACACTATCGTTTCTTACTGAAATTGATAAAGATGAGGGTTAAACTGATTGATTGTAGAAAGTAAGTTGTAACAAGAAAGTTAATACAATATTACTGTATTGCACTATTTCTGCAAATAATGACGTGCACATTTATCTACTATGGTTATTCTGTTTGATGGCACAAACAGGAGCTGGGTTTTTTTACATTAATTTTTCAGATTAATTCAAATTAAACTCATCAGATCATTTAGACAACCTAAATGCCTGTTTCTGTCTACTCCAACTTGCCAACTTTTATCTCTTCAAGGCTGAGACTGAATCAAAGCACACAAAAACATCTTGGGAAAGTAAATTACACAGTACTGTGCTCAGTACTGTGCATGGCTTATGGCTATTCTCGGAGGCCTTGGTTGAGCCCAAAAAGATCCATACCAGTATCTAACCATGACACTCTCTTGACGCTGGGGAGGAAACGGAATTCTGAATCCCAAATCCCTGATTTGTTTCAACCTAAAATGGAACACACAAATATTGGGGTCTGACTCAACATTCACTGACACCAACATCTGCATCATTCCAAGTGTTTTCGGTTTGTTACCAAGCGAGTTCTGCATTACAAATAAAGATCCAGTTTTGATTCTAAACATCTATGAATGCATGGTCATGCCAAAACCGCATTCAAATTATACAAGACGTTTTATGTTACTTTTCCTTGTCAGTCATTGATGATCGAATTGGGAAGTCATCGGCAGCGTTTAAATGAGCCAAATGTACATGTAGTCAGGCACTGAGCCAACGTAGAACGCTCACAATGTTTCTCACATTGGTGGCCTTTCACGATCTTTGAATCTAACAGCAATGTTAAAAGCTCATGGATTGTGTGAAGAGGAATTCACATTAGTAATGCCTTCTGAGACATCCTCTTGGAGAACACGAAATGCCTTTCCAAACTCTTTTTTGGGGGCAATTCTGGAGTGTGTTCATGCCTTAAACTCTCACCACACGAGATTTCAGGCTGGAACCTATTCTGAACCTCTGTTTCCCATCGTCTTTATACTTTAAGAAGAAACTTGTATGAACCAAAATCTGCAAATGAAACACACCTCATTCCCAATTCAAACTGCAATGAGTATTTACAGGATAGATGACAGGTTCTACAGCAATTATCTAGACAGAATCAAGTGACAAAGTTCTTTATTTAACTTATATAATATTTATCATTTCATCATCAACTAGTTTATCTCCAACTAGCAGTATTATCTTCAACCAGTTTACCAGAACTATTTTGCAACTACGGGTCTAATAGGAGTGGACCAAATCAAACAATTTATGATGCTCAATGTTATAAAATTGGACTTGAAATCCACATGCTCGGTTGGAAATGTTTACTAGGACATTTCTCCTAAATTAAGAGAATTACCGGTATATATGAATGAACAATAAAGATTCGGAATGATTGGATAATGGATAAGGACAAAGAACAGGACTAGAAATGCTCCTGTTGATAAATACACATGTACTTTCTTTCATGACGTACTTCTACTGACGATAATATTGTACATGAAGTTATCTATAATCAAAACTTTCATTATTCCCCATATTAATGCCACAACCTGAAGAAAATTAATTATGTCGTTGACATATTTTGCACAGTAACAAAATAAATGACAAAGATGTCTCAATGACAATTCATGTCATCCAACATTGCTCACACCACTTTCACACATCAAGTTATTCTTTCTGGTCTATTGCATATTGCTTTTTTAATCTAAAGTAACCAGGAAGCCGAAAAGATCCAGAGACAACAGAATCAAACTCCCTTGAAAAATACAACAGTGATCAAAACTTTGACAACATCTGCCCAGCAAGGAGACTATTCATGTTTTAGTGTTAATGCGCGTCACTGCTGTTTTTGTACTGCCATACCAAAAACACAAGCACCCTGTCCCAGTTCCAACCTTGCAGCTCGAGAGTCAAACTCAATTTTCAAAATCTGAACTTCTTTGTGCTGATTATTTAGCTCCTCGCAGGTGATAAACTGTCCAATTGTTTTGTTCTGATCAATCCCGCAACAGCATGTGCTTATCTGAGTTGTTGCCGTTATTGTTAGACATTGAGAAATGCTGGCCCAAACTACCGTATTGAGAGAATCGACCATATATCCTACCGGACGATGACGATGACGATGATGCTGACGGTGGAGGTGGAGGAGGTAGCGGCAAACACTGGCTGGGTCGGTTGGACAATTTGCCGGGTTCTGATTGGTAGTTGCCCGGCCGAAGGGGCCTGTGATTGGTGCTTGCCAGCATTCAGCTGTTGCTGAGGTCCCGAAGGTCTGTCAGGAATCCCTCGGGTGTCAAAATGTGGGTAGATCCTGAAACAAAAGGAGAGAGGGAGAGACAAAATTCTGTCAAAGCCTGAGAAAAAAAATCGAAATTAGACAGGTGGATTTAAGGAAGAAAGATACTCTTTACATATCCTCTGACTTAACCCCTTCGTGCCGGGACGCGACTAGAGCCGCCGTAAAAATTGAGATCCTCAGCCCATTTTTCAGCTATTATTCTCGGCCCACGCTCCAGTGAACACGGAGAAAGAAGGCAGACCCTGGCTCTTGTATATATGGTGATTGGCCTTTTGTGTGTAGCCCAGAAATGAAAAGACCGAATCTTAACCACTACCTGCCGGGGACTCCGAAATCGGAGCCATATGGTTTATATGCGTGGCCGGGGTCTCCAAACTCCAACAAAGGAAACAGGGCCCTGTAACAAAAGACCGTACTCCGAACAAAAGACCAGGCTGCTGGGCATTACAGACATTTTTCACTCTCAAAAGTGGTGATAATCCAGCCTTGTTTTGAAACCCTATACCAGGGTTTGGGGTATTTAGAGCAAGCGGGTTACCACCGGGGACAAAAGCTCTCCACCACCGCAGTGATGAGCCACACAGCACCGCTGCACGCTAATCTGGCCCCTATTGAAAAGAGGTCAGCAGTGCACGGAGCCAGGTTTGTGAACAAAAGACAGTTATACAACACCGCAATCTGGGCTCTGTTTACAAGGCTGCTGGCGTGGCTGAAATACTCGGGCGTCAATGAAGGCCACCTGTCAACTTAGAGTAGTGCCTAAAGATTACTTGGTGCGGCTATAAACGACCGTTAAATGAAATTATGAATTTTTGAAGGATTTTGAAAACGGAAAACATGATAGTCATGCCGGCCTAGCATCATCAACATTGAAAAATGCCCTGGCATGAAGTGTTTAATCACCAGCTTCACAATAGTCCCCACTTTGAAAAGAGGCAACGGGAATGTGGAAGCATGAGTAGAGCCGCATGCCACCGAACAATCAGCCTTTTCACTGTGTAATTCAAAGCGTGCAGAGCACGCAGGGCCACAAACCGAGAATTTGCGGTTTGGCAGGTGGCCTTCGTGGCCAAGTGAGGCTGGAATTCTTGGAGTCGGCTTTCAGAAAGAAATTCCCGTCGTCAAGGGGTTAACAAGTACATGTGTACCCTTTTCAAAACACAATTCTGAATGATGCTACCATGAGACCTAAAAATTACCGATTGGTAATTTACAGGTTATGAGACCTAACAATAACCGATTGGTAATTTACAGGTTATGAGACCAAACGATAACCGATTGGTAATTTACAGGTTATGAGACCGAACGATAACCGATTGGTAATTTACAGGTTATGAGACATAACAATAACGATTGGTAATTTACAGGTTATGAGACCTAACAATAACCGATTGGTAATTTACAGGTTATGAGACATAACGATAACGATTGGTAATTTACAGGTTATGAGACCGAACGATAACCGATTGGTAATTTACAGGCTATGAGACCGAACGATAACCGATTGGTAATTTACAGGCTATGAGACATAACGATAACCGATTGGTAATTAACAGGTTATGAGACCTAACAATAACCGATTGGTAATTTACAGGTTATGAGACATAACGATAACCGATTGGTAATTTACAGGCTATGAGACATAACGATAACGATTGGTAATTTACAGGTTATGAGACCTAACAATAACCGATTGGTAATTTACAGGTTATGAGACATAACGATAACCGATTGGTAATTAACAGGTTATGCATGAGATTGTTTTTTCAAGGATAAGATTTAAGGATGATGAGAAATGCAGGGAACATCCTGTGAAGGGTTTGTAGCAATGACAGCAATCAAACCTTGTGACTTTTAATAGCTACCTAGGAATGAGTTCTTGAAAAGTTTGGCAATACGATTCAGAGACTCGTGCTAAATAGCTGAAAAACCTCAGTGATTAAACCTCTTCAAATCCATAATCTGGGGGGTCAGAAATCTTGATATTTGGAAAACTCCTGAGGCGACACAGCCCTGTTTTTTAACTGTAATAATGAATGAAATTCCAATGCAACCAGCACAAGAAGTTATGAATACTAGGGTGGGCAACATTTTGTGTTTAATGACTCATAAACCTTGGAGTAATTTAGAGCAGTTCCTTGCTTAAACACTCAATGAAATAGGGTCCGAGATCTGGAAGTTTTGCCTTCTTACCAATATAGCACTCCCATTTGTTGAACTGTGGGTTCTTATTGATCTCATAAGCACATCTCATCTCGGAGTAAGACACACCGCCGATGATGAAGATAATCAGACGTGGCCCGCTCTTGTAGTTGGTTGCTTGTTTGTCCTTATGCCAGTGACCGTAACGAGCACTACGAGAAATGCATCAAGTCAGAATCAAGGGTATGGCGTGGGCAATGGAAGAATGCATTTTAGAATTTCAATTCTGTGGTGAACAAAAATTACATGACAATTGGTTTTGGAAATGAGTGAGTGTAATTGACCAAAAAGAATGCGCTGCTAAATTACAAGACCAAATTCCAAGTTAATAATTTAAATCATGAAACCGGAGACGAAAAGTCATTCACACTTTCGATTCTGTGATGCTGTGCCTCAAATTGCAGGGACCAAGCAGAGAGTCATACCTTCGTGGGTTGGATCCCCCTCCATAGGTTGTTGCTGAATGACGACCAGACAAGAACGGGTAGGTCTTTACGTCCAGCCGATCGGTGATGGTGTCCTACAAAAATGAGGAATAGATCCAACATGTTGGGCCCAATTTTTCTTTCCAAATAATGGCACTCTGATTCACATTCGCGGGTAGATCTGGTTGCCTGTAGTTGAATGTTTATGAGGAAATGACAATTGACCGTGACATTGGCACCACCGTACCTCCATGATGTCCTTGACTACCGGTGTCCATCGTGACAGCTGGTAGGTGTGTTCAGTGATGCGGTGTGTTCTGTCTGCAACCTTTGGCTTGCGAGCTTTAGGCTGTAGTTCAAGGACAAGAAAGATTAGGATTTTACTTCTGGAGCAAAACTTTAAGATTCCTTGAGGGCATCCGAGACACTGAGGCTCACAAGCCTAAAGAAACCTTTAACCCCAACATTCCTGAATCCTTCAATTTTAATATGATGTTGCACACACCCTAGGGAGTTAGGGTTAAAGAAAAGACAATGATGGCGTGCCTACTTCTAAAAAGAGGATGAAAATCCCAGATAAATATTCTATTGGAAACCCAAGGAGTCAGGGAATAAAAACCCACCTGAACCTTGGGGGGGAGGAGAGTGAATAAGGGTAGAATAACAGCCGTGGTTGTATAAAGGCCAAGGTCATCTGGTGACTTACATCAAAGATGATTTGGACTCCCAGATGTTTCATGTTAGTGACGATAGGCTTCTCAGGCTCAGGAATCTGGGCATGCTGGATGAGTTTGTTCATATTCTCCTCACTGATACCTGTGAAGATCAAAAACGTAACGAAAGTCAATGCAGAAAATAGATCCCTATTCTCAAGCTGCCCCTTCAGAGTTGTCTAGGTAATAACAGAAGGCAGATTTGGATCAAGTTGACGCAGTTTTTATACTTGTGGAGATTTTAAGACAACGGATATGTAACAAAAGTGCCAGGAGTGTATGTCTAGTAACTTATGTGGCGTCAGATCTGACTGCCGAGCCCGATCACTATTTCACAAGGAAGTGTCGTCTCTCACCATTTTTGCCGATGACGTAAAGCAGAATGATGCGCAGCTTGTCGTAGGCGGAGTATTTCTGCTCCAGCAAGATTGGGACGATGTTCCTCATCTGATCTTTGACCTTCTCCCCCTCCGGGTTGGTGCCCAGGGCCAGGTCTTGTTCCACGCGGCACAGGCTCTCCACCAGCGGCTTGAACTGTTTCATGCAGTCCTCAGCCAGACGTAAGTGGGTGGAATACTGAGATTCAAAAGAGGAAAAAGGCTTTGGCTTTTTCTGGACAAATCTGATATTGGGTTGACGAAAGAAAAGAACACAATAAAGGCCCAAGGAAAGGTGGTACCTATTCAATGGAAACCCCAAAAAATCCAATGAGTTGTAACTTTTAAATACAACGACAAGTTGGAGGTTCCAACGAGGGGGAGGGGCCAGCAAGGACAGAGGAGGGGGCAGCTTACCTTTCTCATATCTTTCTGATACTGGGGCATCTTCTTCAACATCTGAGACAAATCACGCACACTCGTCTAAGAAGGAGGAAAACATCAACATGACAAACTATTACTTTGGGTCAATTTGAGAGAGTGACAAAGTTGGAATGGTGTTCAACAGTATCAGACTAAAAAGTATCTGATCTGTCTCATATGACAACATTTTGAAATAGGCATAAAAACTCTCACAAGATTTCATTTGACATTTTCAGGTGTCAGAGACAAAAGCCCCTTCTTTTTTCTCTCCTTTCTTAGAACTAAATCCAAATCCATACCTTCTCGCCCCCTGAGCCCATCTTGCCACCAATCTTGGCTTTGGCAAAGTTCTTCAATTGAGTTGTGATGGCCCTGTGAGGTAAATCAAATACAAAGGTCAAGGACAGGAAATCAAGCAGAAAGGTCAAGGGCAGGAAATCAAGCAGAAAGGTCAAGGGCAGGACATCACGCACAAAGGTCAAAGGCAGGAAATCAAGCAGAAAGGTCAAGGGCAGGACATCACGCACAAAGGTCAAAGGCAGGAAATCAAGCAGAAAGGTCAAGGGCAGGACATCAAGCACAAAGGTCAAGGGTAGGAAATCAAGCAAAAGAACAAGGGCAGGACATCAAGCACAGAGGTCAAGGGTAGGAAATCAAGCACAAAGGTCAAGGGCAGGAAATCAAATTGTTGCAGTTGGTAACTGCTTTTGCACCGTGGAATCAACTTTCCAACAGAAAAAATGAAGAGAGAATGGGTCACACTGGGTATGTGTATGGTCATTGAGGGCGCTGTATACGTAGGCTCATCAGGTGAAAAACGAAAGGCAGCCATGTTTCAAATAAAAACCAGTTCAAGTGAAGTGACATGTTTGAATAGCACACCCAATCAATCTGCGCTCAAAGCGTACCTCTCACAGCGCACCACCAAGAGGTTGCTACGGACAGGCCTTTTTCACAGTGTACTGTGGGCAAAAAGGTCTTAAAGTTCTACTCACAAGCTGCGCTGCTGTGATTGGTCAACTTGAAATGCTCCCCCAAATTTGGTTTTTCTGGGCTGATAATTTGGAAGTATTTTGGGCTTGCTTTGACTCACTGTGAGACATCTGCAATGTGCTGGTGACGCAGACTAATCCACAGATCGTCGTTCTCATCCAGGAGGACTTCCTGGTCGTTCATTTCGCTACCGCTTGCTTCGTACCTATAAAAGAATCGTAGAAACAATTCCGTCAACCAGTACATTTCAACACAAACGGCAGTCATGCTGAAAATTCCCACAGAGTCAATGGATAGAAACCCTTGTTTGGTGGACGTTGGACTACAAGACTTACTTTTCTGAGAGTTACAACCAACTTCACACCATGCAAAATGTAGAACCCAATTTCAATTATTTTCCTTGACCCATCCACCCACTATTTCGGAAAAAAAAAAAAATCAAAATTGAAAATTTTGAATGGACCCTTACAACCGCAAACAGTAGAAGGCAGAGAGAACGTAAAAGTAGTCCAGAACCATGGAACCACTCGTTTGTAAATCTCGTAGAATAATGAGGCCCTTCATGTTCAGTCGAACAAATTCTTGGTGTCAATGCACCGGTATCACTGGCAAGATTAACTGTGATATCAATGCAGCCCCCTGGGTTCCACACTGACCTGTAGACGTCGTTCTCGATGGGCAAGAGGTCATTGGCCATAGCTTGAAAGGTCAGCTCGTGGAGCAAAGGTGACACGGGGTCAAAGCCACGGTCAAGGACAATCAGCTGGGAGCGGTGTTTCTCTGGACCCTGGGTGAAAAAACCAGAAACAAGTTGGGGTTAATAAACAAACTGCAGACAATCAAACGTTACATTTTCTTAATCCAGAGTCTCAAATGTAGATCTGCTTCTTTTAATAATTTTACACACTCCAACAGACTTTTCTCAAATTCTCTGTAGGCCCTGTGAATACTTTTCAGTTGTCTAGAAAGTCTCCTCTGCTTTACAGAAAACTTCTCATCTCACACGGAAACTCGTCTAACTTGTCAAGAAGTTTCCTGACTACTCTGGACTCACCAAGAAAATAATCATTATCTACAAAATGTAGTGATTAATTTTCAACTATTAAAGAAAGGCAATATTTCCAAACAAGCTGATAACAAGGGACGACCTTACCTCTCCCATGGTGGGCTCGTCTGCTTTGTACGCATCCAACTTGCTCTGAATCATCTGTGCTACCTCCAAGTTACGATCAAACTCACTGAACAAAACAACACAGACACTACTTACAAACAATAGGGCTGTAGTTAAGACAGAGCTATCATTTAAGAGCTGAAAAAAATGATTTGAACAGCTTAACGAAGAGACTTAACGAAAAGCCATCAGTGATGTTTTGAAATTTCTGTGTTAAATTCTGAACACTAACATTCTAAGTTAATACTAAATGACACGAGATTTGTCCAAAACTAACTGTTGGATTTTGAAAAATATGGGAGGGTTAGGGTCAATGAAATATTCAATAATATGGCTCTACAATATCAAGTGAGCTGTTTCTTTGGAAGGCGAACGACTGACTGACTGACCCGCGATATCGGATGGCAGGATATTCTCCAAGTGATGCACACAGCGTAGCAATCTGTTCGGCCATTCTCTCAATCATGATGGAGCTTCCACCCATGCGGACTGGGTTGTAGAAGCTGTTGAAGCTCTCCGGCGAGTCAAGAGAGTACACCTGGGGGGGGGGGGGAAGGGGTCATATTGGAAAAGAGATTTAATCAACCTCCAAAATGCTCTACACCGAGGGCAGACAGGATTTGATTGTTGTTCATCCAAATCAAATATTTCAATTTCTTAATTTTCATCGGCAAAAGTTGAACACTTAGCATCTCTAACAAAGAGGATGACCCAAATGCATAGGGTTGGAAAACTCGGTTGGAAAACTCAGTTGGTAAAGCACCAGCACAGTGTCACGGCTGTTGCAGGTTCAAATCCCACTCCAGTTATTTGTTTATTTTTATAATTATTATATAAGCAATTGCTAGCTCCCTGTTTAATTAATTTGACTACTGGATAAACATCAACAGGAACGGAGTGACAATTTTCAAAAGCAATTTACCGAGGATTCATACGGCATGAAAGCAATGTTGATTTCCTTCAGCGTCAAAATTTTGGATTTGGCAGGGCTCTTGTTCAGTGTGCTAAATAGCTCGTTGGGACAACCTGTCACAAAAAAAAAATAATTGGGTGTTGATTATAGAAGGCAATTAATTGTGACTGACTGCAATTTCAAAACTGAACTATTTCAAATATAGTGTATAGCTTCACAATGTTTTCAGATGATCCTTGGCAAATGTGAAGTTCCCAAAGATACAAAACCTTCACAGATTCCTTTCATAGTGCTACACTTTTTTGTTCTGTTTTTTCTTCTCTTTTCTTGCTCCTAATATAGATGACGACTGGCACAAGGTCAGATCAGATTGCAAAGGGAAAAACTGTGCCGCAAAAAAAATTGTTTGAAAAGTGAGAGATTAAATGTTGGAGGGAACAGAATACGGGTGAAGAGGTCAACAGGGCAGAGGTACACGTGAAAAAAAGGTAGGAGAGTATTTCACAAAGCACTTTGGAGGAGATAATTTACAGCAAAGGGATCCCAGAAGGCTTCAATGACATGTGTTTGAGTGATAGCACTTTCCGCAAGAAATAGCAAAGGATTTCTGCAACACATGTAAAAATGATCCATGAATCAAAGACGATCCCTGTACTCACATTCTGTGAAGAAGACGTGGGCATACTTATACTGAGGACTGAGAGGCTCCTTGAAGTCGTTGATTAGCTGTGCAATAGACTACAAAGAGGAAATAAAGGACTCGTTAATCCTGTAATGAACCCACAGCTGTCAAATAAAATGCAGACAGCTAAGAATACTATGACCAAGAATGGCACAGCTTGGATGGTTGTCGTCAAATACTCTACATTTACATGAAGGAAGAGCTGGGTGTAGAAAGAGTTGCGACGTGAGTGTCACCATTGTTGGAAACAAACGGACAGGTGTATGCACCTGTGCACAAGGACAGTTGGTATACAAGAGCTGCATGCTCTACTACACACATAATGAATGGTCATTTTATTTCCCAAATCTGATTCTGGCGTTACTCTCTCAATATACAGCTCTGCATGGAGCCAATCTGCATATGAAGTCTTAATCCATCCCCAAAACTGACAACATATACCACCAGAGAATCATCTCCTTGTCCATAAATCTGAATATTTGTCCCCTGTTCCCAACGAGTATGTCATTAATCTGATAACAAAACAATGTGATGGAATGCAGAGTTGGAAACTTGACAACTGCTGTAATCCTTGGTATTTGTTATTTTCCCCTAATCAGGAATGTAAACAAGTCATTGTTACTGAGAGAATCCTCTCAGTTTCCTTTCTGTTTGATATTTTATGTTGGGATTCAATCCGGGTTTCTTTTCTTTTTACAAGGTGATATAAACCAGTTACAACAAGCAGACCCAGAATTACATTTCTCGGTTTCAATTTTTTTGGGAATGTACAACTTTTGTCCCTGTACCGGTACCGTACCTTTTCCGAAGGCTGCATGATGTAGATGGACTCCAACGTCCGAATGGGTTCGCGTTTCTTCATCAAGTCTTCCACCACTGATCAAACAAATAGACAGATGCACCAAGGATGAACAATCATTCATACGTGTTCTCCATACAAAATTCTTAAATTAACACTTTAATTTTGGAAAGTTGAAAGCAATTCAGAGATTGTTTACGATTTTGATATCTTCGACAGCTTCCCCATAATGGCTGCAGAATCAGATGATTTCTAAGACAGATTTCTAAAGCAAATGGTCTTAAAGGCAGAATTCTGGAGTGGAAATGCAATGGTTTGGGGTTCCAACTCCCTCCAGGATAAAATGTGAACATATCTGTATCAAATGAAAAGCAACATTTAATTGGATGTCCAATTGTAGTCTGTACAGTGAACTTACAGGTGACGCCTAGATTGGTCATATCCTTCATGCGACAACATGATGACAGTATGCGCATACTCAGTTGATCCACTACTAGAACCTAACATCAAGCAAACAAAACGATACAGTATGTTACCCAAGTGTGTTCATAGTCGTTTTTTCCTGGTACCCAACTAGATGCAATGAAACCCAACACAACTGAAATTTATGTAAACCTTGCTGAATGCAACCAAATGGAACAGTTGATTTTGATTGATTTCTGAGGACCACTGGAACAATGCCCAGTTCCACAGTCTCCCTTCCGCATATTCAATGCTAAATTTGTACAAGGCAGGGCTTAGGATAAGTAACATCTTTGAGTCCCTTTCCAAGCACGGCAATTTTAGCGGACACAGCCCTGGTCCAGGTCATGAAGGACAAGCACAAGTAGAATGCCTGACATTTCCCGGTAGCAGTGCTGTACTGTCGATATATTTTCTCTGAGTGTGTATTTCCACTTACCTTCCATTCGTTTCTCTTCCTCAGAGGAGCAAACACCTCATTCATAATCCCTGAAAGAGACAGGATACTAGACGTAAGGAAATAGTCGCATGATACATGTGTGAAAAGACTGTACTCCAATCTCACCACTGCAGAAGTTCTTTCAACCCTACCTACTTTGGCAATATCATAGGATAACTTCTTATATCCGTCTTAGTTCTCTACTTTGTTATGCAGGAACTCAATAAAGAATTCTGTGTACTCAAAACTTTCAAAGGGAAGCAAGCCCTACACAAGAAAAGTAAAAGTGGATGGGATATACCATCTACAATTGCTTCTGATGGACTTTGAAGGATCAGGGAGGGTTAGGGCCAATAATTAACAGAAAAACCAAGCCTACCGTGGTACATGTACAAAACGATGTACATGTGAGTGGACATGGTTGAGAAAATTCCATCCAGAATGAGGAAAACGTGACAAAAACCCTGAGTTCTCACCCACCTTGTATTGTTCATCACAATCTATATGTACATGTAGCTCTTAAAGAGTTTTCAATGGTTCATAGGGTATGTACAACTGTAAAATCCTTGGACTGGAATATTCTAATTTTCCCCAAAGAGTTTGTCACCGGTTTGCCACAAGGCAGTGTTGGATTCCAGCCCAGTCATGATGGTTCCCAACCCAAAGCCTCCAGGGATAGAATTACAAAAATTCAAGCAACTTGCACAAGGTATTAGTAGTATTATGATCTGCTCGTGGGACATGGCTCATACATGTACATGCTTGTCAATCTGAAATCCCACAAGTGTATCCAAAATCTTGCCTCAACTTGCTGAATAAGAACTCCCAAAGCATGAAATAAGAACAGAGGCTAAGCAGTGATTTTCTCTGATTACCGATTTCTCTGATTAGGTAGCCATCCAATGTTTGCAGAATTCCCTTTTATTTCTAATAACAGTTTCAAATACATGTATATGGAATATTCCTGGCATATTCCTTTAAAAAAAGCAAGAACAAATTTTCAGATGAAATGATTTATCCACAGGTCTACTTCACAAAATTAGGTTTAAATTGCAAATATGCCCAGTTTTATTTGCACACTTGTATAACTCTTCGATAACATCTTTTAATGTATCGGACAGGAAAATATATCGAGATGGTAAAGTGCATAATATAGGGCATCTGTGTCCTCAATTCACGCTTCAACATGACAGACATATCGTACATGTACGATCTAGTCAACTGAGACTATTTCAGATGAACTGTTATGGAGTGATACGAGGCATAAACAATGTACAATTTACACAAGGCCAATTCATCTCTCAGCAACATTTTTGGTAATCGGCCAGATATGCGTAACACCGAAATACGCATTTCATGTAATTAATCATTGCACAATACAATGTAAATGTACATCTACATGTGCTACCCATGAAGAGGAAGGTACATGCATTATTCCGACCTCCAATGGACACACAGTAAATTTTAGCAGGTATTCATGAGCATGACAGGACATAAAATTTTACACATGCTGGTACAAATATTTGACTGTACAAGGTATGGACAGTACGATATGCACCTGTACATATCAGATCTGATACAAGTGGGCATATGTATACATGTACACGTTGAAACAATTAGAAACAATTAGCATATTTGAAACTAGACTCTCAAACTCAAGCAGATCAGCCCGTCAGTTTTCAGCAAAATGAGTACAAAGACTTAATTGAATTGGCTTGACTAAACACGGCAAAAATTGCTACCCGTACATGAAATCCATGCCAAACAGAATGGCCAAATAAATAATTACAAGGACATTACACTTTGGCTCCTTTTGTTTGCAGGAAAAGCCATGGCAACGGTCTTCTATGATTGTCAATCAAAAATGGTTTTAATCGTTATGAAAAAGGAGCAATACCATCTGTCAGTCTTGAAAGCGTTTACCGTTTGACTCACACAAAATACAGAAATGAGGACAGGGACTTCTGGCAGACTGCTGCACATAAAAATAGGTATTCATTGATTGCATACTGAGACCATGCTATCAATTAGCCCACAGCCTATTCAAATTCATGTACATGCTTGCTGCCGAATTTACACTACACGTCTGCACCTCTACTCACAGGGCTAGTGTACAGAAATGTGAAAGGGAACTTTAATTGCATTGATCAGCATGAGTGACTACAGCGGGTCAATACCAACCAGAGGCGTTTCTGCATAATGCAAGCCACGGGGCCATGAACAGACGTACCCTCCTTCCTTTTTATGCCTCTAGACAAACAGTCAAGTATGCAAATATGCCTCAGGTGACGGTGGTCAGCATCCATAACAAATGATGAGATACATGTACATGTCACAGAGGAATGTACATGTCTGCGTACTATGAATCTGGACATTTGATCAGGGCAGGGTTGTTTATCAGTATCTTGTCAAGATATCAATTTTCAATCGGGGCTTAAAGCTAATGCATGTACCTCAATCATACCCATCCACCGACATATCAATATGATTACACGTGGAATAAAAGTAAAGCAAATGAGACAAGTTGGAGTTGTATGTGTTCAGATGTTCATGTGAGTTAAGGGCTGTGTTTTCAATTGATTATTGAATATTTGAATATTCGTTGTTGAAATCGAATATTTGGAGGTGAAAAACAATTTAGTTTTGTCCATATGATATGAGCAAAAATTGTACGTGATTTTTGCATCACTAGTTCCTAAATTCAGCACATGTAAATTAGTTCGAAGATACATTTCCTTGCTTTTGTGGAGCTTGTTTCAATGTCATTCTACATGCAACCTCACAGATTTACTTTTGAGAATGACTCACCCTGGTTTATTGAACCGTGCAAAAATATTCTAGGCCATCGGTATGTATTTTCCTGACACACAATTTCAAAAAAGCTAATCAATAAACAAAATTCAATAATGATCATGTATTAGACGATGTCTGGATCTGGATTCGGATTGGTTACTCTGCCAAAGCAGATAATTACATCTCAACAGAGGGTGACCTTTAGAACCACGGGGTGTTATGGTGTGTAATGGAGAGGAAACAAATGAGAAACACCTAACGTTTGAGAGGTGGTCGGATAACCCCAGAAGAACATTCCCGGCAAAGCCATCAGGATCAGACGGGGACTGCAAACCTAATAATACATACATGTATGTGAACCGAGCCAGGAATTGAACTCGGACTGCAGAGGTGAAAGGTGAGAAACAATGCACTACGCCAGCCCGGTTGTCTAGGTATCAAAGATTTGTCTGAGGAACTCTAATTTAACAGAGATGGGAATTTCAGTTTCTCATGAGCGGCAACAACCGTACGTGTAATACATGTAGACCATCTGATCAACGGCCTAAGTTTTATGCACTTTACAAAGGATAACAAATTCAAACATTCTGTCCAGGGGAACTTGCCACTTTGGAAAGAATAGGTGTCTTACAATGTCATTACTACAGAGACAGATCTTCAAACCTCTTGCCAATACAATCTTCCAACATAATTCAGACCCTATCATTCACTTCATAAAACATCACAATTTTACAAATATGTGCATGTCCCAGTAGAGATGCATTAAAACAAGCACCAGCTGAATTGGTGGAAGGGGGGGACATGTTGGCACAGGTCCAGTCTCTGTCATATCTGACACCAGTTTTGTTCTTACAGTGGTTTGGATCATATTACATGAACATGAATGACCCGTTTCCTTCCAGATGATCCAAGTGGTGTTTTTGGACAGCGGTTGTGTTGCTGGCTGTGGTCATGGCGGTACAAGGAAATAGGTCCCTTTGCTACCACAGTTGACTTTAAAGTGATTTACTTGTTTATTTTTTTTATTCATATTTTGCTTTACTGGGGTGAAATCAGGACGTACATGTGCCTGCTTTATGATTATGGGGCATGGTTCATACACAGTGTACATGTACCTGTACACGTGTCATTCTCAAAGAACATTAAAACCCAGAATTGTACCCAAAATCTTGCCTCAACTTGCTGAATAAGAACTCCCAAAGCACGAAATAAGAACAGAGGCCAAGCGATGATTTTCTGTGATTACTGCCTGGAATAGAATGCCTGACGTGATAAAGAAAGTATAAGTACCTGTACAAAAATAACAGCCTGTGCCTAACAGAAACATTTATGCAACTGAGATAATATGTACTGTCGCGTTCAGTAAGAATAAATTTGTGGACTTAGATGTCACGAAATTCAGATAAATTACAGTTTTGCACTTCTTACCATGACAACGAAACAACCATTGTCTAATTTGGTGAGGGTTATGGATTATTTTTAACCCTCATGGCTTTCTAGCATGCTTGGTAATTGGTATCATCCTTGATGCATCATGTGTACGAAGCACCTCGTGAATGATGTAGCAACTAATGAGCACAACCTCCATTGTTACGACTATGAGATTGACGAGAATGATGTTTACGCATGGGGGTACAGCAAAAGTTGGGTTAATGGACCCAGCTTTCCTAGCAATTTTGCTGTGACCCTCCTTGAATCCTCCAAAATCCTACACAGTACACAGTGTAGGAAACCAACGGCACACTCTCTGCATTTCAACATTCAATAGACTCCGACATCCATGTAAGAGTTGAAGGAATCGACCTTCCTCAACCCTACAAAATCTGTGGAAAATCTCCTCTCAAAGCATTTTCAAGGATTAAGGTGGGCCAGGGTATTAGGTAAAGTTTGTGGTAACTTCTGGTGTCCACTGTCATGTCATGCATTCCACTGGGGCAAGACTGGCTCCTGAAGGCAAGTATATTTCTGAAAAGCATATGAGTACCACTCACAAGTCGAGATGAGCCGTACATTTCTTATTTTACTCTTGGGAGGTTTTAGCTGATATATCTGTGTGAAAACAAATTTTTTCATGTCTGAAATATGTTTGTTATTTATTGGTTGTCATTTAAGGGCAAATTCAACTTCCTGATAAATACAGCATTTTTCAGAGTGTTTCTTGTTCTTTTTTTTCAGAAAGTCTTCATTCAAGAACTGGATTAACACTGTACTTTGATGGCCAATTTTACAGTACAGGTTGGTGGGAGTTTCTTCAATGACGTTTTGTGTGACGCCAAATACACGTACCCTCAAAAGCATTTTGCACCGAAATAGAACAAAATCAAAGTCAAAACTCAAAACTGGAATTTGAGCCTGAAATTTTGAAGAACAGACTCTCTGTCATTGCCATTGTACCATGTTTCAAATCCAGGCATCACTCAATAATTCTTAAAGCTAGCCGACTACAAAATAACATTAAAACGTCGGATAGTTCCAGGAAAAACAAGTCAATTTACATTTTATATACAGAAAGGCTTCTGGCATGACAGAATTACTCAATTAGTTAAAGTCTGAGAAAAAATTGACATCAAAACACATTTTGAGAGTACCGGTAGATAATCAGGTCTGTGATGCATTTTTCTACAGTTCAATACTTCAATTGTGAATTTCACTGAGGGATTTCCTTCTCTTTTGCCAGGAAACTGTGCAGCTGATTTAACCAGAATCCCCAATCATGTCCTGAAGCAGTGCTGGTATTGCAAAAACGTTAAGCTAATCTAAAGGCATGTAAATGAAGGATGTACTGATTTCTGCAACATCTCAAAATTATTATTCATTAAAATATTATTTGGAAGGGTCAGTGGCATAAATTTGTGGGGCGGGGAGAGGAAGGAAATTTTAAAATGGAGGGGGCGGCTGACACATGATGACACTGTATGGGGCAATGCTCATCACACAGATGTATATTACAATTTGCTTCCATTCCAATGATCAATCATAGCTCAGCTTTCAGTTAGACGGGGTTAGGAAAACAAAAGGTAAAGATAGGAGCTGTGTTACGATTGGTCAAGCTATCACACAGCTGACAGTTATCGAGAGTACATGCTGCTGATTTTCTGTAATGTGGATGGGAAAAATGCTCAAGAATTTCACCACTTTAATCAGGATATAAGGTGAATAAAGCTCCCCATTTGACATCTGACTTGACCAAGCAGGCATGTATGAAATTTGGTTGCACAAATAGCTATGATGGAAGGGTACGTTGGCACAATTAAAACAGCCAAAATGTGTTTATGGGAGCACGCAGATGGCTTTCTGTAAGGTTTGTAAGTCTGCTGGTATATATTTTCAGGGAAAGATTTGATTGAAAAAGTGAAGTTCTGACTCAACTTGGACTGAAGGGTTATAGCGGGGATATTTTCAAATGCCGTAAGGTACAGAACTATCAAACGTCAGGAATCTGTACAGGAACACAAGGCTACGGAGTAGTGTCTTACAGTTCTGGAAAAAGCTTAGGTTATACATGCTGTTCAAGAAAAAAAGGACAAGGAAACGGAAATGTTTAGAGTCAACAAACACTCCCTATTTGATAGACCTGTAAAATTGCAATGTCACCTGTCACAACAGGCACAACATGCAACTAGGCTAGTTAGTTTATGTAGTTTTGTGCATAAATATGAAACCATATAGCCATAGGGAACCAGTCTACCTAACTTCTCTGGTGAGTGGATGAGTGGGCGAGTCGACGGTAGGCCTAGTCCAGGTAGGCCTACAATCCCCCTAGTCCCCCTACATCATGTACCGAATCTGGGTCAACTCGTACCCTAGTCAACTCGTGCCCCAGTCAACTTGTACCCCAGTCAACTCGTGCCCCAGTCAACTCGTGCCCCAGTCAACTCATATCCCAGTCAACTCGTAACCCAGTCAACACGTGCCCCAGTCAACTCGTACCCCAGTCAACTCGTAACCCAGTCAACTCGTGCCCCAGTCAACTCATGTCTGAGTCAAATTCGTACCCCAGTCAATTAATATGGAACACAAGGGCGTGGTTACCGGAGATTGGCAAACATAATGCTAAATTTGAATAAACATAAATGTAGGGGGGATTTAGAATTGTTGTGTTGCGGAAATGCAGTGTGTTGCGTGTTCTCAGTTGATTATAGGTGAAATCTCACCACGTGCTTTTTAAAACCATCGCGTGATGCAGGGCCATCGTAAGTTTGTAGCACATGTGCCAAACGCCGGAGCGACACTGGTGCAGCACAACTTGTTATCCATTTTTCCTTGTGTTTGCTTTTTTATCACATTTTCTTGCATGCACTCTGTGCCCTTCCAATGTCATGCCATATTAAAACCGAACATCTGAACCGACCAGTTTGGTTTGGTTCGAAAGTGCAATGTTCGACAATTTTTGGTTTGGTTTGGCACCGACTGCAGCACTATTCTAATGTACGGAGTACGAGTTGTCCTGGGAACAAGTGGTCCTGGGTATGAGTTGACGTGGGTAGGAGATGATGGGGTTACGAGTTGACTTGGGCGGGAGTTTGGAGGTATGAGTTGACCTGGGTACGAGTTGTCCCGGGTACGAGTTGACCTGATTCCCATGTACCGAGGCCTAGGCCTACGTACATACGTATACAAATAGGCCTATACGCGAACGCGGCTAGGCCGTACGAGAATAAAATTTGTGTCCAAAAATAAAAACCACAAAATCCATCTTCTAATGACGAAAAATGAAAAAAATTGGAATTTTAAACACTGGAATAAAAAACTATTTAATGTCTTAAGGCATTTTATTCAGAAATTGAATTGTCTATAAAAGGAAAAAGACAAAAATTGCAGCAAACTTACTTTGACCGACCACCGCCTTGAGCGCCATCTTGATTTTTTATTATTATTATCATATTGAATTCTGGGTAATCTGGCAGAGAGCGCATGGTTCCCCAGTGAGTGGCGTGATTGGTCAAATGTAAACCACGCAGTATTAAAGTTACCAGACTCTCAAAATGGCAGCCGATACTGTACAGTCGAACTTGCAGGATGAACTCGAAAAATTTAAGACTGTGCAAAAACGTAAGATATTGCTATTTGCATTTGTTGCGATTTATAAGGCGATTGCATTGGGGAATATATTCACATTTATGGACATGATATATGATTTTCCTGATTTGGGAAATAGAATCTTTTTCGCACGGTTAGGCCAAACCCTTCCGCTGCTGCTTACAGTTACACAGTTTAATCGCCCCCCAAATAACGCGCGTTTCGCCATGTTCTCCCGCAATTTGGTGACTTTTGTTTTTGTATTGTTGCTGTGTAAATTCTGGATACTTGGCAGCCTGGGGAGGATTTCCTACCCCAGCATTCTAGGTTTGGTTTGGTTGATAGGTTTTTGTCGTTTTGTGAATTTCATTTTGGGAAAGACTTCTAGGCCTATACTATAGTGATGATATAGGCCTGCAGACAGCATTTGATGCCCTCTGGACAAACCTATGAGACTCGTCTGAAAAAACATCTAAGTGTTTTCTAAGCTCAATTGCAGAATACCCCGCCACCCCACATGATCAACCTCATAGCCAGGTACAGGTCAAAATGTCACACTCTTCTCAAGGGATTTTCACCTTGTACCCACGTAGCCAGTCATTCCAGGGGTGCTTTTTTTAGAATTGCGGGGTATTCTGCAATTACTCTGTTTTCTGAGTAAATGCTCTGGAATTTTCTTAGCTAAATTTCACTTCTTAGGACATGTTATCATTCTCTAATGGCTGGTGTAATATTTTTAACGAAAATTGGTGTTGTCCATAAATGGAACTCTTTCCTCATTTTGTTTTTTTAGGTCTAATTTTTAACTGTTTTCCATTCCCCGGCTGGCCCCAGCATGCTTTGCATTTATAATGAATGACGTAGACCTACATGACCTATGCAAGAATAAGACCTGAGGATCCTTTTTCTTTTTTTCTCAATGATATGAAAGGCCATACATGGATCATGCAGTGCAAGATATTTTTATTGCAGTTTGATTAATTTTTGTGTTAAACATGTTTTTATTATGATGTGTTTCATACAGAGTACCAGAAGAGTGTGGAAACAAGACAAAAGCTTGATGCCCAGCTGAACGAAAATAACATTGTGAAGAGCGTAAGTATTACAGACAGAGGAGTTGCTATGCTTTTTTCCTTTTTAAAATTCACCCTGCAATTGTTTTGTTAAATGTGTAAAATTACCGTCCTGGAATAATTTGTCATTTTACAGCACTGGGTTCTTGTGTCCACAGTTTAAGTCGATTAAACCAGCGTGCAAGTTTTCAGCACCCTAAAATTCTCAGTGTCTGTTTGCAACTGGCAACCAAATGAGAGTTTTTTAGTCTTGTACAAGAAGAAACTTTGAAAAATTGAAGACTTTTATTTCTGTCATGGCATCATAGGAGCTGGATCTGTTGGAGTCAGATGCTAAAGTCTATAAGATGATGGGTCCGGCTCTGATACAGCAGGATGTTGTGGAAGCCAAGCAGACAGTGGGCAAGAGAATTGAGTACATCGAAGGAGAGATGTAAGTTGAGGCATTGAGAGTGTCTTATTGCAATGCATGAAACGGATTTCAAAAACCCAGAGTTATCTTATGGTTCAAAATTTGACCATTTTGTGCTTGTCCTTTTTTTTTCTCTCTCTCTTAATTTGTATTCGAAAGCCTGATGATCACTCTTTGTCGAGCACTGTCAATTCAGGTTTCCCGTTTTGGTTTCACCTCAGGAAAAGGCAAGACGGACTGATCAAAGACCTTGACAAGAAGCAGAATGATCACCGAGAGAAATTGGCCAAGCTTCAACAGCAGTTCCAGAAAGCACAAATGCAAAAGTCGTAGCAGGCATTGTAGCCTCTTCAAGCAAAGAATGAACACTATTTAAACTTTGTTTCATTCAAAGTTGTGTGATTTTCCCCTTGCTTAGAAGACCCTTGTCAAGGCTCAGCCATTTGGATCTCTGAAAGAGACTGGTTCCCCATAATAGGCTGGCACCCATGGTGTAACTAGTTTAACATAACCAATATGGATTGGGTACTTGGCCAAGATGACTGCAGGTTGATCTCTCCTTCTGACTGAACCTTTTCTAATGTGGACTTTCTCTCCCGTTTTGCATGCTGTTCAGTATAATTCAAGATTGTTGTCTCCGGTAGCATAGTGCCATTAATTTGATAATTTACCTCGCTGATATTATGTTCTTCACTGATCCCATTTATGGGTACTGGAGTAAGATGTCAGTGGTGTTCCTATGTAATAAAATCATTGTACCTAGAAACTACATAAGCTAGAGTGACAGAAAATGAGCCCCATCTAGTAGATTTTTGCAGTGACCTGCTTTCCATCAGCTGTATTTATTCAACCCAAGGATTTAGTCTGAAGAAGTTTGTTTACACGAGTGTACTTTGAAACAGTTTCATTGAAGACCTTGCTTTTTGTGTGTAATATTTGCCAGTGGTAAAATTCATGTTTCCATTAAAAAAAATGTGGTAGCTAAATCAAGCAGCTTGGTTTGATCCAACGTCTTGTTTAGTTTTTTTTTTTCATTTATTTGTCATGTATGTTAATCGGGCTGAAGAATAATGCCATTTGCATCAGTTAGTTTATATAAATTATGCTGTTCAAAAGTGTGGGAAGATACAAGAAGCATGACATGGACTTTCGAACTCTCCACAGGCTTTCATTGTAATCACTGTTCAAAAGTCCAGAGGCACGAAATAAGAGAGAAGATTTTGGACTGAAAACAGGCCTCAACTGTCCTATTTTAGCCTTTGACCATGGAGGAATAAAATTCCTGCATGCTTTGACTATTTCTGAAACTCCCTGTGGTCGTCGGGGAAAGGGAATTTTTTCCACGGGCTTACTTTTATACTTATTCCACTGGGGTGGATGTTTGGCAATTTGGGAATGACGAGACTAGGGTGTATACATTGACCATTTTTTAAGAACACGATCTCAATCCTGAGAGTGTGACTAAAAACCAAAGCCCAAGTCGGCGTAACCTGCTCGATAGTTTGCACAGTATTTTACTGATACAAATCTTTACGAATGCAGGCACCAAGGGCAAAAGTTTCACCCATCCCGAGCATTTTACTCCCACCGTTGATTTGAAATAGCGCCCTCTATACTATATTTTTGAGGTTTGGAGTGTCGATGGTAATCATCTCGGCTCACTCATTAGTATTTTAAAATAATAAGCGTACCAGCGAAGAAAAAAAGTTTGCACTTCATTGGTACCCTGTGATTCCTGTGAGATTGAAACGAGAGAAAGTTCAGATACCAACTAAAGTTTATCGTTGCCAGATAACGCTGCTGCAATAGTGATCACCTTCCATGGTACGTACACACACGACACATGCAGGCTGCCATAGAACATAGATGATTTGGCCTACCTAGGTAGGAAAATTCGGTGTCTGACCTGGAAAATTAGTGGAAATTTCAGCTAAGCAGCAGGATCGAAATGGAAAATTACAAAGTAAGGGGTATTTTTGGTTTGACGAGTAACGTTAGTATCGTGCACTTTTGAATGTTGTCGAAATATTCATGTGCTTCATTTGAATTTCAGAAACCATAGAGGTACATGCTGAAACTAAATTAAAGTTTTCGTTCGACTTCAGCTAGCAGTAGGCCTAGGCCCGATATCAGTGTACTATTACTGATTACTGTATCACCACGTTCATTATGTCGTCATTAACATGCTCATCATCCCCTTCATTATCATATCTGTCACATCATGGACTTAATAAGTATTAAAGTTAATGTCAAGCCGTGTCATAAGCCTTATCGCTAGTAAGACCGCATTGTGAGTAATTTTGCGCAATGGTAGGAAGGCATCGTGGGAAGGAAAAAGGACCTAACATTGCCCCCCTTTTCCTTCCCACAATGCCTTTCTACCATTGTGCAAAATCACTCATGCGGTATGATGATCAGCATTAATACTTACGGGGTGTCAAGTGAGAATAAGGCCTAATTAGGCTAGGCCCTATGTCCACTTTGATCTGAAAATGTGAAACATACTAATGTCCACTTTAAGTTACAGAGGCCTACTCAAGAAGATTTACAAATTCACATTAAAGATTAAGCATGAATTTTGGGTGCAATCCATTGATTTATGCGATCAGTTGATCTGAATGTATGATTTGTTAATGATTCCGCCATCAACCAACTGCACGTTATTTATAATTTGCGGTTTTGAAAGATTTTCTTCAAAATGGAAAGTTAAGTCGGAGAATAAATACAAAATCAATTGACTGCTCAACATGATCACGTGATTGTGCTGATAGTGCTCAACCCAAGTTTCCAGCTACCAGGGCAATAGTGTACCTTAATTGACCAATCAAATGGAAGTTTCAGGCTGCAAACTTGGATGTGCACGATCCTCGTGTAACATCAGTCGATTCTAGGTGAAATCTCCAACTGGTAAGGAACAAATGTGACCATCCCAATATACATTGTTTTGTACGTATGTAATTTAAAGTTTATTTTATTCAACTGAATTCTAAATGTATTTTTGTAAAACTGCTTTCTAATTTAGTCCTTGGGCTGCTATTGACAGTTTGACAAGAAGAAATCGCAGTTATTTATTTCTTTTGCTGTGTTATTGTGTAAATATTTTACAATTCTCAGATTACTTGCTTTTTGGTTTTAAGTTACTGGAACGGTTGGGCAAAGGTGCTCAAGGATCGGTGTTTAAGGTGCAAAATCACGCGGACCAGTGCACTTACGTCTTGAAGAAGGTAAGCAATTTTAGTAAACACAGCACCAATGGGTTATGTAGTGATTCTAGTTAAATTTGATGTAATGTTTGATACGTTGAGATTGTACATGTTGTTAATCTTGTCTTTTTTCCCCATATAAACCCAGGTGGAGTGCACAGAAGAAGGCGAAGCGAACAAAGCATTCAAAGAGGTAAGTTGCTTGCTTATCCTGATTATTTTCAAATAGAAAGGCCACTATGAAGAACAGGGTTGCCTCTTGTGAAATGTTTTTACTACATGTCCATACAGCGCTATTGTTTTGATGATACCATTTTCTTGAAAAGAGATGTATCTTATACACACCCTCTCTCCAAGCCCTCCCCCCCTGCAAAATATGAGCATCCATTGTTGGGTGAAACCCTCCTCGATCCTCCTCCAGTATTCTCTGTCTTGCTGCTCCCGCCCATAGTTGTGCTACACAGTAATGACTGAAGAGGTATTCTGGGTGATGAACCAATCACCACACAGTGCATTCCCCTTAAAGCAGCCACCAATTTCGCTCTGTTACTATCGCTGGAAAGAGGAAAGGGAAATTAAGATTGATTGGATAATGAATTTAAAGCATTACTCTGTTAGCGTGTGACGTTCTTGTGCTGTGGCAAAGGCTAATGCATTGGTTGAATATAAATCCAAATACTGTAAGTTGTGTAAACATTGGAGTAGTAGGGAATGAATTTGATGTGAAACTTTAACTTCATATCCGCAGCAGTAAGCCAAACATCTTGTTGGACTGTCCAATCATTCAGTTTGCCTGGTTGCTGTCAAAATTCACATAGGGCTGTGCTGAATATCCGAATATTTGATTGATTATTGAAAATTCGTATATTATTCTATGAATTTAAATATTCAAATGCAAAATTCATGAAACGGAAGGGAGAATTTTCTTTTGTTTGACATGAGAAATATTGCACTATGGAGGCTTGTTCCAAGCATATTCAAATGAAAAGCCACAGAGATCCTATGGCGATTAAAAAAATATATTATTCATTATTCAAAAGGAATAGAAATTTGTAACAAAGCAAGAAGTACTGTTCATCTTTAAATTTTACTAAATCGTGGCTGGAGATACTCAAAGACATGAAAAGCTATTGTAGTGGTTATAATGTACAATTGTGTGCGTTATTGCAACTGATTTTGTTTGTTCATCAACAATCTGCCGGTCAGTTTGACCGAATATTCAGATATTCAGATAATGAAGGTTGAATATTCAAATAGTGAATTATTCGAATTGAGTCAGCCCTTAATTCACATCACATTGAATTTGACACTTGGTATATGTTGTATACGTATATTTGTACGGCACACTTTTAGTTTTCTTTGATCACATTTCATATGTGCAAGGCGTATGGTGTCTTTGAAATATATATTTACTAATTACAATTTTAACCTGAAAAGTTTACAGAAACAGATCTGGAGAAGACTAGTCCTGTTTTGTTCCTGTATATTGGAACCTTAAACTTCCACATGCGGACATAAAGGTTATGCTACAGGTGCATGTAATGATGTATCAAAAGAAAAGTCGCTATTTATGTTGCCTGCGTGGCCTGTAGTTGTTGAAGGGTGTAAATTATTACGTGTGTTTGAAGCGTTGGGATTTGGATCTTCAGGTGTGTAACTATTGACACTGCACCACAAATTGAAGTTACCAAACAGTGCATAATGTAAGCAAACAGTGTTGTAATTAACGTAGTCTGTCAAAGGGACACAGATGAAACAGGCACTTTGATGAAAAATTGGATTCATTTACAGTGGTTGGATTACATGTATGTATTTTTTTTTAGACAGACTCCATTAATCTCACGAGGATTCTGATTTCTTTCCCGAGTATGTAGCCAGTACACTGGCACACATAGTAAACTATTGTCAGTCTGTTTAAATTGAACACTGAGTGATATCAGTTTCAACACATTTTCAGAGAAGTTGATTTGCCATCATGCCATCCTGAACAAATTAACAAAATTTGACAACCAAAATCCAAATGATGTGAAAGCACCTTGAAGCCAAACCACAATTTCTTAGAACTGAGCCCAAGGGTTTCTTTGTTAGAGGGATACTCTTTGTCCAACCCTGTCAAAAGATTAGGTCAAAGGATTAGCCCCTGGGGTCCTTACAGAACACAGAAGAAGTTTAGACTCAACAAGTTGTGTCTAAAATACCCTGACATGACTGACAAAAACATGTTTATGGAAGTGGGAAGCTGTGCAATGTCCATGTGTATGGTGTATGCCCAACATGTACTCAGTCACAGGCTCCTAGTCCTACGTTCTGGGGGGAGGATTGGTAAATGTTATCCACATACACCGCCCTGCCAGCCGGTATGGTAACATAAACAGCAGCCCAGAAGGGGGAATAAAATTTTTTTCAGTGCACGTTGGAGCTTCAGGACAAAAGCTAAGATTTGTAAAAAAAACCAAAAATTGAAAAAGGAGTAACTCTGAGCCGAAAGATACAATGTGAAAAGTTTCACCAAGTGGTACCATGAGGTTATTGTTTGGGGCATTGTTTACTGTTGTTTTTCTTTCCTTCCTTGTTCTTGACCCAAAACCTAATGTAATTCCTAATTTCCTGCTTTTGAGAAAGATTCTACTAGGATTGAAGCGTCAGGCCTTCCAACTTTTTCAGTTGGTGTTTTCTAGTTCACTGTAACCAACAAGCAGTTTGCAGTAGTATTTGTGTTTTACTTTCATTTTTTTAGAAAATAGGAATCCAAGATACACCATAGCTCACTATCCATTGGCCATTTAGTCAATGGATAATAAAGGATTTCCCCTAAGCAACTTGTGCTAGATGTTGTCACGACGACCTGTCGATTCTCGATATTGTTCACTCACCACTTACACATTCATGAGTAGATGTTTACTCTGACACTGCCCTGTTTACAAGTTAATTTTAAACTTCATGTGATGTATCTGATATAGACATCCCAAAGGTTCATGTAAATGTTTTGAAAATGCGACAAACATTCAACCCAAAAAGTGCTGAAGATAGGAGTTCCATAGACTACTCTCATTATGCCTACAACTTGTATGGACAAGCAGAGTTGCAAAAAAATCACCCTTTGGTTGGTTTGTGACTTCACCTCAGTTTTGTTCAAAATGTACGTGTACATTTGTCCCATTAATTTTGAAAAGGGTTGTATTTTCATTCAGAACCTAGTAAATCCATACTGGTGATAGCTGCATGGGATTTTCAACACTTTGCGAATTTTTCTTTACTTTTATACCGATGGCCTTCCATACTTTTGGCAGCCACTTGTAGGAAACACACAACTTACTGTATTGGGGCATCAAAAGAGCAGACCCCATTGCAAGGCCTATGGCACAGAGTTCCCAATCATTTTGTCCTCTAGAATTGATAACAGTGCAGAATCATAATTATTAGCTTTTTATATGAGTGGCATTCATTACTTATCATTTTAAAAGTTTGGTCAATCTTGCTAGCTTACCCAGAATCAGATTGCTGGACTTAGCCCAGCAATAGCACCATTCATCATCTGAGCAAGTGACAAAGGTCATTTTTAGTTTCCCAAAGAAATTTCCACTTCAGGATGTGTGAAATGGGAGCCCCTTCATACCAATTAAACGCTGACCTTTATTGTTCAAACTATCACAGTGTGATTTTTTTTGAAGTGGTAAACCAAAAGGTTAGCATAACTGCCCTCGTGTTGATGAAACACACAGGTGTCTTTCTAATGCTTCTGACTTGCCACTCAGTCTGTTCAATTTACATGCACTGTATATTTACTTTAATCACTTGTTTTGTGAAATTTGAAATATCACCTTGTGTTTCTGTATAACAGAATCTTTACATTTTGGTTGTTTCAATGTGTATCTTATGCCTTAGTTACTCTCTGCATTTTTTTCTCTACCATTTCTTCCCTCCCCGCACATTTCATGGATATATGGACGTACTTTCAATCAAGCAAAAAATGTTTCGTGCAAAAATGAGCACCCGCATCATGTACAAATAGTATCATGGTCTCCAAAGTACATGACCTCAGCTCCGTGGGGCGTGTTCACATGAGTGCCTCTAAAAAGATTGACTTTATGTGGCTGTTCAACATTGTGTTGCGTTGTTGGGCATGGCACATTTTGAATGCAACATTGATAGTGTGCTCAGATCTGACCCCTCCCCCCAAAGAAAAGAGAGAGAAAGAAATAGGATATTGGCAGAGCTTTTCATGGGTTCCCACAACATGGGAAATGACATGTAGGCACTGGGAGCACGCATTGGTATCAACAGCAGCAGGGCACCGGGACACTTCACCGGTTGCTATGAAGGACTGAGGCTGGTCTATTGACACAGCCACACACAGAGAGAATAGGGACTTGTGTGCTTATCCTGTAATGGAGAAACCTATCCTCCCATAGATTTGGCTGCAATGCACATGGTGGTGGATATGATATATGTACATAGGAAAAAAATGATGAATACAATACCAAACTTCTTGCAAAGTATACAGAGATTTTTGGTATTATTATTATTATTTTTTTTATTATTTGTCAACAGAGGTACAGCCATTTAAGTGGACATAAAAAAAAATAAAGTGAGGCGTTGTTATGTTGCCTTTTATGTGTTGCCTTTTCAGTGTTCGTAAATACTGTACAAGAATTTCATGGACTGAGTTCTGGGGAAGTGAGATTTTGAAATGTAAGCAACATGAAGATATACATGCACATGTACATTGGAGATCTTCACTGGTTTACATTTGATGACAGGAGGGGGAATGGTTCACTGGTGGGCTGTAATTCACAAATTGGATCTTCAGTCATGGAAGTGTATTCGAAAATTAAGTCAAACCCCTACTGAAAATAATCTGTTTTAGAATATCTTTTCTGATGTTACCTTGTCTGACCTGTTTGTAGAACACAACAGTGCTTTACTTTTAGTGTGTTTTTCGATTATTTTCTGAATCAACTGTAAATCGCAACATAAATTTGTAAACGTAAACGAACATAAAAGCTGCAAATTTATGATAGATACATGTACGATCAAGTACAATATCTTAGGTCACGTTAGCCTGACACACTGACATTTGATACAATCAACTTTCTCCTGTATCTTCCCCTCTATAGCTTTACTTCTACTTGTGGCAAGGCGTGTCTTAACAGCAGGGACAAATAACAAAAGCAGGTCATTATGCTGTCTATTGAGGACCTGTAATCAGCCACAAAAGCTTTGCTTTTCCTTACCAATAAAGAGATCAATATCTCGGCCATCTCAGGCATGTGGGTTTTTCCCGTATTCTGTTCCTTCGGCTAAAAATCCATTGATCCTCGATGAATCTTATTCTTGCTGATTCTTTTATTTTTTGTGTGTGTGTGTGTATAGGCTATGGCACTGCAAGACTTGAAGCATCGCTACATCTGTGGTTACAAAGAATTCTTTGTCACATGGGATAAGGAAGTAAGAGACACAACCGTACTTGTCTAGCATTAAAACTTCAAATGCAAACCCATTGGTTTCTCAAACAGTATCTTCTGAAGACTTGGACACCTTTTATAAAGTCACCTTTGAGGGAAATCTTTAATGCCAAGAAGTCTAGTATGTAGCCTAACATCCCTGATTAGTAACCCCCCAACATACAGGACTTCGTAGCTCAGTTGATGGAGCACTTATGTCTCAGCAATTCCTAGACAGTCAGATTCCATTCCGGTCAAGTTTTTATGAAAAAAGAAAAATGCTTTCCTTTCAGTCTTTTCCCAACGTGGTAATCATTTGGAAAGATTCCCGTTGTCTCCGTGCATCTTTTTGGAAGGCTGTATACTGTTAAAGTTTGATCAAAACTGACATTGCCTTCCCTTCTTTCTTTACACAAAAGAAAATGCTTTAAAAAAACTTTGATTCCCTGTAATTCCTAAATTAGTCTCAAGGTTTTGTTTGACTGATATTTCTGTGTAGGAATCTGCAATGTATGTCTGCATTGTCATGGAGTACTACAAGATGGGGGACTTGGACAAAGCCCTGAATATCAAACGCAAACAGCAAGTGAAAGTCGAAGAAGTTGTGAGTACTGCCTGTTGCATCAAAGGCAATAACGACCTCCTATTCACTGACCCAGATTATAGAGGCTAGTGGTGTAGGGACAGGGCATGTGAATTCATGCATTATCACATGTGGTAGTTGGATTAGGTCTTGGAGCAATGGGCACTTACCCCCCAGGGAGCTGGAATGGCCAGAGAGAGAAAGGTTTGTGCACTCAAGAGGACAGGGATAGAATCTAAGCACTAAGAAATGCATTGTTCTGGCAGCGTAACATGAATGGACTGATAACACTAGAAAATAGCACACCAGTGTGCTTTCATTAGTGTAGTATTGGGTGGTTGGTGTGCTGTTTGTTGTCTACTCTGCCTCTGTTGGTCATTCGTATTTGAGACAAGAAAGCAAGTTATAAGATTTCCGCATGTGAACAATTTTCACAGTTTCCTACATAAATCAGGAGTTTTTAGATTTTGAAATAATGCAAATGAGACGCCTTTGATAATCGGCCTCTTTCCTTGCCCATTTGAACTCCTACATATAGGTTTTGAAGAAATGGATCGGTCAGATGTTGGAGGCACTGGTATTTGTTCATAACAAGCAAGTCATTCACAGGTAGAGTAACATACCATGTCATTTGGATCAGGTATTAGCAACAGCCATTTCACAAACAAAATTTACGAGGAATATTTACAGAAATCTGCTTTTGTTCTTTCTTTCTCTTGGAAAGTTTGAAACGAGATTATACAGAGACACTAGCAGCTCTTTATATCCTAAGGTTTTTGAGTGATACGTGTCCGTCAAATCCAATATGAAGAAAGGATTGTCTGTCAGAGCAGCCTTTTGTAATGCAGTTTCTAGCTTTTCTTGAGAAAGGAAACTGTCAACATTTCTGCAGCGTCGTTTTGGTGATAGAATAGTCAAGCAAGTATAAGTCATCCTCTTGTTTATGTTCAATTCCAGAGATCTCAAGCCTAGTAACGTGTTCTTGACTGAGAACCTGGATGTCAGCATCGGAGATTTTGGCGTAGCAACTGTCATGGGTGATGCACGCACAAAAACAAGAACCACAGTGGGTAAGGGTGGCCCAATTTCGAATCTCACCCAAGAACAAAAGAACAGAATTGCATGCCCATAATTTGAGCTTCTGTCTTTGTTAGATATTCGTGCAGTTAAAATGCAGATAGCTCCCATTAAGTTCTGAGTCTTTGCAAGGGCGATCTTGTTTCATTTTCTGATTGGTTTTGTTATAGCACATAGAATTGATCCTTGTGAAAAATTTCATTCATGATGGTCTGTCGAGTTGGATGACACACTTGATTTTCCTGTCACTTTTGGAGCCTGTATTCATTAATGGACACGCCCAAACTTTGAAAGGTTTTAGTCTGTTATTAACCCTAACCCCCAAAAGTGTACAGTCTGTAAAATCGTATTGAAATTGGAGGATTTGGGACTGTTAGGGTTAAGGGGGAATTTTCTTCCGTCCACTCTCAGGTTCCATGATATGGATGGCACCTGAAGTATTGGAGAGACCTTATGATGAGCGTAGTGACGTGTGGTCGTTGGGATGCATCATACTGGAGATGGCAACTTGTAGATTCCTAGATGTGAGTCGTTCAATACCATCGTCGTAATGTCATAAGTGACAACTCTTGTAATAACCATACAGCGTAGGGTAACCTTTTTCAAGTACAGGTGGAGTGTTTGTCTTTTTTTCTCCAACGTCATTCTAATAATTCATTGCCTCTAGAATGATTTTGTTCTACATGTTTTCAACCCAAATTTTTGTTTCTTGATTTACAGCGTGCCCAGGTGAATGCTGTCTTGTTTGACGTGAAGCAGTCTGTCAATTTACTGGAGGAAATATTAGAAAAGGTTCAAGAGGTATTGACAACAATTTTGTTTGGAATCAAATATTCTGCCTTCAGTCTCTCAGTAACCGTATTTTTCAGCTGAACTTCGCTGTTTCTAAGTTACAAACATAATGTGCCGTTGTGTCACGCGTCTGATGAGTTCAGCATAAAAAGTCGCATGTGATCTCAAAACCCGTAAAGGTCGATATTCGAAATGGCATATTGAATTTCTTGCAGGATTATTCAAAAGACTTGGCACAGCTCATCCGCGCTATGCTCCGCAAAAACTTCCAGCAGAGACCAACTACAAGGTGAGTTCCAAAGCCACCTGGACTTCAGTAAGTAGTGTGATTTGCTGTGAAATTTATGTGAACTAGATTGGGCTCCTGGTTACAAGCATCGGGAGGATACTGAGGATTGTGATACAATATAAAATAAAATAGGAAATGTGACAAATAGGTACTGAAGGGACTGTGAACAGGTTCAGTATTGGGACTTTCTTAACGAGTAAGCAGCATTTTGTAAAGAATACGTTTGTTGATTGTGACTCATCTGTATATTTCTTTTGATGCTCCAGTGAGCTTTTAGATCTTCCCTACATCAAAGAGTGTCTAGCCCTCAGTCAGTCTCATATCGCCGAGAACAAGAAAGCAAAGAAGCAGAGTGCACGTGAGTTAGTGAGAGTCATTTAAAGACACGATAACTGAACGGCTGGATTAATGGGAGACTTTGAGAAACTTGGTGGTGACAGACACAACGGTCCTTTCTAACAGTTCTGAGTGTGTGCGCTTTGTTCTAAGCATGCGTGCATAGTTCTGAGCACTCACATTACTGTAATAAAAAAAGATGGATGGGTCAGTTGTAAATTGTTTTTATTTGTAATTATTGTCAAATTAGTAGAATCACATTCTGATTTATGCATCCCGCATATTGCACTGCGGAAGTGAGGTCTTGTGTGAAAGAAGCTCAGAATTTCTCCAAGAAGTGGGAAGAGTTGCAAATTTTAGCAACCTAGTCCAGAACCCGATCTTCTCCATTCTGCTTCCTATTCACAAATGTGGTTTGCTTTTTTTTGGCAGTGGCTGTACCAAAAGGCACAGATATTCCTGGAACTATCGGTGAGTTCACAGGGGATTGCTTCTCGATGATGTCATTTCTTTCCATTGGCTTTGACAAAACAAAGCTGAAATTCATCATGACTAATTTAGACCAGTGTATCTCTGTCTTGCCTTCATTTTTAGAAGTCATTGGTTTTGTCAGTATTTTGTGAAGTAGGTATTTTACCAATACATGTTAAATTAGAACGTAAAATGTCTGCTTCAAAGCGTAACTGAAAGACACCTGTTCACCATATACTGTTTTGAGTGGTAAAGAAATGTGACTCCGATGAAACATTGCTTTGTTCCTCGCCCAGAATTTATGAAAAAGAACAAGGACAACGAAGTTACCGTAGCCAATGCCCTGACTCACCTCAACACCTTCAAAAGTAAGTCCACTTCATTAACATTCAGTCATGGAAGAAATGCTAGGATACCATCTATTTTGGTTCACTGAATATTGGGAATGTTGGACCAGTTGGACACATTACAGGTGTCAATCATAGATTGAGGATGTGTTATAAGAAGTCGGCCGCAGGTGGTGTCAGGCCAAGGAGTAAGCTTTGCCAAGGTCATGGAAATCATTGGAGGTAGTATTACCACAGACAGTGTGACAAGAAACATTTCCAGAAAAGTACCAAGGAGTGCAAATCTATGTAATCCATAGATTTTACGCAAGACAAATTACAAGATCTTCGATTTAATCGTGAAAATGCCGTGCTGTTATTCTTCGATTTTTCACATAGCAGTTGACTCAAACGTGAAACAAGTCCGTTGAATGAATATTACACACCACAATCAGCCAATCTTGTGAAATTGCGACCCAAAAGCAATGGTGTACACCACCATGGATCGAGGAGTTCAAATCTTGGTGTTTTTGTGTAAAAAGTGAAGGAGGGTGTGTGCCTCCACAAACCTTAGCGATATCTGGGCACTTGCTGTTTGTGGGCAGGTTGTTCAGCATAAAGCATAGCTCCATTCTCACTGCAAGAAACTCAAAAGGTGAAATTCAAAACAAAGAAATGCTGTGACAGTATCAGCACAAGAAAAGTACTGACTGGCTGTGTCAAAGCTTTCCTCAAGTATGATAACGTTGCCATTTACAAACTGAATGGTTGACTGTCTCTACGTAGCTCCAGTGCTGACCAACGAGGCCAAGACCCTGGTGATGAGCCTGATGAGGGAACACGTGAAAGATGTCAGCGTGCAGGTACAGGCCTGCCGTCTACTGCTTACACTAGTGTCTGCAGGTAAGAAAGCAGAGCAGGGCCCAATTAAAGACTGCACAACAAGGCCCAATTAAAGATTGCACAGCATGGTCCAATTGAAGATTGCACAGCAGGGGCCAATTGGAGATTGCACAGCAGGGGCCAATTGGAGATTGCGCAGCAGGGCCCAATTAAAGACTACACAGCATGGCCCAATTAAAGACTGCACACCATCGCCCAATCAAAGACTGCCCCATTTGCAGTCAACCCATGCATTTTCATTCGACAAATCCAAAAAGATGATTTGAAAGACTTCGGCATTTCATTGGGTCATTAATTAAGGCTGAATGTTTTTTGTCTTTCATTCAGCTGACCCTGAGGAAGATGGCGACGACGTTCTCTTTTCCAACAAACTCATCAAGAACATCACGCTGAGTATGAAAGTAAGTACTAGGTTTCTCTCTCAAATTTTGGAACCATTGAATTCATATAAACTGCTTGTATTCCACTTTTATATTTTAAAAAGTCCAATTTAGAAGGTACATACGTGTAGAAACCGTCCTGTTTTGTTACACCATGAGTGATGTGTCATTCAGTAGGCCCAATAATTGCTTTTTGTTCTGCTGTTTTCATTGTATTTAGGCTCATGGTGCTTCCAAGGAACTCCAGAGTGTGGCCTGTTTACTTCTGAAATCACTGGCCATGAACGGTAAGTTGTCACTGTCATAAAACTTATCATAGATATTCACAGGTCTGAGTGGTCTTTGGATATGTCTGTTATTGTCCAAATTTCTTACGCCTCAAAAAGAGTGCTTGGGTCAGGTTTGATTGGCAAACATTTAATAACCGTTTGTTTAGTCTGCGTGGTGATCTGTGCATACAAGACATTCTGGGTACCAGGCAAAGTAGACCAGCAGGTGACGAGTAGTCTGCAACTGAAGTCGCTCTAAAATAACGAGCTTAGGTTAACAATCCACGCTTGGTTGCACTGTAACATCAGCTAATTACTGTTTCTTGTTGCGTTGAAAAAAAAAGATAGAGGAGAGGCATACCTATAGTAGATTTATTTTTCCTGATTTTTGTAGGTCTCGTTTTGTCCAATACCTGTCCTTTTCCCCTGTTCAGAGCAAGCTGCTGGCACAATTGGAACACTCGGGGGCATCCAAGACATCCTAGCAGCAATGAGGGGATTTCCCAACGATGCTGATGTATGCGCCCACGCCTGCAGCGCCCTCTCCTGTCTTACGATAAATGGTAAGGACAGGGGCAAACGTTTCAGACAACAGATTGACCAACAGTCCCAAGTTACTCCCGAGTGGGTTTCTCTCAAATGTTACGCTGGTTTTTTTTTTTCACCCTCCTTTTCAGAGAATAACTTGACCATCATTCGCGAGGAGAGTGGAGTGAAGGATCTAATGAACGCAATGGGGACGCACATGGAGGCAGCGAGTGTCATTGACTCGGCATGCACCGCGATGTGGGGACTCTCGCTGGAAGGTTAAAGACGTTTCCTTATCAGACCGGCTGCGGCTAGAAATAACACATGGACATGAGGGGCCGCCAGCTAGTTGCTGAAGCCAGTTTCCATAGAGACGTGTGGTTTTTCTTCAGCCATAGCCAGTTGATTCAGACTCAGTCTATGACATGTAGCGGCTTGGTACTTGCAGTGGGGCATTTAAAGGCACACTCCTGTGTTACCTTTTTGAAGTCAGCGCTAAAAACGTGGCCCAGATTCGTTCATGCATGGAGCCTTTTTTTGACTGGATCCTGAAAAATAAGTCTTAAGCCATATTTTCAGTAATTTTGTTTTATTTTGCGTCAGCATGGTCCCTTTGTTTGGTTGTATCACGTAGTCTGGCATCCTGAAGAAAAGAAACTATCATGTGGGTAAAAATGTTTAGGATCACTGTTGATTTACCTTGCGCAGGATTCTTCCAACTCGAAAGTGCTTTTAGGGACTTCTGAATGATCTGGATAAGTTTGGTGACATGTGGGTCTTTGGATGTCACACTGAATGGTGGTTTCATAATATTTCCTGATGTGAATTGGTGAATGAGCCAAAAGTGCCAAAGCCAGAAGTCTTGAAAATTTGCCAGAAAACCACATGGAAAAGAGGACAGAAGTGTCCCCAGCAAAAAACCCCACCATTGGTCAAAGTTGGATTAACGTGAACAGATAACGAGCACGCTGACACCACAAACTGATGCTGTCTGATACTGGAGTGCACTCCAGTAGTTTGGGTTCCACAAACTGTACCCAAGCACTGCATGAGTCTGCTGAATACATTTTTGTCATTGTCATTGTCATCGTCATTGCTTGTTTGTGCACAGATGAAAACATTGAGACAATGGGGGAACACAATGCAGCAGACTTGTTCCTGAGAGCCGTACAAACACACATCAAGGTAAGGGATGGTAAACATTGGAACATTCCACGGGAATCGCTTTAAAGAAGCCAAGGTTACTGTAATAGGACACGGAAACCACTGAAGGCAGATGAAGCTAGAGTGACAGATATGCTAAAGTGGGGTACAGTTTTAACGCAGAAAGTGGGGGGCATGTGACTGTAATGTAGGATCATCAGTGGGGTTCGAACCAGGTACACCTGAAGTGAGTAGAGTTCCGGAAAATTCCAGTCGTGCCTTCAATACAACACTCATTTGAATATTTCAAGGGCTGTTTTGGCTGTTGAGATGAATTGTAGCTGCAGTGAGTGCAAATGAATCGGTCTGCCATCCCAGATCTGTTCTTATTGTTCCCATATAGAATCCTGATGTAGTGAAGAATGCTTGCATGGCCCTGGCTAGCTTGGTCAGCGAGTCGGAGGAGAGCGCCTATGCTGCAATGAGCGAGAACGAGCAAAATAAGAGCGGCATCCAGGTGGTGACGGAAGCGTACAAGCAACATCATGACGATCCTGATGTGGCTGAAAACGTCTGCTGTTTCTACATGGAGATGTCTGAAATCGGTAGGCCTGTGATGGCATCTGTACCCTGCAGCCCACCCCAGTTTGGTTTTAAAACCCTTAGTCACGTGAATTGGATTATTGGTGTGTAAGCTCTGCAACTAGTGTCAGAGTTCGGCAAATTCCACCAACCTCTTGACCCGTTTAACATCAACCGGATTGCGCCATTGTCATTTTGTGACACTGAACTTGTCAAATTCCTTCTATATTTGCATGTTTTGTACAGATGATGGCTTGATAGCTTTGAAAAAGCTGAACATCGCCAGTGTCTTGAAAAGCATTAAGACAAAGTTTGCGGACAATGAGGTAAGTCAGGTTTTTTCTTTTGGATGGCTGGGATGGCAAGTGAAAAAATTAATTGGCTTTCACCTCTTTGGTTTTAGGGTTGATATCTCGGATTTTCCTCCCTTCACAACAAAATCAACACTTTAATACAATCCCAGGTGTGCTTCGTGGGCAGATAAGCTTAGGGGCTCAACAACGTTGTAGTTTGATGTTTTCATTTAAACAATTGTAATCGCTTACCAAATGCATGCATTGGTTTTTTAAATGTACATTCACATAGTCAGGTGTCTCTCAACGTCCTTAGACACCCTCCACTGATTGGATGGGCCACTTAGGTGGTCTTGTTCCCCAACTTTTTTTTAACTGAAAGCTCCTCTTACAAATACCCAGTGATAAGACCATGTTGCACCGATGTCTGAACATTGGCATATGTCATCTTGTAGCAAATCACTCTGAAGGGGAAATCACGTGAAATTAGAATTTAGATTACATTCTTGTGATAACGTGATTTTAGAGCAGAGCAGGAGTATGATGTACCGTCAGATTATTTGGTACATTTTTAATCTGAGTTCGAACCCCCCCCAAGTAATTGCATGGTTACATTTTGTAATTTCTGGATCATCTGAACTGTACACTTTGCTTTTGCGTTTGGCAGGAAATAATGTGCAACGTCCTAGATGTGTTGGGCAAGCTGGGGGAAGGGGGCGGAGGAAAAGCTAGCGCCCGCCCCCAATCAGCCAGAGACAAAAAACGAGGAAAGTGAGCTCCAGTGTGGGAAAAATTCCTCGACTGATCTGTACAAAGGGACAAAAATTAATCGAAAACCCTCCTTGAAAGTTTCTATAGTGTATTAACTGACATTATGATATCATTTTTTAGATAGCAAAATGTGGTTTAATTAAAGAAACACTTTGAAGAGCATGCCAACAGGAAAACCATGATTGCACAGATTTTTAAGAACAAAACAAGTAGCATACTTCCGCACTCACTTTTGTTAGTTGCAAAGCAGACTAATTTAAACCTCAGCTTTCCTTTATGAGAACCAGACAACCCTATAAAAGTATTATGCGTAGCAATATTTTTTTTATTACAGTCCAATATAAAGACTAGAAAAGCCAAATTTCATCATCTGCTGAGCAGGATATTTTACTGGCTAATTCACCTACCTTTTAACAAGACGCTGTTTTGCCGCAAAAGTACCAGCTGAGCAGATCTATGGCTCAGGCTCTCGGATGCTTTGTTTTCTCACTTTGTGAATATTATGTAAATACACGCATTTGGTTCTAGATAGGACAATTTTTGTGAAGCCAGTAACTGTTCACTCACTTAGGAGAATCTTCACATGCAAACTTCTAATAAATACATGTACATGTTTTAGTGAGACAGTTCGCGACAGGAAATGGAAAAGGCACGACAGTGATAAAACTACCAAGGTTGTGTACTTGTGTAGAATTTGTTGTCTTGAAAAAGAAAATATCTTAAAATGCATTTGCTTGATATTTTTGAGTAGGAATCCCAACGATAGAAGAGGCCAATACGATCTACACATTTCTTTGGTGTCATGGGCAGTATAGTAGTACATGTTATTTACTAATTAGACTTTGCAGTTAGGCGCAATAGATGTGTGCGTGTGCATTAGAAGCAATTCGGGAATAATTTTGTAGTTTTTTCTGTGGGATAAACTCTATGATATATCATGCTTCATACATTTCACACCGTACCGAACTCCAATAATTTAATCGGATATTCAAATAACATTTCAAGCAAAAGAACTATGATATTAGGGATTGGAGAAATTCTTCAAAATCTGGGGCTGTGTTTAAATTTTCAGGAGTCGGGTGTATGTCGTTGTAGGTTTTTGTCAGCATATTACACCACTGCCACGTAAAACTGCTCTTGTAATATCACTGTAGCTGACGAAAAGCCAGCAAAACGTTTGGTTACTTGTTAAAAACTGCATTCTTAAAAACTGGATTAAAGTTTGGAACTTCTCTTTCTCATGAAAGATCCTCCTGCAATATAATATGTGCCGGTTAATCCCTTTTGTTTTGAGAAAAGAATGACGATAGATTCTTCCTGATTCCGTCCGATCAAACAGCAGCAGTTTTTTTTGTATGTGTAAGATTAGTTTCTTGATACAAGAAAATTACTTGGGTATGAAAGTAATTTTTGCCGATAGTTCCGTCCGACCAACCTTTTTTTTTTTTAACACCGTCCGGTTTGATGAACAACATCCTTTATTGTTTTCGTGAACTGTTAATTTTCATTAACCGTTTGTATATTTTGGTCACGATCAAATTGATGAACGGGTCTTATATTTTCTATGAATAAACGAACGAAGAAGCGAATTGGGTAATCGTGTTATTTTTGTTCTGTTGTTTTTGTTCTTGTTTTTTTCGTTGTAATTTACACGTGCCGTGTTTATCTTATTTTCCCTGTGGTACCGGATAGTCAATTTATCACAATCGTTCACAGTTGAGATGTATGTACGGTGCTCACGGAGATATTAATGACCAAGAAGGATTATGATACCCATTACGTAAAAGTCATCGCTTGCAGCGCACCAAGACAGGCTTTGAGTGTCGCGTCCGGAGTTTGTATGCTTGTCCTTCGGTAATTGAACGTAGTAAAATGAAGTAACACTAATTCACTAAGAATATTGCCCGTGGGCAGTAATAACCTTGTGAAACAAAGTGTAAGGCTCGTCCGAAGCGGCTGGTAAAGTATCGTGGTAAAGTTATGGATGCAAACTTTAATTATTTCTGCATGTCTCGTGTACGTGACTGATTCTAAAAAACAAAATACGTTTATTTGTACACATAATGTCGAATCTTTTATCCAACATCGCAATTGTTTTGGCTTGTCCTTCCGACACCATTGTGTCTGAACAATATCTTCTAACTAATTTCTACTTTCGAAAATAATTAATGTGAGTATTAATTAATACAAGTCCTTTTCATTGTTTTGTTTTCTTTTTTTGGGGGGGGGGAGAAATTTCCACTGCCGGTACTATTGTCGAATCTGCAACCGTTATTCCACTTGTGACGTCAGCATTCTTCCTGACTATTGTTTAATTCGGACGCATTTCAGCCACTTAATTACAAAGTGAGTTTCATGCGTGAAACACTGTTGCTTTCCGTCGGCCAACTGAAATTAATGCGCTGCGATTGAGATATTGCAACAGGCTACACACTGGGGGACACCATCCTAGGGTTTTCGGGGAATTTAGGAATGATGAGCTGACGAGAGGATTTTCTTTTGACCATCCCAAAGCGGGCGATCTCGGCTGTCCCATGCCCAGTCTTTTTGAAGCTTTGCATGCAAGACATTAATCACGAATCTATCTGTGAAGGTTACACTCAGTTCAATATAGTGGCGTTTTTGTGTGTTTGTTTTGTGCGTTTTTCTATGAGGTTGGGGCACAATTTGTGACAGTCTCCTTGTTACATGGGTAACCTTTACTACCTGTCATGACCTGTAGAGTAGAGTAGGTCATTTACTCTGTAAAAGTAACACTCGCCTCTATTTTCAGCCTTGCAAGATGGAGAATTTGAAATCCACATGCAGGGAAATAGCTGTTCATTTTTACGGAACCCACCGTGGACACCGTCACAAATTGTGCCCCAACCTCATGTAATGACCCATTGATATTTGAAGGCCTCATTGACCACGTCAGAGGGAAAATTAATATTTTTTTCACTGGCCTGTCTCGGAAACCGTGTGTTTAACGAGGATGGTATGCCCGAATTTCATGAATCATTAGTGTCAAAATGATGGCAAGAAGTTCCTGAAGTCTCGAGAAGAACAAAAAATGCATGGGAACGATGTTGGGGGTCGTCCCCCCACCGAAAGTTCAATGGTTAGGGGCCTACCCATGCTCTCATAATGTGTAGAATTTGCTAAGCACATGATTTGAGAAACGCCAATACAAATTCCATTTGTTTCATTATTGAAAATATGACAGAGGAATTTTGGCACAGTGGCGTAACTTAGGTTAAGGGGGTACCCAGGGTGCACACATTCCTCAAGGGAGCGGCACAAGAAACTGTAAGCCGCTGATGCATAAACTCACGAAGATTATTCACTGCTTTCAAATGTGGGGGCACCCAGGGGGACGGGCATTGGGGGCACGTGACCCCGTAGTTACGCCACTGATTGGGAAGCGTGTTTAATTTTACATTGAACCGAAGGCTACATATATCTAACATTAGATTGTTGCGAATTGTCGATCCGTCGCACAAAATCAGTCCGAGGAAAACTGGCGTGGCTCCCCCCGTTGAAAGTGGGCGTATTTTCTCGACATGATGAGCCAATAAAACCCGCAGATTCGCCGAGAAGACACACTTCCCGGTAACGAAACAGAAATTGCAAATACTGGTAGCATTCGATCGTTTGAATATCCAATCAGCTCCCCAACAATATGAGACTGATTCTACTGGCGATGTTGTTAGGGTGTGCCCTGGCGGCCTCCACTAACAGGGTGAGACGGAATAAATTTGAGAAGGGAAATCGTCTCAGGGTGAGTACTTAATGCTAAAACTAAATCATGCAAATCGCAGTGAAGTGGTTACAGTTTACTATTTCTAATATTGGAGATGAAGTGAACATTTTGAAAAGCAGAGGAAAGGAAGAGGAGATGATACGAGGGCGCTTTTGTAATCCTGTCATAAGTAATTCCTTGAAGTGATAGTTACACACTGGATATTTGCCTTAGTATGTTGCTTACCGGTGCATCACACAGGTTGGAGCAAACAGCCTATTTCCTACTTCTCCCTGATCAAAAAGTGGGCGATAACTCCAACTTCCCCATTGTTTATTTTAAATAATTCAGCCGACGCCCAAAGCGACACTTGATCGGGACGGCGAAGACTTCAATCGGCCTAGGGTGAAGCGCAAAAGCCAGTTCGAGAAAGGCAATCGTCCCACGGTGATTAATTACTCTTATACTAGTTCCTGATGCATTGCACCAACTATTCGCGAGGCCTAACATGGTGACAACTTACTTCAGTACCGACGTGGCAGGCGCAGTCTGCTATGGACGCCCCCAGGGGACCCTATACGTTCCAGCCACCAGTGGTTGAAATTGAAGTTTTTCAATATACTGTTGCCAGTTAAAGGGTAGCTGCAATCAACGTTTTTGATTACAAAGCTGTAAAATGCGGCATCTTGTAGGCTGTGCTGAATATCAGAATCTTCGATCGATTATAGAATATTCGAATATTATTTTCCGATTTTTGAATATTCGAATGCAAAACTCATGAAAAGGAAGGGAGAATTTTCTTTTGTTTAAAATGAGAAAAATCGCACTATGGAGGCTTGTTTCAAGCAGATTCAAATGAAAAGCGACAGGACAATATGTCTTACAATGATTCAAAAAGTACATTATTCGCTAATAAATTTAAAAGGAATAGAAATTTTCAAAGGGCAAGAACCATTATTCCTCCGTTAGATCTAACGAAATTGTGGCTGGACATGGTCCTAGAGGTGAGAAGCTATTATATTGATTATAATGTACAATTGTGTGGGTTTGGGCAACTGATTTTGTTTATGGTTTGTTCATCAACAATCTGCCGGGCGGTCAGTATTCGGATATTCGATCGAATTGAAGGTCGAATACTCAAATAGTGAATTATTCGAATTGACTCGGCCCTATTCCTCAGTAAACCTTATTTCAACTTTTTATGCTAATGAGATTTCCATATTTATGAGCAGAACTCGGGAAGAACTTGCTCAATTAATGTTACCGGTACACTGGTTTGTATACTCAAAAATGTCCTGCGTTTTTGTAGATTTCCCTGGACTATGTTTTCTCTTCTTTGCTGATTCATTGTTGTTTATGTGCACAGCAATAAGAATCCATCAATCCCTCTCAGAAATTTTTTTAGTTAGTAAATTCTAGATTCACAATTTGAACAGAAATACCTATGCCCTGAACCATGTTGTCCCTGAATGACTTTACAGCAACAGCGCCCTCAGTTGTCCGGAAAAACATGGATTATTTTGATTGTTTAAAAGTTGCACTTTTCAATGCAATAACCAGATAGGAGTGTGTAGAAAAGAGTTTTTACACACTGAAGAAAAGTACAAAGATGCAGAAAATTTGTGTCGAAGGAAAAGTAATTGCAGCTACACTTTGCAAGTACCTACTTGTCTGGAAATGTAAACTTTTGATTTTTTTCTAAACGTCCGACAATCTGGGAATTGTTCATAGCTATAATGGTATAGAAAATTTTACATCTCTCTATAAAAGTCCTGCGTTACAAACTGCGCCTGGTACGTGGTTCTTGAGTTCAGATGACACAAATATGAGGAATTTTTTTTGGTTAGTTTTGTTCGTTTTAGGTTGTCTTACTGATTGGATTTAGGAAATTTGAACCAAATGTCGATGAGAAGATGAGAAAAATGTCATTCGTATTAATAAGATATCTCATAAAAGGAAACGCTATACGGACATCACCAAAACATTTGAACTGAAATGACATAGGTGCAGTTCGAGATTCTTCACGGGGGAAAATTCCCCTTCTTTCTTCGACAAATGCACTTGGCCATAATCACGTCCAATGAGAAAAGACTAGTCTCGTCTGTAACAATGCAATAATGGAGTGCTGATGACATGTACCCCATGCCTCTATACCCCTTTTATTCGGCTGCAGAGGGCGTGTTGGAAATAACCCCCATTAAAAGCGGCGTCAAAACCAGGGGATTTCTTAGAATAATTACATTTTTTTGCCAGTGTCGGCAGAAAAAAAATCACGGCTCTTTGTGACGTGGAACACTGTCAACTGAATCGTCCAATGAAGATAATGTCTTCAACTCTTCTTTTTCCTTTTCAAACCAAAATCAGCCGACGCCCACAATGCCACTGGATTTAGTGGACGGCGAAGACAACCGCTCTGGCAGGGATCGTCGCGCGCCACCGGCGACCTGGCCTAATAACAAAGTTTGCTACGAGTTTGCCAGTGGTTTCAATGGTAAGTTAGACCGCTGCAGTGGTACTAATACAGGTGGTGCATTTCGTATAAGGAAGGGGCGTGATCATACATGTCGCCTCTCCGTCTTTAACTTAAGTTTGGTGGTGTGGAATTCTTCATTTCCGAAGATTTAGACAATATTAATTTTGCAGTTGCACAGAGGCCCAGTACATAAAGGTTTTTCATTTTGCTGAAAAAAAGTTAAAGACGATGCTTACCTAGATGACACCCACAGGGGAAGATTTGAAGTCTTAGGTCATAGATTATCTCCAGCTGCTAAATCTATTATGCCGGGAAGTCCTCTATTTTCGATTTGCATGGCGCATAATTTCATTGGTTCCCCAGGGACAATTCAAATCTTCAATCTATGAAACAAAAATCTTTTCACATTATTTTACACGTCTTCCACGTAGATGATAACATGAAGAAAAACCTCAGAAATGCCATGAACGAATTTGAGAGAGTGTCGTGTATGAAGTTCATAGAGGCAGGCACGAGCGACGCCAGTTGTACATCACAGAGCTCACCACTCCTAACGGTGCAGAATACCGCAGCAGGGTAAGACGGCTGTTTTCACTCAACTTTTTAATCGGCATATAGGCCTACTTGAAACGGCTGCAAAAGAAAGGAAAGTGTACGTATATAAATAAACCTACGGAAGCGTATAAATACGGAAGCGTATAAATACGGAAGCATATATAGGACATGACTGAAAAAAAATTGGGCCTACTGATCCGCCCGGGCGGATTAGCATTTCGCCCGGACGGATTACTTATTTCTCCCGAGCAAAATAGTGATCCACCTGGGGAGTGGCGTAGATTTGTAAGTCAGAATGCGGGATGATTTCCTTTTTTTTGGGGGGGGGGGTTGACTTAGATTGACCGTTCCGACATTTTTGTGCGCCATTGTGGCAAAGATGCAAAGTGACTGATGAAGCGCGCTCTCACTCCTGCATTTAGCAAAGACAGAGATATTCTCCTAATTAATCACCTTTTTTCCCGCAGATTAAGCTAATGGGAATGTCAATAGAACTGGTTGAAAATTACCCTAATGAATCTGTCAAGCATTTTAGCCATAAAACCTGAACAAAAGCGCATCAGTTCTCTACTCTGATCGGGCTTGGGCTCAGAGTGTTGCCATTCCCCTGAAAAAGTTACAGATTTTCAATTTGATTATGAAAAGAGCTTTTTCCTTGCATATAATTCTCGTTTAGAGAAATGGGGAGAGTTTAACTTAGGCTAGTTTATCACATTATATCACAGACACTTTCATCTGCAGAATGGAGGCAGTTTCATGAAATAAATCTAATTGTTTATAAGGAAATAAAGCACCTTTAATTGATAATACTTATATTCAAAGGGACTGGAATTGACGGCATCACTAAATTTATATGAATCAAATTTCTGGACTTTCAGGATCTTTTTTTAATACCGTCATGTCCTATATACGCTTCCGTATAACCTGACCAAGGCAAACCAACTGTGCTCTCCAAACCACTAACAAGGCCGACTGAGTTTTTCTTTCATCAAAAAGCTATTGACATTTGAAAAAGTTGATGCAATGGACGAAGTTAGGACGTTGAACATCGTTGTTGTTCAGCGTGTTTATACCTTATTATTGTTTTATTTAAGTTTTTCTCACGAGCGTTGACAGACCAATTTGAATGCCAATGGAAAGAAGCCAAACTAAAAACAAACATTGGCAAGAACTCCTCCATGATGGCACTGCTAATGGGGGTAATATTTTATCCAGCTTATTCAAAACCACATATAATCCAGCTTATATCAAGAACGACAAAAACGATAAAATGGGAGACACTTATATTTTTCATCTCTTGCCCTCCAACAAACGAAAATTGGATTGCAATGTGTACATTTGACAATATGCTGTTTGCCGAATTTCATTTTATTAATGCATAATCACATGATCGTTTATGTACAGATGCTGGGCACATGTTGGTTGTCATTCATCGACGAACACAGTGAATGTACCTACGAAGTGTGATTTGGTGTGTATTACAATGCCCCCAGGGACACCAAAAGGGAACCGAAATTGCGGGGAGGGACAAGTGGGGATCAAAATGTGGGAAATTCTGGATGTAACTCTATATGAACCTTTCTGAGGGGTGAAGCAAATCTTGGGACTTTTACCGAGGATAGAAAGAGAGAGAGAGAGAGAGTCCCTTTAAACATGCCCTTTTTCATAATGTTTAATATTTCTGGGGCTCATTTTGGTCGTTGTTTATGACGATGACAGTGAGTAGTGATGACGGTGCTGAGTCTTACAAAACTTCATCAGGGACATGGTGGACAATTTGTCTAATGATAAAAACAAATAAATTGTTCACTTATGGATTATCAAGCTCGTAACTTCTTACCCGTTCAACGCTGTGTCTTTCGTTATATTCTGAACTAAACAGTACGATGAGATAGGAGTGTTGATCCACGAGTTGTTCCACGCCCTCGGACGATACCACGAGCATACACGACCGGACAGAGACCACTTTGTCACGGTTCAATGGGATAACGTTTTAGACGGCCAGGCCCATAACTTCGAGAAGCATACAAGCGATGATTTCATCACATTCGGAATTCCCTACGACTACGAATCCATCATGCATTACGGCAGAAGCGTGAGTATTTCGGCAACGCTGAAATAAACTGAGGCTGCATAAGGTGGCATACCAAGCAAAGGGAGCTTTTTTGAAGCGTGCATTTATTTGGTACTGAGGTGACTGATAAGATATGTAAGTTACATCTTGAATGGTTATAATGTAGGCCCACTCAGTGGGAGGTCTGTGTCAGGTTGGTACTACACTCGTTGAAACACGTGAATCTGCACTGTTTCTAAATACTGAACTTTACATCGAAACGACAGTGAACTCAGCAGCAGAGCAAATCTGCATAATAAACGCCGTCATGGTGTTAACGTATTGATTCCAATGATATAGTACTATGTCGGCCTTTTCTTGAAGGTGCCCATAGTTGCTGCTGTATATGCAATGATGAAAGCGGTAAATTACATATGTATGTCATAGTTTGTATCACTGCATAAAACTGCCATGACCCATTCACTGAAATCTTGTTAAAACTTGCAACATTCCAAACGGTTGAATATTGTAAACACCGATATCTTGATGAACCTACATTAGAAGGTCCTGCACCGACATCTAGCGGCGCAAGATGGTGAACTTCACCTTGAATACACGCAAAACAATGTAATCGCATGGGCGCCATTTGAGGAAGCGATACGCCTGCGCAATGCACGTTAATGCACAGGCGCAGGCGCTGCGGCAGGCAAGTGCACCTGGTGAACCTGCACCTACATGTAAGCATTACTGTAAACCGGCAGGCGTATCGCTTGCTCAAAATTAATGGCGCCCATGTTAATTACACCTTTTGGGCAGAGTTATCCATCTTGCGCCTTCGGCGCTATCCGACCTTTGCGCATGACAGCGATGGCTCTATCAAACCCCGTGTGAACACGTTACATTGTGTCAGTTAGGCCACCCGACTAACAATATAAAAATTCTGTTTATTGTACCGACCGCCCAAGGGTACATTCAGCTAGGATTGCCAAAATTATTTGAGGTAAGGGAGCTAACAATTTAGGAAATTTTTTATGTACCGGTAACGTTTTATGTGGCGACCGAGGGAAAGGCTACAGCTCGGGGGAGCTTTTTTACATGCCTTGGAACGAAGGAAGTGATGCCGACCAAAAACTGCCTTTCCAGTTTTTAAATTTGTCCAACAGATTGCTCTTATGGGTTCGTAACCCTCATTGTCCCCCATGGGTCCGCCCTTGCGTCTCACAAACGTTCAAATTTCTTCGTCATTACGCAAGGAGCTGCTCGCGCCCACAGCCTTGCATGCACGGGATCGATGCTGGTGGTAAGGTCTCTTCTCCACTCTTCCCGCAGTTTTTTGCCAAGGACAAGAGTCAGCCTACATTGACACTGATAGACACGAAGTACAATGACAAGGTCGGCAAACAGAAGCAGCTGTCTCCGTCAGACGTCTTGTATGTCAACAAATTGTACGAGTGTTACGAAGGTGGTAGGTACACACTGCCAAATTGAGACAAACAAACGGACAAAAGACAAATGGATCCATGCAAGCTTAGTGGCGAATATAGCACCCGAGCCGCCCCGGCTCAAGAAGGGCCTCTCCCTTCACGCCTAAAGTCTGTGTCCGCCCCTAGCATTCCACTCAGAATCCCAAACATTGATGCGATACGAGGTTAAACTTACTATATATGACCAATTTCACTGAGCCTTTCCATCTCATGCCCTCTTGCTGTAAGTACGCTGATCGCTTTAGGCTAGGCCAAAAGATGCTACGATCAGTTTATATCCAGCGCTTAGAACCCCAAACTAGTCACAACCCGCATCCGACAGCTCTGCTGAGTCGAGCAATTATAACAAAGATCCTGAAGGTAATTTTATATAACATCTTGAAAAATACATCTTGAAGATCCTGAAGGTAGAAATAAAGTTTGTGTGGGTTTGTGACAATTCTGTTGACCCAAAACGAAAAATAAAAAAACACCATTAGCTGAAACTATAACCGAAAATGCTCTACTCCTCTGACAACAAACGCAGTTGAAACCAAGGTTGTGCCAAAACATGGGGTTCAAATATTGGCTATACGTTGTCATGGCATCAGATCGATGTATAGGAACACTGGGTTTTCTTTCTCAATGCATCTGAAAGAACGATCTATGTCGTGTACCCTTGTTGGACACTCAGAGGTGTCTATTCCACGTTTCAATTTGTACTAAAAGAGCATATGCATCGTATTCATTTATTACATTCTTATTAAACCGTCTTCAATTTTGTTGACGCTGTTGCGTCCACAGAACCGGAACCTTGCAAAAATGGTGGTGAGAGGATGGCGAGCAGCGACTGTTACTGCATCTTTCCTTTCATGGGTACAGACTGCGGAGATGTTGACCCTGGCGGTATGTTATGCTATAAAGTAACTTTAATTTTACACCAAACCACTGAGCCCCTCCTAAGGTAGTGCTCTGACCAATCACAGCCTTGATTTGTGTCCGACATGCGTACACAGAAGTCTGACATGCGTGCATTATGATGAACGCACCTAACCTCGTTTCCATGGCGTCTAGCAGCACGCCCGCTACCTCCCCCGCCCTGGTATTGGATCATTTTGCATGTCCATAAATGCTAATTAGAGGGGGTCTGATGGTGCTTAATGGTCCGTCCGTCTATTTACTTTTAGGATCAAGTACAATTTTCAATCAGCTCCAATTAATGTTAAAATTTCATCCAGCAAATTTGCAGAATCACATTCTAAATACTGTATGAACAAAATGGTACATGCATTGTTAATAAGCTGAGGGCAATTGAAGGGTATCGTACAGTTAAAGCACGTGTTGGAAAACGCGACACGCACAAAAATATATATGTTTAAAAAGTGTAATTCGACAACCAAAAAAATTCGTTACACTCCTCCTTAAGTCAAAGGCAAATCAACTCGGCATGGAGTATAATAAATTTGCGCAAGTTTCAAGATTGCGATTAACCAGCCCTACTTCGCGATTGATCGATTCACATGCTCAAAATTGACGAACTGCTCCACGGACGAAACCCGTGAGCACACGGAGGAATTATGGCTGGCAATGAAAATGGTCATATTGAAAATCGTTACCGTTACGTGTTATTACTGTTGCTCCGGTCCATTAAGTCTTGTAATCGCCAAAAGGAAATTGGCTGGTCCTCGTTTGCTTACTGAAAGCATTGGGATGAAAAGGCGAGATCCAGGTAGAACAACATATTCAAAGAAATCTTGTTGGGGCAAAACTTCGTTTGTCATTACGGTCGGCTCGAGCACGTTGAACAATTTGGTTTAATGCATTGCCAAACCACTCTCCTTCTTTGCAGTTACGGTAACAGAGAATGATGGCAGTGGACCTATATCATTGGTATCGCTGAACTACCCAGATCACTACCCTCTCAATACTGTAACACAGAATCTGCTTATGGTAAGCAAAAATATGGAGCAGTAATTGTTAGACTGTTGATACTCATACGGCAATTTGCCGTACATACAATTTGTCTATTTTTGTCTTTCTATTGTGTCCCGCCAAGTTCACAGTACTTGATTGTGATTAGGTCTCAAATATTGCGATTAACAATAGCGAGGTCAGAAAAGTAAGTGACTGCAGAATGAGCAACAAACAGAATGTAATAAACTCTCTAACTTTGCACATTTATCACTTACCAGTATCGCAAGAAATGTCTCTTCGGGAGGTATCAGAATAGACCCAGTTTGCCATCTGGACCAGCAGGTTGCAGCACCTTTCCTTTTTTAAGCCTCAGTCACAGCTTTGTCAGCCAGTGATTAACAAACGGTGGCCACTGCCGAGAGCTCTTAACACACTAAATAACAACTACTTCTATACTCAATGCATACATTCCTCGTCTATACAAATGAAGAAAATGTACCTTTTGAGAGAAAACCCGTCGGCAACCTAGGACTGACACACTGTACACCTGGTTCATAAAACATTACTATTAACATTTGCAAAAGGAACTGAGGTTTTATGGCCTTTTTCCCTCGTTCACTTGGACATTTGCAGGTGAAGTAAGCACATTTTTACGTCATGCCGCGTGCCAGCCAATCCGAGTCGACTTCACATACTGTAACATGATGCGGCCCCAGCTTACCCTGTACGCATGCATATGATTGTGTCCACGGAGAAAGTGTCCTTAAAGCTTCAAACCTTAAAACTTTGCTTCCCTTTAGTCTTGAAGGCCGGTCACGAGCCCATCCACTCCATCGAGTTAGGGGTACAAAAGGCTAAAATCTTACCTGTAGTGTATAAAGGGATATACTATGTTTAAACGAGCAGCAGGTGACAGAAATAAACCGTTTGAAATCTTGTCCTAAAATTAGCTTCTCACGCGTTCTCAGAGTTTGGGTGGGCAACCATGCAAGTCCATAAAATATAAAATCCCTAACGATTGGACGCAGTACTACTTAACGAGAGGTTCTTCAAACAGTCGCCAAAAGAAGAACTAAACCAAATGAATGCCATTTAGAGAAAAGAGTCCAATTAACGGTTCACTTTTTATCTCAGTGTACAGATACTAGTAAGAAGGTTCAAATTGTCGTCGAAGATTTCGATGTTGAAGGTTACGGCTGTTACTATGACAAATTTCGGTACACACTGAAGGCTGGTGACGTCAACCCAGAAACGTAAGTATTTCATTCTTATGAAGCCACCCGTTTTCAAAGATCATGGCACATGATGATTGTTCAAGATCTTACAATCTGAATTATAGTATTCGGGAAGGCTGCATTGGGCACTAGAAAGAAGCACTGCTTATATTATTGACAATACGGTTGATTCACAATAGTGCGCCTCCAATAGTTTGCAACGCGTTGACCAATCACAGTGCCCGAATTCTGTCGACCCTTTCCAAACGCTCGTTGGGTCGGCAGCTTTCGTGCACTGTGATTGGCCAGCGCGTTGAAAACCCTTGGAGGCGCACTATTGTGAATTGCCCGTATTTATTCATTTAATTTAGAACTAACAGCGATTTTATGTCCACATGTCATACTCAGCAATATCAGAACATGAAGCTTAAACGTTTCCAGCTGGGATTAAAGTAATGTTGACTAAAGGGGTGATTGGGAGGATAATACTCCAGCTTGTCCTGGTCTTGCTAGGGAAAACTTACCCACAACCGTGACATACAATTTGCTTCTCTGTCTCCAGTAAATGCGAAGATGATCTCAAAGGCTCCACGGTGAAGGCAGACGGCAACAGCATATTCATAACACTGGTCAGTGACGACATGTATACCTTCAAAGGATACAAAATGGAGTTCACGTGTGTTTAAACAAGCATACTTCACGGCCAAACCGCACTAAAAGCATCGTGACAGTTTACGTTAGATATAGGGCCTACTATATGTTAAATGTAAATCAACAGTTGTGTGCCACTTCATCAGTCACACTCTGTACTCTGTGAAATGCTTAAAACAAACTGTGAAATGGGAAGGGCTTTAAGGCCAGTCCATACTGCAGGCGAATGCGACAGCGAAGCAAATTTGACATCACGCAAAAATTACAGCGAAATTTCGCTTGAGTTGAAATGTGTTCAAGTTTTATGAATTCGCAACGCGAATTTCATCTGATGAGCCGTTGCGTTTGTGTGGTTTCTCGCGCAATATAGCGGACGTCTTAAATTCGCTTTCGTCTTCGCTTGCGCACGGAGTATGAACTGGCCTTTACTTTGAAAAAATGATAACCTGAAATGTTGCAGCACGACCTTCATTGACGTTTTCCAAATCTGCATAATCTACATTCAATACACTGACTTTGTGACGCTTTTTATGCGGTAAAAGACCCCCTTGTTCGCAGCATGCTCACACCGTCAGAGTAATACATGTGTTACGAACTCATTGGTAACCAAAGGACGTACGCTCCATCAAAAAAAAAATCCACTTCTCCATCGCTCTGATTTCGTTGCATCCCTTTTGGCTTACATAGGCCTAAAGGTGCTTTTTTGTAAGATTAAGACTGCACACAGTATTTTCTCACCCCGTTCGTGTGTAAATTCAATCCATAAATTCTTCAGGAAATGCTTTTTTTAACCACATTGACGTACACCATACATGCCGCGTGTGGCGGGGGGGGGTGCTGAAGGCCGTTCATGTTTCTTCCGTTTAAACGACTGAAAACAGACTAATCGAAGACTACGGATTGGCAGCCCACTCTCCAAGGACTTTGTCGGAACCCGTGGGCTGCGAGATTCCCAAGGCCAAGCCTACATCTTGCATATCCCAACACACAAATATCATGTACAAAAATTTCAGAAGGAAATCTATAAACTGTTCGATAACATCACGGACCGCAAATAAAAACAGACAATTTCTCCTGCATGATGAAACGAATTTTTGATGAAGGCTGTCATGCCAAAACTAGTACGCTGTAACTTTATTTTCCTACAACTACAGTCGTGAAATTTGCACAGTATAATTTTCTGCGGCTTCCATGCACAACAAAGAGCAGGTCTTACATTGACAAGTCTCGGCGTTTACAAGCAAAAGACAGATCACACAAAACCAGCCATTCATGATAGACCTTGGGAATTTCACATGAATTGTAAATAGTTAACAATATAGTTATCAGTATCTAATGTAATAAAGTATATAGCAGTTACCAGCGCAGGAAACCTCGGACCTGTAAACTTGACATAGTTGACGTAGAAAAACCTGGAACAAGAACGCTTTGCTGTGATTACTTTACTTTCTTCTTGTATAATTTGTTTATTTTTGGCCAGATTTTTCAAATAATTTAAAGAAAGGGTTCGTCCATCCACAACAACGTAAACTATATATGACCTCAGAGAGCATGCAGTAAGCAATGTTTCACTCCGTGAAGGCATTGTATTCGTTCGTTACCCACTGGTGCAACTTGTTTGCTCCGTAAAATTTCATCAAATGGCACAAAATAAGGGCCCATAGTTCCCGATCAGGAAATTGATTCATTTTGTAACAACCCTGCTACGATCAACCCCAGGACGAGCATCATTTTATCTATTAAACAATAACATAAACCAGCTTTGCAAAGAAAATCAATCAATCAATCAATCAATCAGTCAATCAGTCAATCTTTTACCTACACCATCACTATTTTCCCCCAATAATCAAAGACCCTTCGAGTTATTATCTGTATCATCGTGGTGTATTAGTTATTGTTGGTTAAAGTGTACTGGAATAATATTCCGATTTGAACTTTATTAAAGAAAATCTTGACTGCATTAACGTGCCTCTGTTTTGCCATTGATCTATTTAAAGTATTCCTTTCAAGGTATGTTTCACCTGTTGTCATTAGAATCAATTTCAAAAGCATTTCGGGCTTCTTCGGAAGCGCCTCCAACTTTTGGTGGTGGTGGTGGTGGGGGGAGGTCATGCGGCCAAGTTCGGGCTTATTCAACATCATGTTGGGAGAGAACACTATATCAAAAGCCTCGCGGTCCCAACATCCTTGCTTTTATTTGCTGGTGTTGTTTTCTTAAGGTTTTGGTGCTAGTATTTGATAAAAGAAATACCGATTTCTTTCTTTCCTACTCACCTGTGAAGTATTCTTAGTAAAAAGGGGGTGTGTGTGAAAAAAATCCGTCGGGGAGGCAAGTTTCCCCTCCCCCCCCATCCCGCTGAATACGCCACTGCGCATGTCGCAACATGTATTTTTAGTCTACAATCTGTGTGCAATAACTAATTTTTTTCTGGTATAAAATCTTAATGAGATAGACAATTCTCTGCGTCTGAAATAGCTTTGCCTTATCGTGCTTTTTGCCAAGGATAATTCTTTAAAAGTTAACTTAGAAATAAAAAAGAACTCTACAGAAAGGAATGTTTTGACGACTAGATTCGGCTAAGAAACCCATAAATGGATAAATGAAAGCGACTGTTATTGTTGTCAAGAGGTTCCTTTGTAAAGTAGTTTGAGTGAGCAAAAAAGTACGTGTCCCTTGTTTGTAATTTCAACATGAGGTCCAAGAGTTTTGGAGGTGACAATATGCGGTGAAAATCTTGCAGACAAAATGCATTGGGTTAACAAATAAATACAGTGAATGACCACGAAATAATAATGGCTGAGGTATCCACTCTCAGCGGAACAAAAGAGGGCATGTTTTTGGGTACTCCCGGCATAGGCGTGCCATGAGGCCCGCAAGTATACGCGCGTTTGACGCTGAGTACGCGTAACTAATTTATTCCGGCACGTATGGTCTTTGCGTACAAACAGAACGTGTGCATGCAAGACTCCCGCTTGTAACCACCCGGCTTTCTTTCGCCGATTGGGGGTGCACTTCAGCTCGCGGCGAATCACAGGCATATAAACGCATATACCGCCAGTCTTGCGCGTATAAGCGTGATTTTGAACAGGCAAAAAAGGCAGGTGAGGCGAAGAAAAACCGGAACATGAAGCTTATGGGAACCGGGTAGTGTTAAATCCTTACTGCGCGTGCGCGCCAGTTTTGCAGAAGAAGCAATATTACATCTGCCCTAACATCTCTTGTCCCATTTCGTGCATCACAATGTATAAATTATTCTACTAAATTGCACACGGGAGTCGACAGAGGGCTCACACGTGATTGCCTCCATTTTTTTCCTCTTAATTCGAGGAAGAGGCGATACGAAGGCCTGGTGAAACTTAATTGCAGAACTTCGCAAGAACGAAGCACTATTGCATGTTCAACACACTACCTAAACACAGTGGGGACTCCACCTTTCCCGCAAAATGCATTAGTCAGGCCTAGCCCAGAAAGTAGATTTTTCTTTCTTATTTTCGACATACGGGTTTTCGTGAAGCATTCAAAGCGCCCAGACTAGGATGGATGAAGTCCCCTAAGGCCACAAATCCAGATACATTCATGCACACAGATCACCAGCCATTGAAGCAACCGCTCAACTTTAAAAGCAGCCCCCACTAAACCAACAGAAAAGACCAACAGAAAAGACCAAGAAAAGAATGTCCGAGTGAATGAATAATTAAATTTCTACAACTATCAACTAACAGTAAACCATTGGTATATTACACATTATGGCTCTATTTCATGCCCAGGCACACCACTCTGTTGATTACTTTCAGATCTCCAGACATTACAGTGGAACTGTCACGAGAAAAAAAACAGAACCTTACTTCTCACATTCCAGTATTAATTAGCTCTTAAGGTATGGATTGTAGCAAATCTTTCTATTAATATCGCATCTTTTGTAATTAACTGACTTCAAACGGCTATATGCTGCACGCTTTGTCCACTAAGTTAGTGCGAGGGCAAACATTAGTGTTAATTAAATCGAAGGGATACGCTCCAAGATAACACCGGGGGTCTCACCCCTATTGACCCTCGTGCAGGTTTTAAGAGACAGAAACACCGGAGATTCAATGACTTTCAAAATTCCAACAACGACGAAAAACCCATAAATGAACACCACCATACACTGGGCTAGAAAGTTGGTATCTACATTGGAGGTTATTTTCTGGTATTTCTGAAATCCTCTGGCTATACTGAAACAATGTTTTTTACACTTTTTATCTGCCCAATGTTGTGCTGTTATTAATTCTTTATAAACGAGAATTAGCAGCTGCTTCCATTTTGGATGACGTCGTTCACAAAACAATTACTGATGACCTTTGCCAAAGTTGGTAAATGGGACAAATATATACAGGTTTTAGACTGCAGTTAATAAAGACAAACGTAAATGTATTCTTTATTTAAGTTTCTCTTTCGACAACTGTATCTTTATACTTTAACTGGAAATTGACCGTACTTATTCAAACTGTTCCTGACTTGGACACCTGCTTGGAAAGCTGAGAATTGAACCATGGGTTTTTACCAGAGGTCCCTCCCCTGACTGGGTACACATTTGTCTAGTCCTTGTGTAAACTATCAACCAATAAAAATCCGAGTTGCAGCGAGTTCGGCCGCCCACTATCGAATGACAAGTGCGCGAGAAAAGATGGCTTCAACGAGATTCTTCATCATAGCAGCGATCTGCATCCCTTATGCTGTGGCGTTCGTTAAAAACCAAGCGGTAAGTCTGTTGGACATCCGAAACGCAATGCATTCCATTATTAAGGTACAAACATGTTGAGTGACTGCAGCTTGTCAACGAGTTCAAAGGTACGCTAAAGCCTACACAATCATAGAAATTGACATCATATATACGGTAGGCCATAATGTACTGCATTGCAAATTCGTCAGTCAGGAAGTTGTCAACTTGGTTTTAAAAAGAACAAAGTATAACAACGCATCCACTAACAAGAATAGCGTTGTGCAAACATCAAATTGTACATTAGAGAGATGGTATTGGTCGGTCATTATGTATAAATTAAGTACAGGTATAGGTGTTCACTTCATTGTTTGTGCTCATTGAATGATGTTATGAGTTCATACTATTCAAAAAATTGACAAATTACAATTCACCTAAGTGGTATTTAACACACATGCGCATGAACACATTGAATGTTCAGATTCAAGTCTTGCGATCTATGCTTTTTGCACAATAAAACTCGTGCGAATGGCAATGACAAATCGATGACAGGAGCGGGATGATTTCAACGGTAAAGCGGTGGAGTTCTTCAGCGGGCAAGACAAACTGGCTTCCCAGGTGGAAGTCACACCTTCCCCCGACTGCCTGGAGGGTGACATGCTGCTGACTCAGGAACAGAAGGAGGTGTACTTGGCCATGCGAGAAGTCACGGCAGCGAACAGGGAGCGTGTGCGGCGGAATGCGGCTGCCGCCTTCAGAGTCTGGCCCAACAGAACCTTGGTGTATCAGTACGAAGCTGGTCTCAGTAAGTAGCACACACCCTCCACATCATTTTCATGAAATATCCCAACTTCCCCTCTGTCGTCAGATACCCGTAACGTCTGCACCAATCCAGACGAAAGCTGGATTTATTTTTCATATTTCAAAACGATTCTTTTGCAAGAAGTGTGTCTATTCGGAACACAACCGCACGGGCAAATAAAATTCTGTCGTATGATTATATCAAAATTAATTTCAATCATTAAAAATAAAAAGCTGTTGCAAACTTCTTTGTGGTCACTTGAGTAGGGAAAACACGAAAGACTAAAATTTCCTTACAGCAGAATCTTTCTTAGAGTAAAAAAAGCCTTTTTTACACTACGGCCTGGACATTTCAACAGGTGAAATTACAAAACAGGTGTTTCAGGAGGCTGTTGAAGTATACAGGGAGAAAACTAACATTCGATTCCTGGAGGCTGTAGAGGGAATATACACAGGCGTCATTCAGCCATTGATTGTCAGACAAAGTGGACAGGGGTAAGACAGAAATTATAAGAAATCTTGGATTCTCTTTATAATGTATTATATCGTTCTTGTGAGCTGAATACAAGTATCTGACAAAGTACACGGTTACGCTTTTTCAGCCCGTTTCATCTTTCCGTAGGTGCTTCTCAACAGTTGGTTGTCCGAGCCAAACCTGCGGTGGTCGCCTCAATCTTCAAGAGGGAAGGTGTGCTTTGGTAGGCAGGGAAACAGTTTAATTCCCTCCTATTTTGATTTTCCAATGATAGTAGTACGGGTCTTGTGACAGTAAAACCAGCCACCATGCAGCCCAAGGGGTCCAAATGTTGATGGTTCTGTGGGTGTGAAATTCGTGTTACTAAGCAATGGATGGCGTAATTTTTTTGTTAGAGTGTGAAGAAAATTAGAAGAAGATATTACAGAGAACTTATACTTTTTACACTGGAAAATGACGAACTGCCAAAAAACTCCCTTTCTCTTTCTCCCTCTTTAGCTCGGGGTCGCCCTCCACGAACTCGGGCATGCCCTGGGCCGCTTCCATGAACAAAACAGACCTGACAGAGACAACCATATCTTGGTGATAGAGAGCAACATTCTCCCCGGATATGAACACAACTTCAGGGTAGTCAACATGCCAACGGTGGCGCCCTACGACCTCCAATCGGTCATGCATTACTCTACAGTGGTGGGTTATGCGATAAAGTATCATCCATTTTTATGAAGTAGATCGACCGTTATGTAAGCCCTTTCAATGGTCTGTCCGCTTCGAGCAAAAGCACCTCTCGTCGGTTAAAAAGAACCATATTAATCGGGACTGTTCATTTTGTTGGTAGTACTGCAACCCCTCATGCGTGCATTTCAAAGTTGTTCGTAAACTAGCTAAAGTTAGTTCTGACCAAAAGAGCCGCTGTTGCTAAGAAATTTGCGCCCTCTCTTGGTCCAGCTCGAAGCTCATAGTGACAGTCTATTTTACGTGCATTGTCCGTTCAAAGGGCATGGACGTCCGAACAAAAGATTGAAGTCCTTAACTTAAAGGAGAATCATCAAAATTCTCTTAAATGTTGGACATGAAAATCTATTACTGCAGTTTGGGTAAAAGAGCAGTCTTGGTAATTTTTCCTTACCGTTTTTTTTTCTTTTTATTAAGGCCTTCTCGCGCAACGGTTATTTGGAGACGATTATTCCATACAACCCTAGAGACAAAGCCAAGATGGGCAGGCAGCACATGTTGTCCCGTCTCGATACGTACACCTTTAATGTCGCCTACGACGCCTACGGTGCGTAACTCTTGGTGGTGCTGTAGCACGTATTGTGCCCTTTTAAAAAATGCTTTAGGTCGCACCCGAGTCTCTTGTGTAAAGCTTGGTCTAGGTCGTCAATCCTTTGGCAATACGTGGAGACGCGTAGACAATAGACCTAGCAGTAGCTCTGGAAGCCCGTTTCGGACACGGCCTTAGTTTACATTTTCTCAGTTTGAGTAGCCTATGATGACAGGTTTCTTTTCATGTTCAGGTATGGAGGGTTTGCATAGCTGCCATCTTGCAGGTCAGTGGTTTTGTTCCACAGGATACGAACAAATGAGGCTTCCCAATGGAACAAAAGAACTGCCCTGCAAGATGGATACCGTGCAAATCTTCTATACGACGAATTTCAACAAAAATTGTTGCCACTCATTATTACATAATGTGAAATAGGCACAACTTGCAAATCTTAAAATTGAGAGATTGCAAAATGAGGGCTTTCTTGATTTTTAAAAAAGTACATAACCCTAAATCTTTGGGAAAAATCGTGCGAGTTTGCCCAATTCGCAACGAAACAAAAACTGGTCTGACTATATTTTTCAAAACACAACCTTTAAATAGCAAAGGCGTTAATAACATAGGCCTAGATGCTCAAAGTAGTTGTTACATTTGACAGACATTTGCCCAGCTGACCTATGGGACCGGTGTAGTCGTGGAGGCGTACCGAACAAACATTGCACATGTGACTGTCTGCCAGCTTTTGAGGGCCCATTCTGTGAAATTGTCACACATCCAACAGGTATGTGTATATCGGCCGACAGCAAAAATAATGTTTATCCAACTTGAGGCATTTTTGTTTATATCGATAAGATATGAATACTATAGGAAAGTGCGCTCGTTTCCATCCGTGAAAGAATCCTCATTCCCATCCAGAAAGCGGTACATGTAGTACTGTTTCTCAAAAAAAAAGGATAAAAATGTACTTATTGCCAAACGTCGCTTTCCCCGCCCCCGATAGGTACGCCAATGGTGTGGCTTTCACGAGTTTTAATAGCTGCCCAGGTAGAGTTAATAAGTAGAGTAACTAAGTATGTGAAGCATGTGCGATCCAGCGGCGTATCTTATTCCGGGAAAAACATCTCCAAGACGTTGGTGGATCAATTTTTTTCCATAAAATATTTTGTTCGTTTTTGTCGGTCTTTCTACCCAGCTTGCAGCGACTACTCCACGGGACCGTCGGGTACCATCTACTCACCGGGATACCCTGAAGATTATCCCAGTAACACCGAGTGTACGTACGTTGTCGAGGTAATGACCGCTCCGTCTTCGGCGTGCTACCATTCATCTGAATCCCGGCGCCAAATCACCGAGGGCGCTCAGCATCTTCTCAGGAAATTTAACACCTATACACAAACATATCTGGCAATGAACTTTTATTCATAAAGACATTGATGTGACTGCCCTGTACATAGCTTACGTACCTTTATTTTAACCGTATATCCATTGCATTCAACCCCGCTTCATTCACTAATCGTGTTGATATGTCAAGGTATTACTAACACATACGGAAACACAAACCTTGGATCTTTCGAGGCAATTTTAGGCTGCATCTATGTTTATTTCTGCAATATTCATTTTCTCGATACTTTTTTCTTTCAGTGTGCCGATGAAGAGGTCATAGAACTGAATTTCCCGATGTTCTTGGTGGAAGGGAATAATTGTTGGTTTGACAAAATGTCCATGATGACGGGAGATCTGATATCGGAGGTCTACATGGACGAGTAAGATTTCTTTCTAAACTGTCAAAGTGTTTTTTTACGGGAAATTTGATTCCCTGCGCTGACCACGATATTTATAAAGCTTAGGGTTAACGTTTAACCTTTTTAGCCACATCAACTAGTTGTTACGACCGAGAAAAGGGTAATGCTAGGAAGGAAAGCTAGTATTTACAAAAAACCAAAAACATAATACAAATGTTAATGTATTAAAAGCGATCTAATGGTCTTTTTGGCATGTTTTGTTTTGAAGATACTGCGATGACATATTGCAAGGCAATCAAATAGTGACATCCAGTAAGACGTCTGTCATGGTCTTTGTGAGCGACGGGTGGCTCAACTTTCCCGGATTCGAAATCAACTATCGCTGCGTTTCGGCGCGAGGGTAAATCTGACGTTCCAACAGCCCCCGATATATCATGTCCGCTCGTGCACGATACAGGTCACATTTTCATCACTACAAAACAGCTTCGAACAATTTCACAGTTATTCAGCAACAACGTAAGCTACTTGCAAACTTTATTCAGTAATCGCAGATAGCCGGTGCATAACCAGAGTAAAGTAACGGGCTCTGCGCATATACACTAATTTCAGGATAGGAGACGGCATTACTGCGGCAGCATCATGCGCGCTCATTTGGCAGGGTCGAAGAAACATGTAAGGTGCACCCAGACCACCTGTCCACGAGTGTGGTGCCACAGCAATGGGTGGCCTCTAATGCCGCTCGCCAATTACAACATACATGTAGTGTGTTTTGGCTAGTGTTAATGACAGTTTTGTTGCAGCGGTCAGGTTATTTCCAGAACATTTCCTCCAGAAATTTATGAAGAAAAAGTCACTTTGTCCCGAAGGACCTCGGAATTGATTACATAATGATGCATGACCACGGACTATGGACCAGATTTCGAAGGACTTGAAAAACGTTTTCCTTCATGACCAGTGAAGACTATGAATAAGAATTAAACATATCTGTAGTAAGAGTAGATGGTAATTAGGTGAACAGGTGATTAATTTTCACTAACGTTTACAGGGGAAACGTGAAATTTCAATTGAAATTTTCAAATTTCAATAAGCATTTCAAATTGATTACTTATGAATAATACCAAGTTGCTCCCTTACTGGAGGAAAGAAATCCCTCTTCCTCATGTTGCTCACAAAATAAGATTTATCAGAAATCTTTTATTTGGAAACTGTAGAACTAATCCAAACACCTCGGGTGATCAGTAGCATAGCCACTGGGGGGCCTTGGGGGCACATGCCCCCCCCCACAAATTCCCAGTGTGCCCCCCTGCCCCCACAAAAAAAGGGTTGAATGGATACTGAACAGGGCTAACAAAAAGTTGCCCACAAAAAAACCACACCAATAAGAGCTGTCCCCCCCCCCATAAGATGCTGGTGCCCCCTTGTCCTCTCCCACTAGTAAATTCTAGCTACGCCATCTGCATAGATGAGTTAACAAAGAATGAAGTATGAACATGTTTCGTTAGACCTGATCAGTTAAACCAAAAAGCAACAGTTCAAAAAAGGAAAATCGAGTATAAAAAAAATCAGTGCCCAGACTTTTTACTTGTGATTAAATGACAAATCTCTTCCCAGTGAAGACTCCAAGACAGGTTATTTTGTGGATAACAGTTGATTAGTACTCAATGTGATTCCATGACAAAAGGGTAACACTTACATTGTTTCAAATTAAGATAAGGAAACTGAATAAAAGTAGTGAGCATTATTGGATGCTGACGTGGGTGCATATCTTTACTTTTTGTGTTGAACACTGAAAACACAAAAGCCTACTACAGGGCTGGATAAAGTCACAGGTTTCAATGCCGATGATTTTTTCACACAAGTTCCTCTTTCGGCCACATCATTTGAGTATTTTCATTGGACATGAAGCCTACTTGGGGCCTGAGCAAGCAGCTGGTTGTAGACACTGGAAAACATATTTTGAGAAAAAGTCATAAATCTCGAGATGTGCCTGCGACTAGATGTTCAAAAGTCAAAAAAAAAAAAAAGCGTGTTACTGTAGCTCACCATTTAACAATTACAGTCGAAGCTAACTGGTTTGTGGTGTCGTTTGCTGCTGGTGTGCCACTTTGTCCACTCGATTTCGATGAATCTGAAAGGCTGGGGTCACCCAAGCACCACATGAACACCGAAGACCTAAATAACAGGGCAGGAGACAAGACAAATCTTGAATGAAGTCCTCAGTACCTCCTACATTCATCTTCTCATCTCTATCTTATCACAAATGTGAGTTGTTTCCCTTCTGAGTTTTCCTTTGTTTTTAATTGGTACACCAATTATTATTTTTCTTTTTTCCCCACATTTTATCTCAAAAAATTAAAGGATCCAGGAAATGAATTTTTCTTAGACTCACTTTTTGTGTATCTCTGTACTCTTCTTCCATGTATGAAGACTGTTTGACATCTCTTTTGAGTTACGTGAACTGAACGGTGCACTTTTTCAAACATTAAAAATTGACCAAGCATTTCTGTACATGTGGGGCACTTTTGCTTTGATGTAAATCTAGGAAGACATGGTCCAGGTTGCATGTTTTCATGTTCAAATTGTGAACCCAAAATTTGCTATCTGGGAATGTTTCTGCCATATACTTACATAGCAATAAACTGCCAAAGAAAATGAAATCTGCCATAGCAGTGGTTAAAAGAATCTAGAAATTTCTGTGTACAAATCTGTGCAACATTGCAGTGCTTTGGATGACATCAAAGTTCTGCTCATGAATATGCAAATATGCATTAGCATAAAAACCAAAAAAGCGTCAAAATATGGGTTAAAAACAAAAACAAAACTTTAAGATCAAGTTAAGTGAAACCCAAAGATGCAATTTCAAGGGTGTTTAGTAACATTTTTAAAAATATTTCTATTTCCTGGTTCCTTTAAGTGAATGACAACATTTCTTTCTTTAATGAGGGGACAATTTCCATTTTCAGGAAAAAATTAAATCACTGAAAAGAAACTTCTGCAATTGTCATTGTCTAGTGAGCAAAACAAGATCACACAACCACAAGGTAAAACTACAAGTTTCAAAAATTGAAATTCATTCTGATTATAATCAAAACAAAAGCATCGGAAATGTACACACTTTGAAGTCAAGATGTGTGGCACTGATGGAAGAGTGCTATAGATAAACTAATTATCAAAACAGACATAGTATGCAAATAACATGGAAGAACCAACCTGACCAGTTGAAGGAACCCAGTCTGGCATTACACTTAGGGCATGACAGCTGCAGTGTGCAAAATGGAGAAGTTACAATTAGGATAAGGTCCAAATGGCTATGGCTAGAATGCTACGTTCACCTATGGAATCCGTTAGGTAGCGGCTGAAACTATTATCCATATACACATGTGTTCTTGCCAGCCATATCCACGTGATACAGGCCGGATTTAGACTTGAAAAATAACATCTGAGATTCCACTCACTGCTGCACACTGTAACAAGGTTTCCTTCCTGTAATTAGGCCTCCAAGTGCACACAGAAAACTGACAGTTGCAACTAACACGGTGTGCTTAAATATTTAAATTAAGTTAACCCCCATGTCAGAGGTCATTTGGGGTACAGTGACCTATCCAGTCTCTGACTCTAGATTTCAAAGCTGCACCAACCTTTTCCCCTAATTCATCTTGAGATCTGCATTTAGTTTTGAATATTTATTAATCCAAATAAAAATTGGTCAACATCTCAGCCAATTAGCAAGTAGGCGACCGGAGGGGAGTAAATTCCTAAAGCTCAGGCCTGAAGCCAACAGAAGACAAAACCAGGATTCGAAAAGGTGGATACAGCATCCAACCGACCACATCAACCAGCTCACTATCTCTCTGTCTAAGTAGCGTATTGGTCACACGGCCATTGACATAGTGCGGTGTGATGTCAATGCTCAATCATCACCCACAGTGCAACTAACATGACAGGGAGGGTTTCTTCCTGAGGTATGTAATTAACACCTGTATTCTGATTGCCATGTGCTAGAAGGGTTTCAGAAAGAATCCTTAATGAAGGGTAGGGAACGTTTTCTCCAACAAAAGGCTTGACATTTGCAAGAATTAAGTAGAAGTGTACCCAAAGTGGGCTTTGTAGTAAATTTAAAAGAAATCTGCAGTTCCACTGGTTTTCCACATTTTTTAGAAGAGGCATCTGGTAAGCTTTATCAAAAGCCTCCTAGATCCACTTTACTTTACAGCAAAGGTCACAACCAAGACATACCCATTTGTCACAAGAACTGCATGATTTTATTCACAACTGACCTTCCCATCTAACCTCCCGATCATGAGTGGTTCCATCCACTTCACTGGCTCAACAAACAGGGAGGTGCAGGATGCAGACGGGTCCATTGTGTCAGACGGGGGTGAGCTCACTCCCTGAGAGAGAGGGTGGGATTGTTTGTGCCACTGAAAGCTTCTTTGGCCCTCACCGGTGATGTGTGAAAGCACGCTCAAGTCAAGGAAAATGGCACGTCTGAGGAAAAACAACTCACGCTCCTGAACGCAAATATTTGTCACAACTAACACACAAGAAATTCTCAAGTTTTTCGTAAAATTGTAAACTTATTGTTGCTGCAATGCAGAAATTAACTAAATTTATTCGCCTTCCCTATTCCCTTTTCATTCAATGAAGGCACTTAAACTTTCATAAAGAGGAAATCATGAAATGTTTCTTTTAAGGAGCAAAATAGGTGTTCAAATGGACTCAAAAGGTTTCTGGATATTCCAATTAAGGACATGACACTGTAAACACGAACGTAAGAATGTTAACGGTTCTCAAATTCTTTTACATCTTTTCAGTCCTCCATCTAGAAAGTAATGGAAGGCAACAATAGAGAACATGGATATTGATATGTGTTAACCATGTGCCATCATTCCGCACAATTTTCAATGGACAGGTTGAGATGTGGATAATGAAGAGAGAGACGGCCATCACTTCCCGACCTGCACCTCCTGCATTTGTAGGTGATCTCCGTTTGATCACTGGCCCTCTCCAGAGGGTCAGCTGCGATGACTTCCTTCGGCACCTCCTGGCCAGCTAGAACAGACACGGAGAGATCGCTGAGGATAAACTCAGAAAGAAACCAAACACTGGCTGACTTTCATCCGTTTTCAATCCTCCTCCTTTGACATTTTACAAGAGCGAAAAGACCTTCTAAAATAACAACAGTAAAAAATCTCACAAATTTCTGGGAACAACATCATGGCCTACATGGATTTAAATGGAATATGAACCTGAACGAATGATCTTCCTTGCTGGCGTTAGACCAACCAAATACTCGTCTTGGGCACAGCCAAGTGAGCAATCAATTGCGTCATCACCTAATCTCTTTGCAATAAAGATTGCTTATTGAAATAGCCGATTAACCTTAAGCAACAACATTCAGACTGTACGGTGTCTTTGAATCAAACTCGAATAGATTACAAACAGGTGATAGCAGAAATGTTTGTGATTAATCTAATGTGAAAACAGTTGTGATGGCAGAATGCTTTTCTGATGACGTTCCTTCGACGAATAAGCAGTTGATGATTGATGGAGGCTCTTTGGAGGATTCAAGCTTGAATGAATTAAGGCCTGCATGTACCTTGAATGCTTTCAGCCATCTGTCCTAGTCTGTGCTGCCTGTACAGCCGATTAGTGGATGAAAACTGGCATCCCATGGCCTCAAACAGGTGCAGTAAGTCCATGAAGCCATAGTTGGGCCTGTGCGCAAGAATCAGTTTGGTGTTTGTTACCATTCCAAACTATAGCATCAACCCAAGCTTAATGTATAGCAGTCAGTCTAGATGACCCCAACTATGGTGACAGACTGGTGCTAATGTTGGAAAGGTCAACCATATGCGACTAGTCGATGAAGTTTATTATCGTCAATGGCCCCTTTCCTAGTAGTTAATCTACAGATTTATTTTTGCTGATTTGGAGTGCGCTCTCTGAAATGTGTAACAGGCATTCTAGTTTTACCACAGCTGCTTTGGCAATGCAGTAATGCGTTAGTACCCTTTACATAACTGTTACATTGCTAAAGTTCTTCTGCATAGGTTGGGGCATGTTGCTGCATGGTCCTGGCCTTTCTGCTGATTGTCTTACAAGGTGTACTGCAAAGCTGCTGGTCTTCGTGACAACATTTTTACCTGCTTGCTGCACGTTGGCTCAACCTGGTACCGATTGGGCCTGGTTCTCTCGGCATGGATTTGAGTGTGCCTTGCAAGTTCTGTTGGCTGTTTTATCATTATTTGTTGGGACCAATTCATGTGTTGCATTTAAGGCATGACCTAAACAACTGACACAAGGATAATGTAGAACAAAGAGGGATTTGCTTTGGGCACAGCCATTGGGGGCGCTCTTACGCAATGTTGGTAAGTTACTACTGAAGACCTCATGTCATTTGACCAACTTCTTTGTGTAAAACACTCTTCTATTTCTCCTCGTTTAGAAACAAATGGTCACCAGAGAGGAAAGTGATTCTAGTGCTGATAACTTTGAAAGATGAAGAACTACACTCTCATCAATTAATGTCAGATATATAAACAACTGCAAGAGATACACAGATTACGAATAGCAATGTGGAACCCAACTGCACTCACTCAGCCATTGGGTGCTGCTCCCTGACGATGTCATACGCCTCTCTGAATGTTATCTTGTCTCTGTGCATCAGGTAGGCGATCACTATGGTTGAACTCCTGGAGACACCCATCAGACTAGCTCGCGGAGAGAGCAAAGACGATTCTTTGTGGAGTTTGACTAGTCAAATAAGTCTACATCCATTTTGGCAAAGAGAGTGTTCACAGTGCATAAGGAAACAACGTATGTCCTGACGTGTATAATAATTAAATATTTTTCCTGGAGGGTCTCGTAAAAGACTGCAAAAAGCAAGTTGTTCTGTTTTTTATCAAACTTTTAAAAGAAGAGTACAAAAGAAGTCAGCGAAGCCAAGAATAACATTTAGCAACCTCCAATCATTGGAAAACATGTTGTGTTGAAACTCATCAGAATTTTCTGAGAGTGGTACATGTACATGTTTTGACATTTGGTTAGGATTATTATTAATCATTTCTGGTAATGACACCGGGGATTCCTCATAAGTGCCCTAGGCACTGAAGCTCGCAAGCCTGAAGAAACCTGTAGAGAGGAGACAATGAGAAGCAGTTACAGTTTTAGACGTGGGAGGAAAAGCCCAGAGGAATATTCAAAGGTAAATCCCACGGAATTGAGTAGGGACTGAAAACCCAATCCACATGTGGACTGGGCCGGGATTCGAACCTGGACCGCAGAGGTGGAAGGTGAGGAAGAACCACCATGCCAACCCGACTCCTAAAATTATTATTATTACTCATACTATTTTAATAACCAACTGTGAGTTGATGTCGGGTTAATGATTTCATTAACTTCTTTTAACAGGAAGAGAAATTAAAAGACAAAGCACTACCCACCAATGTACAATGACCTTCCCACTTGTAAGGGCCTCGTCAATGAAACTAAAACACTCCTCAAAATGCTTCATAATGTCCACGTCTGGCATGTCGTTGACACGAACAAACTTATGCTTCAAGTCCAGCGAACCTAACTTGGGCCTGTCCCCTTCCACAGAGAGGACGTGGGTGACAGCATGCTCAGCCAGCGCCTGTCTGCCCTCTTCAGATGTCACTGCCGCTCGGCATCCAAGGAAAAGCCCTGGGCAGATTTCGTCCATGTAGGGTGTGTGAACATTGCCAGAGGACATCTTGCCTAAGCCATGCAATTCAACAAAAAAGAAAATAGAAGGAAGAAATTTACATCTGTACATCCCCAACCCCCCAAAATGCTTGCTCTGATATTTGCTTTTCACTGGTCAAAACAATAAATAAAAGCCATTGCCACAGCAAATAAAAATGTAACATTTCAAAATTTATGCAAACTAAAAAGGAAAAAACCTGAATGGGGCAGCACAGATATCTGGCAATTCCACAACATTGTGGGTAGCAACCACACCGTGCTGATGAAAATAACTGCAATGAACACGGGCGTACAGATCAAAGAAAGGATTATGTAACTCAATTCTCGGACTGGCTGGTGCATGCCTACAATGCCATGGCTGCTGTTTTCACCGACATGGTACCTGCCATTTTGCGAGAATTCCGGATATCCATATTGCCCCATAGCGGAGAACAAGCCCTCAGTAAAAATGCAACACTGTACGCCTATATTTCAACCCATGAAAGTAAAGCAAAACCAACTTTATGAGGCATACAGCATTAACTGAAGTGCTGGCATGGCGGGTTGTGATGCCTAGCAGCCTGATAAGTTCAGTTGGGGTAATGTGGATGCTGGTACGGTATGTCCCAACCAACATGTCACAAACAGAAAATGCAGAAAAGGGGAAGTAAAATGCCTAGAAAGAGTTCCATATGACATACGGACACTACTTTACTTGACACCCCATGCACAAACCCAATGACTCATATGGGACTGGTCTGAAAAAGTGTTTCCTCAGTAAACCACTTGCCATTTTCCCTCCTATGGTCCTAAATTGGACTTTTCTGAACTTATTTTTGCGTTCTGATGAAAACTGCTGGGGCTAATGTCACTGCAGACTGTGCAGTAGGCCCACTGCCATGCCACTAAGCGTAGTGCCGCCCGTCATGTCCGTATATGGAACTCTTTCCAAACGCCTTAGTTACCAGGTCTAGAATGCTGCAGACAGATTTACGACAACCTACGATGAAGTACGGCACTTAAAATGAAAGATTCTTTAATTTGCAAGATAAATCATGTAAATCTACATGTTGGCCTACTCACGTCACATTCGCTCTCTGGAACCAACGCGCACGTTGCGGTGAGTGTGGTTTTATTATTGAAGGCAAGCGCCCTCTGTTTTCAAGAACTCTTTCCGGAATTAGAGTTGCTGCAAATCTTTCATGACGTTTTCGCATTATTTTAAAAAATCACATGGCGAAAGTCATTTTATACGAGGACAATGCTTTGAAAAACTATAACACATAAGGCTACCTGTGCGTTTTCAAGATGGTTTGTCATTGCATCTATTGACAAATAATGTCATTATATCACTTTTACAATGTCGTCATGCCGTGATTAGCTAAGGAGGTCGTCATCCTACTTTTATGATCTCAGTATGTTAACATCTTGCCTTTATGATGTCGTTATTTCGAGAAAAAAAATGTCAGGATCTCAACGAGTCGCATGGCATTTCCAGAGCTCCGTATTTCTTTCCTCGCAAAATTTTGTTTTGGGTTTTCATTGGGGGATCGATGAACGTATAGACGAATCATTGGACATTTCCGATGGCCCCCTTTAATGGAGGAACGCACTGTGTTGGGCTTTGTACAGAGCGCCTGGCAGGGAACAGTAGCGATAGCTATACCACATTCAGTCCATCCTGCCATCGGATCGGCTGCATTATATTGCAAATGGCCAGTAATAGCAGTCAAACATGGTATACCTACGCATGCGTCAAACAACTATATTATTGTGTCAGTCTGTGAGAACAAATCATTTAGTATAGTGCCTTGCAAAATGAGAAGTCTTCTCGAGCGAGTGGATGATGACATAAATACATGGGCCTAAACAGGGCTTTTACATATTCCTGGCATAGTTTTAAAATCAAATGGGTGCCTGCGTTCACGTTGAGCACAACCGAGCCGACGATTTCAAGTGAGGCGGTTTATTACAAGTCAACAAATTCACAAATATTGTATGTACAGGTTACTGCATAATGACTTACCAATATAGCATTTATAAACTGACTTGGAACAAATACTCTCTTTGAGTATTACCACTCTGCCAACTGTACACCACCAGAGATTGCCAGCGAGGATATTACAATAAAAAAGGAGAGAGGAATTTGGGGCTCAGAAATATTTTTTACAATAATGTCTGACAGAAAACCCGTTTTAGTGTAAGGGTTGCTTATCTATTTCTCTGTAACCCTAATTAACCTTTTTGAAAAACTAAGAAACTTAAAAATTTGGATGAGAAGAATTGAATTTACATCTTTCGTGAACGGTATGTTAACTTACTATACATACGTCTATTTCAAAGCTCGTGAATTGAACAAAGAAAGACTACAGAAAAAAATTATAATTATACACTTCAGCCGTGTATCATTAATTATACAAACGAGGGTGCATGATCATATTTCCCAAACTGATGAATACTAATTAAGAAGTTAAAACTTCCTCAAAGTAAAATTTTGCCCTGTGCATATCGCATCATTTGGAACACTGACAGTGACTTTTCATATACTGACTGCTCGCAGTGACTGACAATCTTGACTTGCGACAGGAGGTAAACAGCAGTCAGTATGAAATTGTTTTTACGGAGACTTGCCACGCACAGATCATCAAATGGGAATACATGAATAATACAACGCTGTGAGAGCTTCCTGTGCATTTATAAAACATTGATGAGTCCTGACTTCGACACCGAACTGCGGTATGCGCATATACATAGCTGTTAAATTTCCTCGAGCGCAGCAATTCATGCAGATAGGGTGCACGGGGGGCCTTGTGCGTGCGTAGCATAATTTACGGTGCATGTGGCTTTCTTCAGCAGCGATCTTTTCTAAAGTCTGTCTATTGCATAATCCTTTACGGTCTAAGAATATTAAATTTGGATATTCATGACTGTGGGGTACAGTGCAAATTTTATTAAGAAGACTTTCCCCAGTGAATTCATGGTCTAGAGGCCTTCTTTCACAGCTGCGGACTCATGTTGTCGATCGACAAGGCTGTCATTCTTCTGTTTATGTTGAAAGAGCTTAGAATTCGGTTCGTGTTTGTTTTAATTTCCTTGCAGCAACATGAGAAGTGTTTTATAATACATGTACTTTGGACTAAAAAAAATCGAAAATCCGATTTGAAACTGCAAAACAAGCATACCTTCGTTAAAATTTACTCAAACGCTGCTGAAATTATTATAATTAAAAGGCGAGCTTTCGACATCACCGGAAAATCGTGTCAGGTGAACTAACATTGATGGAACAAAACGTGGAAAGAACAGGGTTTGTCCAGGATTTCAACCGCTGGTTTGTTTTTTTATGACATCTTCAGGGTTATTCTCATCAGTCTTTAAAAATAAGGATCTTCTCTGTTGTCAGATTCGGGTAAAGGCTATATTACCTTTATTTTCACGTCCTGGTAAGATTCGAATTTTGCTGGCATTTTGATTAACTATGAGAGGGCGTGTTAGCTTGTCAAAATGATAACTGAGTGAAATATAAATTCGTAAAACTGATTACAGTATTTGATAGTAAAACTCATTCCTGTGAATTGAAATTTCTATTATTTTTAATTTCATAGTTATTTTTGTTAAAGACCCATTAAAGTGGCTTGCCTTTCCACACGTACCACAGTATTAAACGAGTAATTGTGCATAATACATGTTTAATACAATGTTATAATACAATGTTATGCTCTGAACCTTAATTCTTTTCTCGTTGAAGTTCGTTGAGACTTCATTTGTCATCATGCCATTTATTGAGTCTCGCGTTTGCCTCAGCTGCAGTGTCGGGTATATTTTCTTCATCGAAATAGAAAGGATTTCAGCCATCAGGCCATTGGATGTCAGGCTCCTGCCAAGTATTATCAACCCTCGTAGCCTGTATGTTATCCCTGTGTTCTAGCCAGGGGTAGAAAAATAAAGCTATTCGAGTCTGTAGCCACTCTGTCAGGGCGTACTTACTACAAACGATTGTGGCATCGCGGTAAAATTTACATTGATGGAACGGGAAGTATAAACTTGAATGTTGGTCTGCCCTCTGCTGCAGTCTGTGTATGCCAAGTGCTTTCCAATAGCATAATTGTGAGACAAATTTGGAAGCTTGCGTGCTTAGTTTAGTTTACTTGAACCTACGACGTCCTGCTTACTAGAGGATAGCACAAACATCTCAACGTGTAATTCAAAAATGAAATTTGTGTTTTTTCTTTGCTTTTGAAAAAAATAAGGAATTTTAGGTTGAAAACAATATTTTACTTGCAGGTGAAAGATTCATTGTACAAAATGGCCCCAGAAAATTAAATATACGCTATAACAAACCCCTACAATGTCGTATATAACAAATATCTCAAACCACACAAAATGAGCATCATTATTTCAATATAGACCCAAGACAATTTCTCTGTCTCGTATTGTTAAACTGTTTATTAGACAGTACTTATTTCTACTATTTCTCGCAGTTCTGTCGGTTTCGTCTGACCGGCTACAACCTCTTTTAGTCTCATAGCCGCCTGGTTCTTGGCCTCCATCAGTTTCTGGTCAAAGCCGACTCTCATCACGAAGGTATTGTAGTCATTGTCTAATTGCTGCTCTTCGTTCTGCTTTCTTATATACTTGACCATAAAGAGGGTGATGCTGCTGGCGTAGAATAGAAGGACCACCAGGATATAAAGCATGGGGTCACCGACGTACCCTGGGCCAGAGACGGTCACGGTGGAGTTCCCATCGAGGGTATCATTGAAGGACAAGCTATTATTCCCGGGGGTCGGGGTGTCATTTCCACCACCGCACACCCAGGTTACCATGTTTGGAGGCATGGCGTCCGACGATAGCAGCTCCTACGGTTTACTCAGGACGTCTGATGTTTGCCGTCAGATACTCGAGTTACAGCTTACAGGTATCTGAATGCCCGTCTTCTTGGAGAATTTTGTTATATCCCGCAATGTTTATCTTTGGTTTGCTATTGACTCCAAATTTTGTGGCCCAACATCGCTGTTGTTTTCTCTGAAGAAAAAAATTGGTGTTTTTTAACTATGACTTCATAAATTGTGCTAAAAATTGTTCCGAGCTACAAGGTAGCCTTCATGTGCGTCAGTTTCGCTCGTCTCGGCTCGTCTACTCGTTGGTTGCTGATTATGATGGATAGCTGGGAACAGATGGCAAACACAAACAGCTAACTTAACTCCGTGTAATTTAAATCTACTCCCGTAAGAGCACTTAGCGTGAAATGAAAAATATGAATGCGTCATTCATTCCCAGGCTGATCGGGCTCAGTTTCAACATACGCCTGGTGGCAGAATATTTCACATTATGGAACAATTCGCCAGTGGCGAATACAGGTAGTCTGACCTCAGACAGGATAAATATAGTAGTCACGAAAAATGCTGTCTTGCCGGCCGTGGATTGCCTGTGCTGCATCCAAGGCCATGCACGTCTACCTTGTGCATCTGGCTGTGTTATTTCTTCAGCTTACAGGCCGAATAATATTCCGAGATCAAATTGCCGATCTCTCAGCGCAACGAGGCATACATTACACTCGAGTAAATACTGTCATGACGATGTACATCACAAATCCGCGTGGCAAGCTTGTGTAGAAAACCCATCGCTTGAATTAAACCGTCTGTTCTGGTGGGAGTTGGGCATGGAGAAAATACAGAAATGTGACCTGATCGATGTTTACACTGCCATCACTTCCAACCGATGGTTTGATGGCGGGGACCTACGAGTGGAGTTAACCAACTTAAGCTGGTTTCGGAATTTTAATGATGTTTTTCTACACCGGTTTTATTGACGCAGATGGGAGTTCCAAGCAATACTGATTATTTGATTAGATCAGTGGGCTGCAAATAGTGACGAGACGCGCACAGCAACTTGTTCGCAATCCATCTAAAGCGGAGGCCATCCTTCCCAATGTCATCCTCGATTAAAGCATAGCGACGGACACTTGATAAGTGTTATCAATGTCAATTATTTCTACCCTGCGGTCATCATATTCCGCATCACCAACTCACCATCACAGTCCACTGTCCGGAGGAGCAACCTCTTTCCAATCAACACACCAGTCACATCCTGCTGTGATATCTCATGCACGAGGTGTGCCTGCCTCCACGTGCCGTGTGTTTGATTGCTCTGTTTTTCAGCAATTTCCTTCTATGGAGTCTGACACTAGATCATATCCTGAATATCCATACCTCAAGCAAACGCAACTCACAAACCTATTTTGGACGGGTGCAGCCTGCCACCATCAACGTTTCGTATCGGTTGTTAATCAAGGTTCCCGTGCCGCGGCAACGTATGGTTCAAGTTCCCGCTGTTTCAACGGCAATTTTTGTCCTCGGTAAAACACCGCTCTCTCGTTTGGGAGTCTCCCTTCACTGCTATATATGCCTGCGCCGCCCGCATATAGATCGGTCTAATATTGAACAGCGGGGTGGCATCGTTTCCAAAAGCCTGCGACGCAGACGCGCCTTTTCACTCGCGGACCTTGCGCTTGCATTATTCTTGTCGCATCGTCGGCGCATATGCAGTCAAAACGCCTCTCAGGCGTCGAAAGACTTATAGAGGGCTGTACACGCACAATTATTTACTGATTCAGTCAAGGGATATTTCACTTTGATACGTCCATTGACCTATGGGTTCATTATCTTAAGCTAATATTGATTGTGTGTCTCTATTGAGCGAAAGTTTGTTTGAATTAAAACAACTAGCCTTTTACGTACAAACTGAATACGCGTGAAATTTTGATAGAGATCGGAGCATCGTCTTGAATATTTTGGCACATCAAGCTGGATTTGACTTTGATCTTCCTTGACAACATGGCCCTTGTTTTACTGAGCCTGTCTGTTCCAACAGTCGGTTCAAGTGTTGAAAGGAAACGCGATATAACGACACCCCGAACTTCAATCAAGTTTTAAAAATCTCATGAAAAATTCAGTGTCCTTGATATAAAATTTAAACGTTTGTGGCTTTGTTATCTAGTCGCATCGTGAGCTTATCGGAAGACTGTTTTTGGTCATTTCAAAGGTCAATGCAATCTGACCTTTATACACTTCTTTTAAATGCTCTTTCGAATCCCTTCGCTGGTGCCCCTTTACTTTTATGCAAATGAAATTAGCATATTCACAAACAAAAGTGCTATGTTTTCCATTGAATAAACGTAACCTCAGCTTGCTACGTTTATTTCTTCACTAAAATTTGCCAGAATATCGGACATTTTGCTGTCATAACTTTTGTTTACGTCGGTAATTTATTATTTCAGTTCATGTCAGTGGTTCGGTGAGCAAGGTTTTCTCAATGGGATTCACAATTTGAACACCCACCTCCAATATGTGTAAATCGCCGCAACTTAACAGAGCGCCCTCATTTGTCAGGAAAAGCACTGGAAATTGTGTTTTAAAAAGTTGCACTTTTCAATGAAAAAATATGATCCTAGGCAAAATTCTAAAAAGATGAATGCACATCTCATGACTTTGATGTTTATCGTCCCGTTTTAGTAACAAATTTTAAAATTGTCAACCTCAGTTGACCAATTCCCAAGTTTGGTTTTTCATCATCAGACTCTTTAACCTTCTTTTCACTTTCTAACTTCCCCCATCCTGGCAACGCAAGCACCCCGAGCATTTTCCAGTACTGGGCCGATCTGCTGCTAGCGCTGTCTCTCAACTTTGGAAGAGCTTATCACGATAAACAGTATCTTGTGTAAGAATGGCCAATGCGGGCGATTCACAATAGCGCGCCTCCAAGAGTTTGAACGCATTGGCCAATCACAATGCCCGAAATCTGTCGACTCAGTGTGCGTTTGAAAAGGTCAACAGATTTTGAGCATTGTAATTGGCCAACGCGTTGCAAACTCTAGGATAGGAGTGAATCGCCCGTATTGTAATATAGCTGGTACCCAACACTTTATTCGAAGGCATTGTGCACTTCAGAGTACCAGCTAGATTGACCTATAAATTGCGCACGTGGATGCTGCCTCGACCTTTTCACGTATGGCCGCGCATGAGAGGTGAGTTGAAGGATGTCGACCGGTGAAAAAGTGGTCTTGAAATCCATTATCATCCGACACATTTAGGAAATAAGTAGACGAGTAGTGTGTCCCTTACTTTCTTTAAACCTTCAGCTCAGGTCTGAAGCTTACTTTGAGACTTTTTGCGATTATTTATTCAGCTGAAATTTAATGTTTCTGGGTTCTCACATACATGTACTTGTATGCATTAAATTCGAAGATTGAAACTTGGTTCTATGTAGTTACAAAGCTAACGCGTTAAATGATGCTAATGTTCTAGCCGTAAATGTTTGAGTATGGAATGTCCTGTCAATTTGTGCTTTTGATTGTTAATATTGTTGAGAATTGGGAAGAAATTGTATTCAGTCATGTCAGCATTGTAATCTTGACTCCGATCCTGCCCAAACGTTTGAAACAATGCATCGATAAATCGGTGCATCTCGATACATTTATTCACTAGACGATCGGACGATATATCGATATGATATTTTTACATCGGCATGTTAAAAAAAACCGCCTGTTGCATGAAAAGTGTAAAATTGAAAACGCGTCAAGTTTAACACATCATGTTTAACAATAATATGGTTCAAGTTTCACCATGGAGCGGTAACCTACCTTAGTTTAGGTGACGCATCACCAATCAATCATGTCCGATTGCCGTGTTCGTATCAAGTTACAGTGTGACCAGATCACAAACATGACAAACTTTTCTGCACACACGTCATGTAAAATATTTGCAGCGTTTTAGTACAACATGGCCAGTGCATAAGGGTGCTGGGGATGAGTGAAGCCACGGTACGGTCAAACTAATCACCGTCAACATGCGACGGACCGTCGACACACCATCTGCTAAGCATCAACACCTCCAAAACACGTTAAAACCAAAAGAGACGGTACTCAACTGTAAAGTGTTCGCCAATTGGATATTTTTGGCAGTTGGGACCATTATCGTAATCTTGAGGTCAGAGGTTGTTCAATTTCTTGCACTCGCGTCTGGGCAAAGGGACAACTCTCCCATTAATTATTCCCACAAAGCAAAATCACCCCCCAAAAAACTGATTTTTCTGAAGTCTAATTGCGGCCATTTTTCAAGTGACAACCCTCAACTTTCTTGGACATTCAGGACTATTTTTCAACCGTAGTTTTTAGCCATTCTGCTCTCATATGAAAGCTCAAAGACCCTGGGAGTTGATCCTGGCAAGGATTTACACAATCTCATCATTTTGGGGGCAAAACAATCTCCTCGTTCAAAAGATACTTTGGGGGCACTTTGAATGCTATTGAGCTGGCCAGAAATTTTCACTTGAACTATTGGTCTGCACCCCTAGAGATAATTTTTTTTTTCATGTGAAAAAACTCAATTTTGAAAATTGATTTGTGACTTCCAACTACGGGGAAAGTCTTTCAGCCCAAGTATTAGATTGCTATGCCTCGTTTGTCAATTGAACTTGTATTTTTGAGGAGTTGATATTGTGTTGACATTACTATTGTGTGTTGATGGTGTATTGACGGCATATAATGAGAATTGCCATGGTATGCACATGAACTTTCCGTCAAACGTCAATAAAAAAGGTCATTTTTTAAATTCGACATATAAAAATTCAAATCTAAATCGAAATTAAGTTAATTCCTAAAACAACTACGCCTATCAATTGTATGAATTTCATAAATTTGATAAAATAAAATTAAAATTCCCCGCCGTTGCTGGGAAATTTGCATGAGCTCTGGGCTCATGGTGTGGCTGAGGTTGATAATAACTTTTGTCTTAAACAATGTAAGGTGTATGACTGAACCAAGCAGGAGATGCAAGACGTATACGAGTCTTCAACCCGAAAGGCTGACTTTCCAAAGGTTTGTGCCCAATTTGATCTCGTGATCTTGTGATTCTGTGAGCAGTCTGCAGCACTATGATGACACTCAGATAGGGACACATGAAATCCCATGATTATATAAATCTTTTTACAGTGGATCGATAGGTCTGATGTGCTGCTGACCTGTCAAAAAGAAACTTTAGTTGAAACCATCAGCATGGAAACAAGTGTTGCAAAGCAGTCACTGAAACGTAGCAATTTTGCCTCTCTCCATCTTACAGGTCTCACAATTACACATTGTCACTAATGTTGGACGCCTCAAGGTCATCTTTTTGGACAGGTAAGAGTCCTGTTTTGAACATGACTTAACCCCACTCAGACTGGGCTTTTCAGGAGTATGCTTTCACTGGGGGAGGGGCTCCCACAGTGTGTACAGGTTTAGAAGCAAACCAGAAGCATAAAGTGGTAGTCACCATAGCTTTTAGTCGCGACGGTGAAGACAACTCTTCAGATACTTGGACAGTCCGATATTAATGTCAACAGTAATCAGGGTGTGAAGGACCAAGTCAGATTTCTTGACTGGTTAAGTGTCCATCTTGACTTTAAAGCCCATGAGGGAACTTCGCATGTTACAGGTGACACTAAGATTTCTGTTCTGCTTTATTTACAGAGTTAACTTGGTTGGATTTGAGTTGATGATGAAGTGCATATGATGAATCAATTTCTTTTCAGTCGTGGCCAATGTCATGACAATGAAGACATCATAAAATGTAGCGACGATGCGGTCTGATGCACCAAATAAACATCAATAGAATTTTATTGCAAGCATATCTGCAGACGACGAATTGAAGTAAGATTTTATCACTTTCTCTCTTTCAACAGTTTCCATCTTGACCTAGAATGGAGGTGATCACTGGAATGTTTTCACAGTCGTAGGTGAGATTAAACTTTCAGTTTCCCACGTAATGTTTCAAGGATGCTTGGTGCATTTCAAACTCTAGCAAGTCCAAGATAACCCAGTTTCCAGAACATATGCCCCAAGCGAGCGTTTCCACTACAGTTCATCATGTAACTTACTCGAGTGAAATCTTGAAGGCTGAAGAAAAACCATCCAAAAGCACATAGGTTCTTGGCTATTGAGGGGTGTTCGTGATGATTCAAGTCGCTCATAGTCGGGACATTGATGAAAATCAGCGACACTAGGGCGGTCTGATACACTCCCTTGAAATGTCTAATAGCTGTAAAGTGTTAATCATCTACATGGCTTTGAAATATATTTAATAGCACCTCTGAGAAGAGGCTTAAGTTTTTGAGATAGATTGATCTAGTAATGAAATGCCGGTCCATCCAACCTCATTCAAGTTTACTGAGTGTATCGTTTGCTCCAAGCCTTTTATAGTAATAAAATCCTGGTTTTTATGTCTGTCCTTTACAGTTGACTGTATGAAATGGATTCATCGTGCCTGTAAGTATCTTCTTTTTGTCGGTTTTCCCGACATTCACAACCCAGTCGTGAATCGTTTGGCAATATCAAATGAGGGTGTCTGTGTGTTGAGGATGACAGTTTATTTGCTACTCTTGACTGCTAGGTTGATGACGTGGCATTCCACCAAGATCGCTGAGGCACACAAACACAAGATTTCAACTGCTAAACGTTGGACTAAACAAAAATTCATTTCTTTTATCCACCTTTTGTTTTTCCCTACTATAACCACTGTTCTGCGAAAAGGCAGATTCTCTTAGCTTTTTTTTGGGGGGGGGGGAATTGAGCATGTGTGGCCAAATGCCAACCCCTTAACATAGATTTTGCATTTCTTTCAGGTTTAAGTTTGTGCCGAGCCGCGTGGTTCCATCCAAATGCTGCAGTTTGAAAAAGGTCTGTAGTTGTTGTGGCTCACATTCTTGACTTTTCATTTGAGGGGTGTAAGAATTATTTTCCAAGTGTGTGCCAGGTAATAACATTCACTCGTGGGGTAGTGATGATCTCTGGAGATCTTAGCTTTAAAACATTGATGATAAGTTTGCTACTAGACGGACTGAACCCTGTGAGAAATAAAGAACCTATTTCCTGTTTTCAATTGATACTAAAATTTGTGGTTTTCAAGTTGAAAGTATTGATAGTTCACAGGACAATCCGAAGTATGTAAGTGAAGTGTCACATACCCAATTTCAGTGCTCGTAGACGGTGATTTCCATCTGTATTTCTTGTTTCTTCAGAACTGTCTTTTCTTTTGATCTAGATGGCAGTTCCAGGAGGAAACCTCCTCGCTGGCAGTGAATTTCTCCCAAGGTACGTTCATTCAAGATCACCTCTACCCGACTTGCATGTGTTAGTGTGGTGTAGGGTGTTTTCTTTGTCAAACCAAGTTGACAGACCTCAATTTTGGTCATTCCTCCATGGAAGTGATGACTGCATAGTTCAGCTGATCACACTTGATGATCTCAGAGTTGTTTAGTCTTTCGCTCCTATCTGATCTGTGGTGGGAAATTCTCTGATCCAGTTCTGCCGTCTGAAAGAACGACAACTGCATGTCCTGTGCCCCTGTGCCATCTTGAGGGGATCTGTGTTCTGGTGAATCTAGTTTTGTAAAAACTGTACCTGTCTTTTTTTGTTGCAGAGGTGTTAACAAGTATGGAGGAAGGGATGTGTAAGTACCACACTTGCAATCAGCGTCATTTCCTGTGGTGACAAGTACATCTTTTTAAAATAACTTTGAAGTTTGTTAGCCTTGATGTTACTTTACATGCTTTGTGTAAAGGATTTTTAAGTTAATCATCGACTCGTTGAGGAATTCTATGTACAACTCCTGTGGCAAGTTGGAAGCCGAAAAAACCACGTCACTATTTCAGTTGATGAAATGAGTGATCCCACAATACGGCTAAGATAGGACGGATGGCCTAAGTGCTGGTAAAGTGCTGGTTATCACTTACTCCATGCCGAAAGCCACCAACACACTCATTCACTCTCCCCAGAAATCTCTTTTCTAGCCTGTATTGCTTCTGTAGGTGCCAACTTATCTCGGCAAGAAATTTCCTTGTTTCAGTGTTAAAAGAAACACTGCACAAGTCCGAAGTGATTAAGACTTCATTTGGATTTGTTTTGATTATCACAGGTTTTGCAATCAGGACCGGAACTTGGGAATCGAAGGTTGGTTGAGGATTAATTCTGTAACTTGACTCCTGACCGTCTCTCAGTCTCATTTGCAAGTATCTTCCTACTTGGCAAAAGCCGAAATGCCTCCAGTTTTAACCAGTTCCTTTGACAGGTTTACTGTCAAGTCTGTCACCCAGTTGTGTGAGAACATTATATTATGCAAAGTTGCCAAGCCGCATTGCCACAACCTAGTTTCTGTCCATGGAACGGAGTGTTGCCGAATGCAGGCTGAGATTGAAATAGATGGTCTAATGAAGCGGCAAGGTTGTAACTCATCAGCTATGCCGTGCCGAAAACCACCAACACTTACCGTCTGTACCAGATGAAACGGTGTGTCCAATCGTGTACATTGTACTTAAGATCTCTCAATCCTTTCTCGTACAGATTGCCTGGCTTTTTCTCGCCTTGTATTGGTAACACCGTTGGAAAAACTGTTCTGCTGGTAGTGCCCAAGTCACTTGGTAAGCATTTCTCCATTTTATATTGCAGAAAAGCTTTTCAGATAAATTTTGTAGTGTGCGTCTGTTGCCCATGTGATGAGACACACAATAAACCAGTCCTGCTACTGAAGACAGTGATGTGTTGTGTTTTCTGACGGGCTTCAGTTTTCTGCTGCATATAGGGCCTTCTCTTTGAAGAGGTGTTTCAGAAAGTTTGTGACACTTTCGTCTTGACTTTTACCCATTTTGACTTGACCTTCATTGAATACTTGCCCAGGTAACCAAGCGCCATGTTTGAGAGCCGTCAATGTACACGGCATAAGTAACAGTAGATGGGTAAGTTGGATTCCTTAACGTGATGGATCATTGTAGAGCTGAGCATGCATCTCCTGCTTGCTGTTTTTTTTATATAAGCTTGACCAAACAGTACCCTTCTGAAAGGGAGACAGTTGAAGACGTAATGGTACCCTGAACTGTGATATTGAGAGGATGCTATAAGGATGAATGCATGTATTATCAGATGTTTCAATGAAGAGATTGTGGTCTTGTTCCACTGAATGGCATCCGTTTCCTGGAGATTTTGATACTTCATTAAATTAAGTAAACAGTCCTCACAAATTTTTCTTTTGACATATACAGTCTTTCCTAGATGCGGTCACAGTAATCTTCTGACATCGGATACCTCACTCAGGTACGTTTCCTCACACTTCGTAATATTGAGATTTATTTCGAATGAACTTGTTCTTGTAAAGGTGGGTTGTTATTACCTGCATGTTGTACAAAGATGACAAGATTGAATGCCCCAGGCTGAAAGCCCATGACTGATTATTCAACAGTCAGTACATATGCTGAGTACTCGACATGTAGGACAGTGGTAGTACTATTGCATGGCTAAGTTCTATTGCACAACAACTTGATACGTGTATAGTCTGTCCAATCTTGCAGGCAGTTTGGAGCTCCTGCTGACTTTATGGACAGCCCACAACAATGCTGCAGCAAAAAGGCAAACGTGAGTACTGTAAAGAATTTCATCCATGTAGAGGGAAGAAGTTTTGAAACTTAAAGAATGGGTGTTCTGTTGTAAAGTAGATGCTTAAAGTCTTCTCGTCTTTCCTTGCCATGTGGTTCAGAAATGATATTGAGAGACCGTGAAATTCTGACAGTGATTTGGTGAAACAAAATTTCCTGTGGATATAGAGCTTGCATTGCATTCATGATCCAAGGAGTTTGCCACTCTAAGTGACTCATTGAGAGCAGCAACCAAAGCCAATTGATTTATCTGTTTATTGGGTACAAAAGTAATTAACCTAAAGGCCAAGAAAATCCTGATCTTCCCCAAATGTTCACAGTCCTTCATTTCGGTACTTTTATGATGTTTTTATGTGGAGATGTATTGCTTTGTAAGAATTTAATCGGGAGTATTTTTGAGTAGATGTGGTTTGGTGTGGCAGCTCCAGTACAGTTTTTGAGTGCAGACTTAGAATGTTTAATTTCGGAATTGAATTTAACGGAATGTTTATTCCGTTTTATTTGCGATTTGTTACTCAAACGCCAGGTTTTTGATCTTAAAGCTCATAATTCCTGTAATATCTGCAGGCAGGAAATTATGTTGAATTGTTTTAGATGCTGTACCAATGATGAACTATTGATTTTGCCAATCGGAGTGTCTCGATGAGAGCAACAACCAAAGCCCGTAAATTAATCCATTCAACCCTTTCTGAGGTACAAGCAAGAAGCAATTCAATGTCTGACATTGCTGGAAGTTTGGTTTTAAGAACTTGGCTCCGAGTTCAAAAGCTTTCAATTCGTCTTTTGCTTTAGGGTCTTTTTGAGGCAAACATCCCACATCTTGAGCGACGTAGTTTACCTCCACGTAAGTACTCTTCAATCTTGTTTTTATTTTTCAATATTTAAAAGTGGCTCTGGTCTGTGTTCTCAAACGAGAGCAATTTGTTTCTGATCTTCCATTGTTCACATCATTGTCCAACATCTAGCATGTTTCAAGTAGGAATCTTGCGTGAGATGCGCGGAAAGAAGGAAACGAGTGGTAGTCTGAAGATGATGAATTTTAAAACAAGTGGGAATCTTGCTGAATTACCGTGAGGAGCTTTTAAACTTGGCTTACTGATTCAGACTGCAATGATAATTGGGCGAAATGTATTGGGAATGAATAGATTTGGCCTTGACAAACCACTTTGACAAGGGATGACCGATTTCATTTTTGCTCTGCCCAGAATTGTTTTTGTGACGCCGTCCAATATCTGATTTTGTTTGAAGGTACAGCTGAATATTCATGTAGATGGATACTTGGTTTTAGAGAGCAGCCAGCTGAAGGTACTTTTTTTTCTTCCTATAAAATGTTCTTTTAAATTATTTTCAAAAAATTCTATCTTGGTTGCGGTGAAGATTTGGGGAAGTGATGTTAACCATTTTTCTTGAACTCTCTTTCTGAAGAGATCGCTGTTATGGTTGGTTTCTTTGTTGTGAAAATGTGATCTGATCCCCTGCCGAAGTCTTCTCAGACAGAGCAACAAGGCAAAAAAGTTCAAAATCAAGTGAATTTCAGGGACCATTCTTTACTTGGTATCTTCTTGGGGTACAGACCTAAGCAATATTGACGATAGTTATTTGCAGAAAAGTGTAAGTTGCCCCATAATGGCCAGAGGGGGCTCTGAGATTTGCTCATTTCCACCTGTCGTGCCTCTTGAAATTCTTTCTTTCTTTCTTCTGCAGTTTCTTCCAAGATCTGGACAGTTGTGCTTCCCCTGAACCGCTTGAAGCGATCGGATCTACATCTTAGCTGTCCGACGAGACAACTTTGTAGTCTGTGACCTTTCCAATACGTGTATAGAGTTTAATGGATTTTAATTGTCTTTCTGTCACTAAATATCTTACTGACATTCACCCCATAGGGACAATCACTTTGATAGCCAATTATTACAGGATTCCAGTACATTTATGTACATACTAGTAGCTAAAAATCCAAGGGATTTCGTTGTAATTGATGTAATAGTTATTTATATCTGTGTAACATTTGTTGAAGTCTTAAAATCTAACATGTGCTTCAGGAAACGTGTATTTCAGATTTATACTTGTATCATTTTTAATATGTGACCTGTTACCACAAAATGAGCTGAAAGTCGGAATTTTCAAAAAATGAGATATTGGTATCTTTGAATTCAGCAAGAGAGCTTTCCAACGGTATGTACTTCCCAACATTGTTTAAACATTTCTGAGAAGACACGAATAATGCTATCGTCAAAATTGCTGAGAGAATGACATTTTTAAATATATAATCCTACGAAATATTTGTAATTAAATAGACAGGTTACTCTTTCCAAATATTACAATACCCCAAAATTCACCTCCACTTCAATACGAGTCTTAAACCCTCAAAATAAGAAAGAGTGGAATGCGACTTAACGCTCATCACATTTGAACTGTTTTCGGAGCAGGCTTTCCTGTTTTTAGAGTCTTATTTGCTGAATAAATGTGTCGTGTGGTGAAGAAAGTGAATATTTTGGTGTTCCCAGCTGCTTTGGTGAGTCTTGTACATGTACCATGTGTTTTATCATGGGGCTGTGGAAGTGATAGCTTTTCATGTACATGTATTAAAACCAGGCTTAGTTATCGTTTTATCATTTCAAGTTCAGCTATGCAGCAGTTATGAACTCCACTATCTCAAAATTTCTGACTGGACGTTCATCTGACCCATTCAATAAATAGAATGCGGGTTACGAAGTCCTTGGTTAAAATACAATTTCGGTGCTCAGCTGATATGTTTGTTGGTCGTAACTTGAGGGCGCACTTTCAAAACAACTTGGTCTAGTCACTGACTCATCCAATGAAATGACGTGCGAAGTAATCAGCGGAAATCAGGGATCCTGTGAAGACAAGTACACGTGCTCACATGGGACATGTATACGTAAATGGGGTGGGGGTAAATAAAAAATCGTTCAAAGTTTTTGCGGAGGAAGGGACGGATCATTTGTATGAAAATGGCAGCTGATGTCGAGCAGGAAGAAAAGTCAGAGATCGTCGAGGTTTTTGCGACCAAGAACAGGGGCCGCGGTGTTCGCGTTACGAAAGACGTGAAAGCTGGTACATTATTGCTGACAGAGAAACCGTTCGAGTTTGTTCTTCAGAATACCGAGAGAGGATACTACTGCGATCAGTGTCTCACCAAAAGGTGCGAGAAACTGTTCTAGAATTATTGGTAAATGTTCACAATTATTTGAGTTGCTGGTAAATGTATCATTGTCCCAGAACAATTTATGATCCGGGATCAGATGATGGTAAATAATTGGTTACAATTTGTAAAATTTATGGGAATCTTATTTAAAATTCTCTTTATCAAAATTTTCCCATCATAACATAGCCTAGTTATTTTTAAATTGCTATGCAAACATCAGTTATATTTATTATTTGTTACAATTTGTGGAAAGAGTTTCATATACAGATAACACTAATTTTCCTGTTAAATCTTATAAGAGCCATCAGAAAGTGGTAACATGTCCTCAAAACTTAAATCCAGCTCAGAAAATTCCCAAGAATTACTTAGAAAACACAAGTTTTTTCAGACAAGTCTCATAGGTTTGTGCACATCGGGGCATCAAGTGTCGTCCATATTTTCTGTATGTGGAACTTCTTCCCAATTTGTAACCCAATATGTACACATGAAAGTTTATTGCATTAGTTCTACATTTCTGTGACTTTTCAGGGATGAAATTTTACACAAGTGTTCAGCCTGCAAGTTTGCATATTACTGCAACAAAGATTGTCAGGTGATTATGTTTTACATGAATTTTATCATCATTTCAGAGTCACATTCCTCACCTTCAGGGCTTCCTGGAATTCAGTGGCTTTGTAAACTTTATTTATAAACCCATAAGTTCATTTAAAATTTAATAGTTAAGACCTTTAAACTCAGAATTATCATTGTAATTTACTAATTATCTGCTAAGACAGCATAATTGAACAAATTAAATACATCAGAAAAAGGAAAATTCACTGTCCAGGAGCAAAAGCTTTGGAGAAACTTAACAAGAGCCAAAATTTATAATACAATGTAACTTAAAGTCGGAGCAGTACAACAGAAAGCATTGAAGGCAAAATAGATCATAAAGAAGTGGCTTCATGGCAAAGCCATGATTTATTGATCTGTCACATTGCAATGAGGAAAATAAACAAATCAACCCTTCATTGTCTCACTCTAGAGGGCAGCGTGGACATCTCATAAACTCGAATGTGAGGGGATTAGCCGTGTTACTCCCAATGTCCCTTCAGACCATATCAGACTGATGGGGAGGCTGTGGCGAAAGAGAAAGGTAATGAAACAAAAGAGCCTTATAAATTGCCCATTAACAAGAGACAGTTTAATCGGAGTCTCCATAAACCTCTACTGAATAGATGTAGTCGCTATCAAGTCAATATCTTTTAAAGGAAAATGTTACTTGGACAGAAATTCTCTTGCTGTGTTTCTGTTTAAGAAGCAACAAGCACCTGCACTGAACGGATCATCCACGTTTCCAACCCACATAGACCAGCTCCAGTCAGGTACGTTGGTGAAGGCTCTGTGTAAGTCCAATATTTCAGCATTCAAGATCCTCTTGCTTCATGCTGCTGTACTTGAGTAAAGTTGCTGAAAGTGTGTTGGGAGGGTAAGGTAGTGTTTTCACCCCTCGCCTACCACGGACAAGGCCAGTGGGAGAGTTTGAGACGCTGGTGGTAGCAGACATATCGGTCCCTTTCCACAGTACTGCGCACGCTCAGAACTATGTGGTTAAGCACAGAAATGTTACACAGAACCAGCATGTGCGCCGCCACCAAGGGTCTCAAAGTCTGCCGTTAAAATGTAACCACTCAAAGTTCCTACCATCTTGGAATTTTACCATCGACCATATTAAACTTCCTCTAGTTTTTGTTACAAACCTTCCTCAGTTCTCTTACCTGAAAACTAATGGTATGATTTTTTGTTCTCTGCTTTTGTAAAGAAGATAGTGACTAACCTGCAATTATCTTAAACTTCGTAGCTGATTCGAGGGATCTTGGAGAATGAGAGTAACTTAGCTCACATCAGACTGGTCTGAACTTTGAACCTGTCATAAACCTAGATAAG